AGTTCTTAATTTCGCTCATAAAAAGGACATCGAAAATAATATCGTTGAGGAGTTTTTCAGAGTAACCGCTGTCACCCAGCGCAAAACGAAGTATCTACGAGGAAATTTTTAAAAATTTTACTGAAATGTTCCACCTAGGTCCGCGATCCGTGTATCTTTAGATTAGAAAGGTCTAACGTAGGAAAAAAGCAGACCCGATAATTTTTTAAAAATTATAAGACAAAAATAATTATGCTATGAGGATAAGTAGTTTTAATAATTTGATGAGATGCCATAATAGTAAATAGTTGGTAATATCACAGCACTATCTGTCCGTGTCCGATACGCCGATCATTGTCGGAGCAAAATGAAAAAAAAATAATGATGATTTGTTACGCCTGAAAATTATGAAGCTGCAATTGTCGTGTCTCACGTGCTAATGCCGCTGTGCTTGTAGTATCGCATACGAATATTACTACAGCAAAGTTCTTTTTTATCCTGTACAATTGTTTCGTCGTTTTTCACGTATGATATGTGAAAGTTTTATCCCTTATTGTTATTGGATTGTATTCAGTGTGAATAATTTCAAATGATAAAATTTCTTCGAAATAACATTGGTAAGGCATTAATTTTGCTTCAGCGGCCTTCATTCCTCTCAGGAACTTTCCTGAAATTTCCTCATTTCTCAAGATTTTTTCGCCGCTCATTTGAAATAGTTTGTCGGGTAATTATGCAGTACCTTTTGACAAATTACCTTGTGTCTCTTATTTGATCTTTCCTTTTCAAATTCGCCTTCATAGCGCAAATTTTCCATTTTTAGTTAGGCCAGCTTTGGTGATAGTTTACAACTTTGAGGTTATGTAATTTACAACACCCACTTTCTAAATTTTTATCGTTTGGATTAATTAATTTCATGAATAATTTTTCTAGATCGTCATTTCTTCATATCCACCACCCAAGTCTTTACACAATGGACATTTAACATTTTGCCTCCCAACACTAAGTCGGCCAACTACCGTTCACTGTATAGAAGTTTATGCAATTTCCAAAGCTACTAGGACTATTGGAATTGGTACTATATATTTTGTGGAGGTTCTCCTCCTTTGCTTTTCTGTTTCTGCAGGTGCAAACAAATGCTTTTAGAATGCATACAGGGGAATTTTTAGTGTATCACATAGCAAGGGGGGTTTCGGGGGGTTCTAAGGACGTGAAAGAGCTAGGCTTCATAGGGATGTTTCGGGGCGGGCCGCAAGCCCCCCAAATTTTTAGCCCACTGTTGTGCAAAGCCCAAGATAATTCTTGAACCTCAAATCTTTCTAGCTAAAGTTCATCCCTATAGTCAATCAAGTGCCTAATTGACGAAGTATGTTACCTAATGATTTTTTGACGCTAACTGATGGGTGATATGTTTTCCAAAGTTATATTCTACATTGGAAATTTCAGTTCTATGTAGCCCAATTTCTGCATCACTGGTTTGGTTTTGTTTGTTTCTTGCTCTTTTTTTTCGTCCTATTTTTGTTTGACTAAATGAACTTAAAAAATTAATGTAATTCTGATTTCCAGCACCAGTCAGCTCTCTATTTTTAACAAAAGTTAAAATGAGTGAGGCCATTTCAGCGAGCAGTCTCAATGAAAAGCAAGGATCTCTGAAAAGATCTCATGAAGAAGATGATGTTAATGAAGCCAACAAAAAAACTAAAGTAAACAGGAAGAAAATGGCTATTGTCTTGGGTTATTGCGGAGAAGGATACCATGGTCTTCAAAGGTCTGTATAGTTATCTATCCATAAAGCTTGAATACTTTTTAGCCATTTCAAATAACTGCCAGGATTGGCAAATTTTCAGGAGGTTTCAGGCAGTGTAAAGCAGATGAAGATAGAGAAAGGAAAGGAAGATGAACCAACATGAGACTGTGTGGTAAATTAGAATTTCAATTGTTCAAGTCGAATTTTTCTAAGATCTAAAATTCTTGAACTGAGTCTGTTGTGCTAGTCCCAAAATTGTGTTTTGATGGATTAAGGTTATGGATGAGCAATAATTAAAAAGATCCATCCAAATTTCTGTATCCAATACTAACCGAGTTACCGCCCATTGAAGAACTTGGTGTATCATTTTCCACCTAATTTGTAATTTCAAAACCAGTGCTCATGCTGCTTAATACTCTATAATCCCTAAAAAAAGGGAAAAATTAATGTATTATTTCAGTAATCAAATGAAAATAGGTCTTTGTACCCATGGGTTTGTTTTTGGCTCTTCCTTTCTTGAAGTTTTAACTAAGAATATCCCCATTTATTTTATTTAATTCTGATTTCAGAAACAAAGGAACCAAAACGGTAGAAGAAGACATCATGAATGCCTTGCTTAAAGCAGGTGTTATTGGTGATGATGTCTTTGAAACAGCTCAACTGATGTCTTTCCAACGAGCTGCTCGAACCGATAAAGGTGTCTCTGCATTGAGACAAACCCTCTCTCTCAAATTACGTAAGTTTGTAAAAGATATTATACCCACAATCCTAATTTTCTTTCTAAAAAGGATGAAATTTCAACCAGGGGCTTCAGCAATCAAGTTTCTTTACACAAAAATGAATTTCTGTTTCTGGTTCGTCTGCAATAACTCCTACGAAGCCCAAAAAGTCAATTTCTTCTCACCCAATGCTGTCCAATTAGGAGAACTCTTGTGTATGATAAGGAAAAATCTCAAGTTTTACCTGTAAGTATTTTAATAATGGGGCAGCAGCAAAGAATTTTGACAGAGTTGCAGTGTAGTTTTCTTAGTGTAAAATTTTGTGACAAGCCAAAAAGTTCATTGAAAAGTCCAAAAAAATATTCCGAGGGGAGAGAAAGCTGGTCAAAATCTGTCCGATCATAAGCCCATGGTTGAGTTGATGTAGCACAGCAAAGTCCAAAGCTGATTTCAGCCAATTTGCAAATGCAATTTCCCTCATCTGGCTACATCATCAGAGCCTGCCAAAAATATCACTTCAATCTGGTCCCATTTTTGGTATTCTCAAAATGGGTTTTTTTCGCCATTCAGGGTTTATAAAAATCGGTACGTAAAACGGTCTATCGCGCGATCGTTGTAAGTTAACAACTGTTAATTTTATTGGCGCAAATTCTCCTCATTCTCACTTTCCAGCCTAATTTAAAGTGTCTTTTTTTTCTTTGGCCGTAATGTAGCTGTGGATGTGGATATCAAATCGATTGCGCAGCATTTGCCAGAGCAGATTAGAATTTTTGGAATGAAGCGGGTGACGAAGGGCTTCAATAGCAAGAATTCATGTGATGGTCGAACATATTCATATACATGTCCATCATTTGCATTTGCTCCTAGTAATGTAGAACCCTCCGAAGAATACAGAATAGACCCTGATTCTTTGTCTAATGTCAATAATATACTTAAGATGTACGAAGGAACTAAATGTTTTTATAATTTCACCGCTAAAAGGTAAGTCACTTTTTTTCAGGCCATGTCTATTTTCATAATTTAGTGAATTTTTATTCTGACGTTACATCTGATGTTACAGAAATAAAAAAGAATTTTGGAGAGGAATGACACAATGTACCTGTGTCAGCAGTTTGTAATTTTTTCATTCAGAACAGGCATTGTATAATTAGGTATGCTCTAAAGAAATATTCCAAAATGTGGTCCCTAGTACTATTTAATCAGGCGCACTGAGCCTGTGACGAGAACATTCATTTGGCTGCAGTAAATTGACAGTGAAACTTCTAAACCACGGATCTCAGTTTGTATTTTGCAACCATTGTATCATATACTTTATTTCTTAAATAGAAAACTACGTAACATCAATTCTTCAAAACTTTTAGGACACAAAAAAGGCTCACGAAATTGCATTATTTTCCGAGTATTTCAAAAAAATTATCCACAGAAAACTCTAGTATTAAAATTAATTCCTGTTTTTAGATAATCTTGATACTTTTTTCTATTGTTTCTTATTGTTTTCCTGTTTCTTTGCTGCTTTTAGGAGGCCCAATGATCCAAGTTGTAATAGGTATATGAAACATATAGCATGTAGTGAGCCCTACATGAAGGATGGTTTAGAATTAGTGGAAATCACTGTGAAAGGTGAGTTTTCCCCTGTAATTTTTAAATGGTCATGTATTTCTAAGTCAGTGTTAGGAACAAGAATAAGATAGTAATGAGTTGCCTCAGGATTTTTTTGTACTTAAAATGTATTGTAGATGAATTGGTTAAGTGTCTTCATTGTTATTCCAGGGAAATTTCCTCTCAAGTTGATAAATTACCTGGAAGGGTATGACACAATAGAATTTTAAACTCGAAAATTAAAGGAAAAAAGAGCTCCTTTTTCAATTTTTTCAGAGCATTCCCTGACATGCCTTACTTGAATGGACGAATATATGGGGTTTCTCGAAAATCTTGATACGAGTCTCTTGTGTGGACTAAGAAAATAAGCTAGCGCAACGTTGTTTGTGCAAGATTGCAGATTGGCTAATTATCTATCCAACACACCCAATCTGAGCTCAATTTGCAGAGTTACAGCATTTTGAAGACGGCGTTTCTACGAAGTGAAAGAACGGGCTTGTCCAGTAATTTTTAGTACTAGAATTTTTTAAATTAGACCACTTCGCTTTTTGCTCACAGCATTTTTCCAGGATTTTTTGAACAATATTAACCCTCAAAAAATGAGTTCATACTTGCATATTTTGAGCTCATATTCTTGTGCACATTGTCAAGAAAGTCAAGGTGACCTCTGAAAGTATTTTCTTTGTTGTGACTACGATCTCAACCATGTAGTGACTCTATCTTGATGTATAGTCTGTGCAGCTGTGCATTGAAAATGTTTGCATGGACCAGAGATCGTGGAGAGGTAGTGATCTGGCTTTGCGCCAGTTTGCCTCAGGAGCCAGAAGGATATTTTCAGACACCGTTCTGGCTTTTTTGACAACGAACATCTGAATGAGAGCTCAAAACATGCAGCTTTGAACTTGAATTTTGTAAGTCAGTGTTGTCCTGAAAAATCCAGGAAATTTTTTTGTGAATCGAATGCAATCTCTATTTTCCAAAAATGCAACAATAAAAAATTACTGAGCACACTCATTTTAAAAAAGTTTCTATCGTTCAACAAGTTACTACGTTTGGTGTATGAGTCATCCTCAAATCTTTCTTTTCTGAAATCCACGGCATAGCTTCAAGAAATGGCATGAGTCAAGCCTTGAGAAATGACATGAGTTAAGCTTTGGAAAATGGCATGAGCTCTGCCTGGAAGAATTGAATCCAATATTATCACCCATTAGAATTTCTCAACTCTGAAAGAACCAGTTATCTTATTAAAGTAATTTTTGTTCTTGAAAATTCTCTTTTTTGGACGTGTGATTCATTTTCAAAAGTCCCATTTTTAGTAAAATCCTTTGATTGAAAGGGAATACTTAGCCTTGCGAAATTGAGTCATTGAAGTTGGACTGTATTTTGGAATACTTTGATGCCTCCTTTCCAGGTCAAAGTTTTATGTTGCACCAAATTCGTAAAATGGTGGGCTTGGTCATGGCGATATCTCGGGGCATCACATCTGTTGAAACGATGACTAAAGCGTTCCAAACGTTGAAACTGGATCTTCCTACTGCGCCTGCCTTAGGTTTAATGTTAGAACAGGTATGTCTGCACTTATGTGTGTTTTCAAATGTGCACGGACAATGTTCTTTCAAAGAAAGTTATGGAAGGATTCTGAAGTAGGCAAATGCCGCAAACTCACCCTGAAAATTCAATGAATTCCTTGGATTGAGTATGGAAATAAATCCTACCAATGAATCTTATTGGTCCAAATTTTAGGAACATTTTGTCTGTAAATTTACAATCGCCAAGACGAGGTTTAGCACATTGCATCAAACTTTATAGTTAACTCTAAGATTTTATTCATTTTTTTTTTTCAAACAAAAAAATATGTAATTTAATGGAACTTAAAATTTTAAAAAAAACCTTGACTATTATCAATTTTTCATAAGTCCAAGACGTTTATGGTTCCTAATTTTTTACATTTCTAACATTCAGCAACTTGGCTTTCTCCTTTCACATCGATCTGTCATGTCCAATCTTCAAAAACAGTAATTGCATTAGATTCTTCTCTACAATGGAAAATAATGTCTCAAAGGTTTTATTCTTGTTCTTTTTGTGTACTTACTAAATCATATTAATTCATCAAATAAAATGTAACAGTTCCTTGATGTTCAAGTTTTAACAACTTTTTCCTGGGTTTGAAGGCCATTAGTAAGAGAGCACAGATTCTATTTTCATACTAGTTTTTTGGATAGCCGAAAATTCTCCATTCACTCACATATCTACATATATAATTCTTATAGCCCTAATTAATTAAGAAATATTTCTACTTTTGAACTTCTGTTTGAATTCCAGGTGCATTACGACTCATATAATAAAAGATTTGGCTCGGATGGAATGCATGAAGCTCTAGATTGGGCAGAATTTGAGTCAGAAATCCAAGCGTTCAAGGACAAAGTTTTAATACCTCATATAGTTAAAACGGAAAAAGCTGAAAAAACGTATCCTTTATTCTTCATTTGTTTGACACTTTTTATAAATTATCATTTGTCTTCCATCTTTAGTTCTTTTGTGTTGAAGTTTTCGCCAAAATAAGAGAGCAACGAATCAAAGAAGTGCAAGAATAAATGTACTACCAAGAAAGGAAGTAGAAGCAGCGACAACTTGGAAAAATTCACTTTTCTACTCAACTAAAATTTTTGGTGCTAATTGTTTTTTTTTTTTTTAAGTAAGGGCCGGGCTCACAGGTGAGGCGTCCTCAAGGGGGCAAGGCAACTGGCTACTGTCGTGGTGCACCCCGAAGTTGGATTGTCCTTCTTAACTTTGTACTATTGACTCATTCTATATTCCTGTAAGGCCCTGCGGGCCCTGCGTCTGATAAGCCAATCGAAGGTTGTATCAACGATGTTGGTAGACACTACAGAGTGAGGACTGTCGGAGCACATGCCTCCACCGAATTCGACTGTGTTGTTTCAATCTCCACCGATAAGTTACGCTGGTAGTCGTGCATACTAATAGTGATCTCTGATTTTTTCACAACCCAGTTGAACAATGCAGATGGATTACTTACTGGGTGACTATGTCCTTCCCACACCCTGTTACCTCGAAGGGTCACAGGGTGTTGGAAAAGCATAGTTATCCACGGGCACCTCGGGGGGTTGAACCCGGGACCTCAAAGTTGGCAGCAAACTGCCTTGACCACTACACCACTGAGGCTGACAACTGCAAATTGTTTCATACCAGTATTAAATGGTTAGTAAAAAAAACGGCTTCAAATTTCTCAGGGTTTTATTAAAACAAAATCTGTTGAAAAATCCCAGGAGATTCCAAAGTTTCTTCATTCTTATTTCATCCAAAATGATTGCACGGAATTTTTCCTTAACTGCTTTTTCTCAGGACGTTATACTTCATCACACAAGAACTCCCCAGGCACACATTTAACGTTCGAGACGAAGCAGCTGAAGAATGTGCTGGGCTCCTAGCGTTAGGCAAAGCTGCCAACCTCATTGAATCTGAAGACAAATCCAACGACTCATACCTCAACGACAACCTCAACACTTTAGCACAGGCAGCTCAATCTGTCAGTCCTGAAAAATTCAATTCAAAGTCGGACTGAGCTGACAAGTACCTGGAAACCCAGCGTTAAGTTTTTCTCGAAAGTAGCCTTAGGTAGCACACCAAAAACTGGTCTGCTAACTCTTTTTGTGACTTGCAAATTTTTTCCTTGTTGGAATGTATTTCAATTGCAAGCTTAAAAAAAAATTGAAGCAAGATTGTAAAAGTATCTTTCATTATGATTTTCTCCTGTTTACAAGTGTGGTGATGAAATGACCATGACGTCATTAAAACAGCCCTCACCCCAGGAGCAAAAAAAGAAAGGGGAAAAAATGGTTTAAGTTCAGAAATGGTTTTAGAGTTTTTTCTAAGCCCTCTTTATCCTTATACTCTCAACTGAAGTGAGTAAGGACTCGCCAGCTTGTGGAAAGAAATGAATTGTTTGATTTAAAACTTCATCCGAGATGAATCGTCCGAGAATTTTAGTTAGATAACTAACATCGTTCCTCCATAAATGTGCCCTTTCACCTTTGAATTCCTTAAATTACCTTGATCCACTTAAGTATTTTTTATAGTTTGTTTACTCTCAAAGGTAAATCTAGCAAGAGTACATATGTAGTACTATTTATTCGTCATGCCTTTACATCAATCCTAACATTTTTGTTTACTTTTCTGCTCAAGTCATAGGTCCCAGCTCATTTATTCCAACTTAAGCTGAACAGTTCTGTTACTGTAACCTGAAACCTGGCTTCAAAAAAAAAAATAAAAAAAAAATTTAAAGAACATCTTTTAAAGAGGGAGTAGAATACATGAGTCTGAAAATGAAATATATTCCAATAAATTTTTTGCCGTCACACAAAAAAAAAAGTACACAGTCATTTCGGTTTTGAGCTTGTAATCTCATTGCATCTTTTTTCTGATTTTGTATATTTCAAAAGCAGGTTTCTCGCCACCTTAATGAGTGGTCTGCTTTGATAAAAAGAGTATTCTGTAGCCTCCAATATTTTTCTGAATTAGGGGAGATAAATTTATTTTGATTCCCAGATGTGTGCATCATTTATTTGAGCTTATCGGGAGATGAGAACTGGTGAGATACATTTCAAAATTAAGACACCCTTAAATTTTTTCTTTAAAAAAAAACACTCCGGGGTGGAGGGGGGACCCCCCGAATCATAGTATTTAGTTGTTACGAGAGTACCAATTATGACAATTTCTGTGGATTTTAAAAATATTTTTCATGTTGATGCATTTCTGGAATATTGGACCCCAAGTATCAGTCCATATTCATCCTGAGCTGCCTAATAAATTATTCTAGCAGCAAGGTTTAAATTAATCTTATCATACTGCCTGTCTTGCACTTGCTCAGCTAGTGGTTGTTTTCACCGCAAAGTGCATTGTCTATTTTACAGATGTACATTCTTGCAACCATTTACTTTCACTATCAAGGGCTTTCCATTTGAAGGTAGCAATTGGAATATATTTTACAAAAACCGCTAATGTTCATTTTTTCAATTTTCAGTTATTTTATGTCAATTATACTTTTCAAGAGTTGATAAATCCATGAAAGTGGTGCAAAGACTTGTTTCGTTATTAAAATAACTCTAAAATGAGTACTAACATCATTTCATTGCTGCATCTAACTCTGAAAAGTATCATCAACCCAAAAAACACAATATTGGGAAAACGGACACTAGCGGTTTTCACGATTCAATTAAAAAACAGAACTGCAAACCTGAGAGTCTCCAAAAAGTCAAATTTCTGAATTGTTTCATTTCTCGAAAGTCCTTATCAACTTGAACGAAATAGTATCAAAATTAACAGACCTAAAAAATCCATGACTTGTGGCTCAATTGCCAGTTAGAGACAATTTTTTCTTGGGTTTATTTTGACTTCTCCCCACTTTCCTTCGTTAATTGAAGGCTTTTAAAGGCAAAGAAAAAATGTAATTTCCATGAAATTTAAATATAATTTTTGCTCCATTTTTGTGATCACAAGATTCCCAACTCGCATCAATATTTCACATTCTGTTTAAAGAGGTTTTACGTTGAACTAAAGAACTTCCAACTGAAAAATTATGTTTTTCAAGTTTTTTGTAAACAGTGTTAACTTTTTCAAAACAAAATATCTCACAATTTCTCTCTCAACTCGTATGATATGTCCGGTAAAGATTAGGAATCATTCAATCAAAGAGTCTCGTCAATTGGCGTCATAATGAGTGAGGTGAATGATCTATGACATTTCGGAATATATGACTAAACCCCTCTGTATAAATGACACAACTTGTTCATTTTTGCATAGGTTTCTAAGACCAAAAGTTATTTTCCCACAGGTAGAAATACGGTCAAATAGTGCGTCAACTGTTCTTTAGTACTTGAGCCATTCTGACAGGTCATCAACTTGAACCTCTACTAAAGGTTTTAGAGGTTCAGATATTTTTTCCGGTGATAAATCCTGGATAGTCACTTCTGCAGCATGATCCTGTGAATATTCAGCTGCAATTTTTCCTTGACTAGACTGACAGTGTAAAATTTAGCATCAGACTTATTGATTTACTCTGAATTGGCTTTTTAAAAAAATCGTCTTTCTAGTCTCCTGATTAATCTTGCAGTTGCAGATCGTCATTACTTGATTGCGCCTGAATGGTGATGATCAAATTAATTTCATCTTTTCAAGCCATTCCGTCCCAAAAGAACATCCAGATTAAGGTTCTAATAACGTAAATCCATCCCCTCCCCCCTCCTCTCTCTCTTTTTGCTCACTGTCGACTGAGGATTGTATGCTTTAACTTTTGTAAAATTAACTTGAAATAAATTTTCTATTTTAAAACAATTCTTTCTGAAATTTTCTTATAAAAAGTTGCTTTCTCTCATGGCTTGTTGGATAGGCACAGAGTGATCTATGTACACCGTCCATCCATTGTTTGCATCTTTGATAAAGCTCAAGATAACAGAGATTTGAATCTAAAACGTAGACAACTGATGTAAAATCAAGGAACTTAGTGAACATATTTTCAGTCTCTTAAATCCTTCCCTAGGAGAAATCTTTAAGGGGGCACCTTTTAGTTTTTCAGGATTTTCTAGACTGGTGATGGATGATTTTCTCAAAATGTGTGATATTGACTTCATATGTATGTATATCAAAATTATATTTTGAAAATTTGAAGGAGCTCTCTGATAGGAGCAAATCCATGTCTCAAGTCGAAAAATTAGTATCTCAGGTTGGATGTTGCTTTAGTTTCAGCTCATATTTATTTTCTGAGAGGAAAACTAACATCTAGTTTCTGAGATAAATCCTTTGAGGTTTCCTCACTAATTAAAAAAAAAAAAATGACATGAAATTGCAAGAAAACATAATGATCAGTTTTCTGTTAAAAAATAAAACACGATCGGAGATTTTCTCAAATAGCAATTGAGATGCGCTTTCGCATTTAGCCATTAAATTTTTAAACTTCCTCCCAAGCAAAACCTATAACTCATGGTGCTGTTTTTAGTTCCATCCCTTCCATACTGTCAATACCGGATTATGTAATTGCACTTCGGATGTACTCATGCCAAAAAGAACTATGTGCATGTACTTTGCCTGCAACATGGTTTCTTTCAGCATAAATATGTCTATTTAATGCTTAGACAGTTTTTGGATAACATGATATTTTCAATACTTTAGGGCGTAAAAAAAGTTATTAAAGAGGATGTTCCAAAGCCAAATTTCAAAGACAGCAGTGATATATTAACAATACTTTTATTTGTATCTGACTTACTGCGAAGGAACAAGGACACCTTAAATAAGCATTTAGCCCTTAATAATACTGGAATCGAAGTTAAGTCGATGAATTTTACTGGTCATACATTAACGCCTTCATAGGACTTCCATCTATTCTGCTGGGTTTCCTGCAAAATCTAGTTGTAGATCAACTCTTCATCAGTGTTAAAACACCAAAGAACTCATTCCATTGAGTGGAAATCGGACACGACATACCAGCAAGATAGTCCTCAGTTTAATTTTCACCTCAGGCCTGCTAATTTACGGAAATCGGTTTTGATTTTATTAAAAACGGAAAAATTGAGGAGGGCATTGAAAGAAGCGCACCAATTACTCGCATTCATAAAATAAAGATCTAGTAGAGATTTAGAGGAGGTGAGATTGGGGGGAATTCCCTCTGTCGTTCCACATTTACACTACTGCCCGGACTTGAATTAGAGTTTTTATAATGATTTAATGGACCAGATTTTTAGAATCCATACATATAACTTTAGTTCCCGAATCATCAAGGGCCACAGGCCCATAAAAAGGGTGTCTTTTCCTTTTTGACATTTTTTTTTCTACACTAAGTAACAGATCAATGCACACACTGACATGAGGGTGCTTAGAAAGTCTCAAGGAAACTAAATATTATTGGAATGATTACAAACGGAAAAATGAGAAATAACTGGTGATGACTCTCATCACTAAAACACCATTTTTCTGGGAAGATTCAAAACTTTAGCTTCCTATTAGGGGGGTTCCAGCACCCTCATCTTCACAATTAAAGGTTTCTGCACAATATGCTGCTTTACAGCTATGGATTAGCTAGGTACACGATTAAAACTGAAATGACTAATGTTTGATTAAGCAAAACAAGAATACAGACTCTGATAGTAAAATAAAGTCTACAACAACAACAGGCAACATTTTGGACTTTGTAAATTTAAATGCTTGCTTGAATGGGATATAAAGGGCAGACAATCTTCATGGCCACCATTAAGAGATTTTGGCGGTGAAACTCCCAAACAACATATCTCGTTTGCAGTGTTTTAAAATCCCTGCTTCTATTTCTTGTACGAAAGGCTAACAAATCAACATCATTTCTTGAAGTTTTTCCAGAATTTTCTTCACACATAGAAGAAAAATCAAGGCAGTTTTTAAGAATTACTATTGAGTAGTTTTCCATTTAAAAACAACGTATGACAGGAAGTTTGCAGCGTGGCAAACCGAGATACATAGTTTGGTATACCATCGATTTGCAGTGACAAGGTTCAGATAACTGGTGAAATCATTTTCTATTGGCAGTTTAAAACTTATAAGACCTCTCTGCTCCGCTGTGTTCACAACGACCAGAGGGTTTGCTACACTCTGAAGGTCTCACAGAAAAAAATGTAAGTAAAGAGAGTATCTTACTATTATAACATCAGATTTTTTGTTCAACTGAAGTTGAATAATTATGACACAAAGAACGTGCACGATTAATAATTTTGCTTGCACTTTAACTGGACCAGTTTAAGTAGGGAGAAAATATATAAGTGCACTGGCAACGTTGCTGAAATCGTTCAACTTTCTCTTCACCACAGAAAAAAGAAAAGCGAGAGAGACTTGCTAGAGAATTCCTATTTTAAATGAACAATTTTTTTTTCTGTGTGTGAAATGCATTAAAACGTCTTTGAGACTACATGATATTGAAAAAAAAAAAAAAAAAAAAAAAAAAAAAAAAAAAAAGTTTTCTTTTCCCCTATTGATAGTATTTAATTCACAGAGAGCTTTAGATATGGCTGATGTTGCAAATTTTTTTAAAGATAAAGAAAAAAAGGAACAGGTACAGTTGAGTTAATTAAAAAACTAGGGAATGTAATGTTTTATCCCTTGAACTGAAAGATCATCATCAATAGGAGAAAATATACTTAAATCTACAAACAAATAAGTAAATTGAAAGAAGTCAGAAAAACAGCACCTAGCCATCTGAAGCCACCGAGATTTAACAAAATATTCTTGATCAAACACACCCCAGACAATGATTTAATTTTTTACACTTGATGAAACATTGTCTAGGAGACAACATTGACAATGTGGTTATTAGTGATTTACTTTCCTAAAACGTAGATGTACTTTGCATTATGAAATGAACAAATCTCTTGTTCTTTCTTGGAGAATAAGACAGGAGTGCGCTGAATTGGCTACAATAATCTGCTCCTCATTTTTAAAGTCAGAGATAATGTTTTCGTAGCTCCGAAATGAGGTTTTCTAATTAAAGCTCAGCAGTATTCTTTCTTAGGCATCAAAAAGGAATAAGTAATAAGTAATTACGATTGAAACTCTGGACTTCAGGAAAGGAAAGAGTATACTTGCAGGATGAAAAGTGTAAGAATCAACTCATCAGAATGAAATTAACAGAGCAAGAAAAATCAAATTTAAACTCACATTCATTTTTGTTGAAAGAGGAACAAATTAAAGCCTACATAATGTCTATCATCGCAGTCAATTTTGGCCCTGACGATAGAACCATGAAGGTTTTGAGAAGCGCCATTCCTTTTTTAAAATATATATGAGTTTCAGTCAATGATCTATCGTTTATTTCCTTTTTTTAGGGCTTATCATTCATCACCTTGGTGTTTTTGCATTTTTTTCTTACATTATACAAAAGGGGGTTTGATAAAGAACTTATTATTTACCAGAAATATGAATTTCCGAACGGCATCAGATGGGAAGGTTATAACAGCTGACAAAGGATGCCTAACAATGTTGCAATAATCTAGAATTCCAATAGTTGAGGAATGTAAAGCACCAATATTTTTCCATGCACGCGTCAATGTCACAGTTTTTGTGACAGATTCTGAAAAATTCAGCTGAGAACAAAATTAGCCTATTATCTGAACTTCCCTTATGCAGGAAAATAAGAGAGGAAAAAAAAAAAAAAAAAACTGAGGAAAAAAAATAACAGAAGGGTACCTCATTTGTCAAATAAATTATTCTGAATTCACGAAGACTTAGTTTTTTGCAACTAATCCAAACAAAGAATGTGTGGACACAATTAGGGAATCTTTGCCATTAAAGAAACTTAGGTAGGTACCACCAAAAAAAAAATAAATAAATAAATATAAAAAAAAGTAAGAGGAATCAAAGAGCCCAAAAGGAGGCAAAAAACTTGACTTAAATATTAATTTACACGATGTCTACAAAAACAGACACTATACACGGAGTTAAACAAAAATCATCATACGTACAATAATACTAAATATTACAAACTTAACAGGAATCATCGTTCATGACTTGGAATAGATAGAAAGATGTAAAGATATGATCTAAAAACAATGATTATAGCAGATACATTGTTATTGAGGGTACAATGCCAAGCAAATAATTTTGATATAGTTGCATAGACGTTAGGCTAAATTTAGGTAAGGTTCATCTGTCGTACATCAAAATGATACAAATGCGATCTTTAAAAATTTTTAAGTAAGAAAATATTCAAATTCAAAACACCATTCATTTACTGCTTTAGTGTCTAGAGACATTTTCATTCATGGATGCAATCCTCACTTGTCCCGAAGAATGACAAAAAATAAGGTAGTTTTGAGACAAAGGTTATAATGTTAGGTGTATAGAAGTGACCATTCCAAAGTTAATCATCGATTCAGTCAATTTTTGCTCAAACTTGGCCTAACTATCTATGCACACTTCAAATAAAGCAGTCATCATGGAATTCATAAAAACAGGAACATAGAATTTCCAGATGAGATCATGGAATATCAGGCAAGATTTTCATTTCATACGGTTGCTTGAGAAAGCCCAATCAAAGTTAAAATAAAAATAAAAACTATGGCTTGTTTGAGTTATTTCCTCTGGAACACCTCGGAAGATAAGAGTGTCCAAACTTTTCCATAAAATAACTGCCAGCAGACATTTTCATAAGTACTTATTTTTTAAAAACACGAAAAATATAAATGTAAGTTGAATTATTATCAGGGGTCTTATCAAACTAATGCCAAGCAAGAATTTTACAAAAATTAAATTAATGATCTTCAAATATATTTTGCCAAGTTTGCAACTATTTTGTTTGACCTCTCTTCACCAAACTCCTTTATCTACTGTGAAGTCCGCACATGACTTCAAAATGTCAAAATTCAACTTCATATGATACACAGGAAATCAAACTAAATCTTCTACCGCTGAACTACTTTGTAAGTTATTAAGTTATTTTTTATACAAAAAAATAAAAGGTGCTCCTTGCTTACTTTTACGTGTCTTTTTTATCATTAGATGAAAAAAAGATACCTACTTTTAGTCTAAAATTTGTTGTCGGCAAATCGGAAAAGTTCGAACTTTCAGAAAAAGACAAAATTTGAGACAACAGTTGCACTGCGCCTGGATTTATCTATAAATTCCAATTCAAAAAAAGTCGTGTTCAGGTGAGTATAATTTTTTGAGGAATGCTTGAAGCTTAGTTGGGTCGAGAAACAGGTCTCGCCGGAAGAGGTGGAGGACCCCCGCTACGAGCCGGGATGGGAGGTGGGGCCTCGCGGCTGGGGATCGGTGGTGGAGGTAGGGTGCGATGAGGGAGCGGCGGAGGGTTAGATATCACAGGTGGTGGCGGTGGAGGTCCAGAGGGAATAGGGGCACTCTCAAATTCTTCCGACACTATTTCTTCGTAGATTGCAGAGTCGTTTTGTGTGGTAGCTTCCAGCTCATCTCGCAGGAATGCACCACCGGAAATCGGCTGTTGATAATCAGATGGAGGTGGTGGTCGAGGGGGCTCTTTCACGGGGATGCTTAAAACGCCAGCCTAGTGAACATAAACATACAAGGGGCTCATTGTCAGTTAAAATTACAAGAAAAGGCTTGGGTTACAATTCAAGTTTGCTACGATTTCTTCATCTTCAAATTCCCTGACCTTCGAACAAAAGTTCCGCTTGTATTCTTTTTTATTTATTTCACTTTATTTCATTTTTTTAAAATTGTTTTATTTGCTCATTATTGCTTATTTACTCATTTTATTTCATTTTTCTTGGATACACTGTCTTTTGATAAATTTGGACAAAATTTCCATGTTTAGGGATCGAATGATAGAAAAAATCATTCAGTGGCTGGTTAAAAAATGACAAACACTAAAAATGACAAGATAGGTTAACAATTGGAAGATCAGTGATATGTTTCAGTAATACATAGATGTGTCAGAAATGCACTAAATATCCCAATGGATTCCCAGACTTTCCTGAATTTCCAGACTGCCGGCAACCCTACAGTTTTATTTCTTTCGTAACATCTCTGCTTTTCTCTAGCATTCACCTGAGGGCCGCTGCCAGCCTTCCTCCCTTTCTGCAGGACGGTGTTTGCAACACTTAAGCGGTTAAATATGTGATTCAGAATATTAGTCGTACCGAAAAATTCAGTTTCAAGGAAAAAAATGAATTATTGATTACCTTGACTTTAGGTCTTGGCGGTTGAGCAGGCCTTGAGGGGGACTTGCACCGATCCACAGCTCTGTGACCTGGACTGAGATCTAAACAATTGAAAACACATAACATTAATATTACAAATTAAAGTGATGATGACTTATTTGTTTCTGTGTTTAATACAATGAGTGCCACACCATTCAATAGGAATCGACAGCAGCTGGTTCCATAAAACCACAAAAACAGGCAAAGTTGATGCAGTTAGAAAACTGGCAAGAAATCTTGAAATAATCTTCTGTCACACAGCAAGTTGATATATAGCAGTTGTAGCCCTCTACTCAAGCGGGTGCCAACTTCAGCTTGAAGAATATTGGTAGCTATTGACCAGCGCTGGCTTCACGGAACAAGGAACCAAAAATGCATTTGCAGTCGACATTAGCGGTGTTTCCAAATCTCTGCTCCTAGTTTATTTTTTCGAGGAGGAACAAGCCAGCTTTATGGCTTGAAATTCAACAGAATATTCTACTAACAGAAAAGAAAACTTAAGAAAGTTTTCAAAAAATTACGTTGACTTGTTTTCCGAGGAAAAAATAGAGTATGACTGGAAGTCTGCAACGTCGCAAACGGAGATATGTGATCTCGCATCTTAGCTATTGATATGTAGCAATAGGTGATTTTATAGAGGGGCAATGAAAATTTTTTATTAAATGTTTTAAAAACAGTTGTTATCATAGAGCCCTCTTTCTGTTCAACGAAATTATTTTGGGTTGGAAAGGTAACTTACCAGAAACAGTGTTAGAGCTGGCACAGAGGTTTGAAAACGAATCACAGAGAGATACTGTATTGGCAGAGCAAAATTCTAGCTCGTGCATGACTCGGTCAACCCAATCAGGAGTTTTCAGACTTAAATGTAATTTGTAGCCACACACCTGCAACAGAGTTGGAGACACGCATGAACATGGTAATAATATTTCATTAAACCTGAGGGACCTTGCAGAGAAAACCCAAGAAGAATTCAATGCCTGCTGAATTTTGATGTTATTTGATATGATATTCTGTAAAAGCTCCTGAGAGTGGTGAGCTTTTAAAATCCAACTTTCTGTGTGTTAATGTTGAGAAAAGCAGGGCTGAAAAATATGATGAGCCGCCTATCATGGCTTTTGTTGCACATTGCGTGTTCAAAAAAACATCTATCAAGGTAGATTAAGGGATCCACAGCGGATATGCAGGTAGAAAGAAATATAAAAATTTTTCTACAAGATAACTTTTGAGCCGTTTCAAAAGATTTTCCCACTTCACGATCCTGCTTACATAAACTATAGATCTGGGTATTCTGCTATTTTTGTTATATTTGACAAATAATAATCTTAAGGGAAAAGGTCTGACCTGAGTGTTGGCTTTTTTGGCCGCAGCAAGAGCAGTTTGTCCATCTCTGAAAGTGACCCACATCGTATCTTCTACAAATCTGACTAAAACAACTTCCCCAACTTGCGATAGCTCTTGGAGTAAAGCTGGCATTAACTCTTCAAACACATTTTCTTCTTCATCTGTCTCCACCTGCAATACATACAAAAATACGTTCACCTTTTATTTACATTTTTGTTGAGACTAAATATTTTCATAAAGAATCATATGTCTTTAGCACCTTCAGTGCCATTAGTCTATTGATGAAAAATTTGCAACAAGCTCGTAGAGGTAACTGATAACCGCTAAAAAAGAATATTTTTTAATGATTTTTAGACATCAAAACGAACTACATTGCAGAGAGATCAGCAACATCTTATTTTTTTACAAAGGGGCACACTGCCTAACCCCCAGAGGATGCTTTGCGCTCTCTAACAGGCTCGATTTGTGGGCCCCAGTGATTTAATCTATAAAGAGCAATCTCATTTGGGGACTAGTGTCATGTTACATACAGTTTGGCCCACGTTTCTTAGGGGTTAGTCTCTTGTCAAAAAATAAACGTTTATATAATTTAAATGGGAGGATTCACAACTTTATCATGCTGTATACAAACATCTAAGTCATAGATCCAAAATCTGAATAGAGAGGGCTCATCTGCTCAACCCATGAGTATTGCTGAGTTTTACAAAGACTGCTGAATAAGAAACCAAAGACAGACCTGTACGATGATGGTTGAGTCAGGAGGGCCGAGGTCCTGGATGACATCTTTCAGGACTTTCGCCCGCAGATCAGGGTTCACCTTGTAAATCTCGATATCGATAATTGCAATCACAGGACGGTGATCACTTTGTTTCAGTTCTGCCCGCCCGTAATGAATCAGTCTGCCATGGCTCCAATCAGGAGGTAAGTCTGAAAATCATCCCAAGTACAATCTCGATGACAAAATTCAAGGGAGGAAAGTAAAAGAGATGGCTTCTTTAGGAGATAACGCGTGTCACTTGGCATGATGTTTTTCAATTTGAGCATCTTACCGATGCTTGGTTTTAAAACATTTAAGGATAGTGCTCTTTGTTGATGCTGATGAATAAATCGAAAACAAGTTTTTTAAAAGAAGGAAAAACTTATCAAAGATGGAAGGACTGCGGAGCATTAACTTAAACATATTTTCAAAGCTCTACGTTGTAGTTTATAGAAAAAGTTGAGAAATATCACAGAATTCTGCTGAGACTAATAGACTTGCTTGAGGAAGTTTTATGTGAAAGTTTAAAACTAAGAGTTTGAGGGAGAGAAAAAGGACCATAAAATATACCTGAGTCGGGATGATGTTTTCTTCTTTTCCATAGAATTCTGTCAGTCCATGCAGGGGCACGACACTTCTCGCTCGTGTCATAATCATCAGAAAATAAGTCATACTTATAAGTGGGAGGAAAAGTAATATCACCCTCGATGAAGTTTTTGAAAACGTTTCCTGCTTCTTGTTGTTGCTGTAAATGACATTTTGAACATAGTTAATAATACGGTTCAAAAGAGAGAGGTTTCTTTATATGATTCCTCCTACCATGTTGTGCTCTTTCCATTTTTATCAGGCCAAAAGATGAATAAAAATTCCTGTCATGTTAACTATTGCCAGAGTTTTATATGACAGCTGTCTGTGCCTGGCTTGGGGCAAGGTAGAATCACAATGGTTTTATAATGGTTGTCTTTCCTTTGGTGGTTGTCATGACCTGATTTAGTGACTTCGTTGGGTCGGATTTCATTAAAAGAGCAATTATTCTTAAAATGTTGAAAAATTGCATGAAAATGAGGGTTTGAACTGAAGCACAATTGGACGTATTTCTGTTAAACGGAACCAAGCGCCAATTTGAGTTCCTTTTGAGGATTTTAGAATCCTGGATAGTGCGTTCTATCAAACGGAACTAGGCACCATGGAAAAGCATTGCGAGTATAGGACGGAGCAAGCATCGCGTTCCGCAACATCCACCAATCCAAGCCCCCCTCTCCCTTCCTCCCCCTATGGCGCTCAGTTCCGTTTGATAGAAATACGTCCAATTAAGAGCACAAAAGAGCTCCTGAGTTTCTTGAACATTCACTCATTTTTGCACAGTTTCCATTTCTATTCAATGGTGCAAAAGTAAAAAAGAAGGCTGAAAGGGAATTCAAATACCTTTAGCTGATCTTGAGCAAGTGCTTCTTCTAGTTGGTTATTTTTTATCAGTTCTTTCAATTCATCTTTATCCATGTTAATGCGATAATTGAAGTCTCCACACCAGAAAACATAATCGTGAGAATTAAGCGAACGACCCTGCAACAAAGATAGAGGATGTTAAAAACATGGTCCCATTACTTGTAAGCTGGAATTGAGTAATATAGGATGAAATATTATCCGTAATTTTATTGTAAAACTGCAGATTTTCAGTTTTCTGTTAGCTTTACATGAAAACTGATCAACGAAAAACTGCAAAATCTTGATAATACGAATCTCTAATTTTCTATGACAGCCATGATAAACTACAAAAATTTGTGAAGATTTATTTTTTAATTTTTTAGATTTAATTAAGATATAATTTTTTCTCGGAGGAGCCGTTGCACGAATCTGTCCAAAAATTTTAGAGTATACATACTTTTTTCACAGAGGCAAGGAAAAATAACAGAAAATTTCAGAAAAATTCATGTTATAGGATTCCTGAAGGAAGAAAAAAATTGGTGAAAGACACTGACGCAGCGCAATCAAGATATGTTCCTACATGCTAAAGAAGAGAAAATATGCTCTCAACACATCTCTAAAACTTTTGTAGGGAGCTGGAGCTATATGTGATTTAAGTTAAAACCAATAAAGATAAGAGGAAACTGAAAATAGTCAAACCATTGGGAAGGAGATTTTTCTGGTAATTTCAGCATAATCTGCATTTCGGTCTGCAACTTGAGACTGTCCGGCAGCAAAGTGACCGCAAACAAAACAAACAGATGTGGCATGAAAAACGAATCGTATTGCAACAGCGCCCTTGTTACCTGTTAAAAATACAGAGAGGATGGATAAAGTAAAGAGTGAAAGAAAAAATTGAGTAATTGTGGGGAAAAATTCTTTTTTGGGATAAGTCCTGGAATTATCAGAACTTTAAGTGTTGAGATTTTCATCATTTAGAAAATTGATGACCAAACTTCCAAACCACGTATCTTGGTTTGCAACATTCTGTCATACTTAATTTGTAAGTGGAAAACTACTTGACGTTAATCCTTCCTAACTTCCAAGATTTTTCATCACTGTGCCAAGAAAGTTCTGTGAAAACTTCATAGAATGATAAAGATTTGTCTCATTCAAACAAATTACATAGAATGATAAAGATTTGTTCTCATTCAAACAAATTAAATGGGAGTGGGGATTTTAAAACACTGCAAACCGGACACTAATTTGAGAGTTTCAACATTGATATTCTCTTTATATGATGTAATAAAAAAGACTGGATAGTCTTTCTGGGTAACGCTTTCCAGTTTAAGGGGATATTTTTTTCTAATTGAAGGGACAGCACTAAAGGTACCCAAGTCCACTGCTCAAGTCAGTGAATGATGTAGATGTGACGATCCGTGAAACTTGATCGAGTTCCTTTCGACAGATTACTATGTACATTTGGTTGCCTATTTCTTATTTGGATAGACAATTTCCACGACTTGAATACTGTGTCTTTAATATCCTGATTTAGCTTCAGTCGGTAAAAAAAAGGGGAGGAAGTTTGAATGGAGACTAATAAGGAGAATCTATTTGGAACATTTATGAGAGAAACATTTTTTCCATCGTTGGATTATTTCTCGGTTTTAAGATTACGTAACAGACATAGAAAAAATGTATGCTTGAATAAGGAAAAAACATCTAAACGTTAGTTTAGTGCTACAAAAGAATATATACGCGAGTCAATCCAAACAAGCGAGAGTCAGTAAAAAATAAAATGCCATGATTACCAGTTGCTCCTCCGAAACCAGTTTTCACTGAATCGACAGCAACATCTCGGATAAATGGCGTGTGTTCTGGACGGACGAAAACAAACAAACATACGCCAACCAGCTGGATGTAAGTTAGTAAAACATATTCATTATCTCGAGACAAGACTTTCTGAAGCTCTTCACACCAAAGTTTTGCATTCTCCGTGCTGAAAAAAATTTGTCATTCATTCAATAAAATATACCATAACATGGAAAGGATAGCCTTTTGGTACTACATAAAGCTGAGATCTTGATGAATTATTTGGTTAGAGTTTAAATTAAATTGTCATTTAAGAATGCCTATAATTTTTCAATTATCTCCTTCAGATTTAACTGTTAAAAAATTAAGATAAATTGTGTCATTGAATGAGAATAAATATGGAAAAAGAAGGGGTCATTTCAACATCATTAATTTTTAATTTTGGCTTTCATGCATGGTATTTCACTTGCTTTGTCTTATTTTGTGTGATAAGGGTTGTACGTTCAGATACCAAAAATGCAATATAATTTTGCTGTATTTACAATAAATAAAAAGAAAAGGTAATAATACCAACCTAACACTACTTTAATTACAAAGCAGCTTACACAAAAATTACAATTTTTTTTTTAAAAATACTGGATTGGTCTGAATAGAGCAAACTTCAGGAAGAGTGTGATAACTGTCTCACGAAAAAAAATGGCTCAAAATACCAATGAGTGTATTAGCAAAGTCTGAAGTTTCTTCTTGTTATATGATACTTTGTGTGAGAAGTTGCACATTTTCGAGCTTCTCAAAAAAAAAAAAAAAGACGGGTCAAACTGGTTCCATGATTCCTCAAAGACCAGAAATGCCCCTGTAATGAGACAGTTTTTACTTTTTAAAGTACAGAGCACAATAATATATAGATCTCCACGGACTGTAATCGGTGAATTGATAATTGATGAATTATAGACTTTGCCCATGCGCTTATCGCGATTTTTAATCTTTTTTCTATTAGAAACAACTCTTATACTCACTCTACCTGACATTTGCAACAGACTAGTTGTGAAATTGGTTAACTTACCTAGCTGCCATGATGTTACTTGCATTAAGATCAACAATTTCCTCAAAACCAATCGCAAAAATATCTACGGGATTCCCTGGAGATTGAACATTTACTAGGACTGAAAAAAAACAAAAGACACAAAATTACAGCTTGGGAAGTTTGAAAGCGAAGAGAATAATCTGTTTAAAAGAATTGAGGTGGTAAAAAAGCGTACATACAAAATGGTCGGTAGGGAGGAAAATTGGAATTTGAGGATGTTTCTAGGGTTTATTGATACATTTATTTGCAAAAAGATACTAAGATCTACTAAGCCATCAAAACTTGAAACTGAGAGGTCTTCCACTTTGCTTAAATTCAAGATCAAGAGTTATAAACAGAATCCATCAAACAAGGTTATGAAAAGTGCGTCTAGTTTTTTCCCATTACAATCATATAAAATGATTTATAAATGGTTATGAGTGATGGACAGGTTGAAATAAATTATAGAATTTTGAATTTATGTCTTTGGATGTTTAGTTTCTCTAATTCCTCCATCCATTTAATTTTTGGAAAGGGGATACATTACAGTGCGGAAAAATTTGAAAACACTCACCAAGCATGGGAAAAAATAAAATCCAACATGAATGATAGAACAAAGAAAGAGCTTAGATTAACAAGCTGGATTAGTGTAGAGTTAAAAAGATTAGGAAATATCCCTGGTTGAAAACAGATTAACATGAGTTATTTTACTTCTAAAAGTTTTGGAAACTTCAACTTGTAGACGATAAGTTACTTCATTAGAAAAGTCAGAAAGCTTAATTTTCTTAACATTTTCTACTTCAGATGATTTTTTCAGTTCTTCTTTACATTGATGACTTGGTTTTAAATTATAATGTTTATGCACACATACGAATGATAAAGCTAGAATTACATATACCTCATTTAGTTCTTCTCTTTCAAATTACCTCTTATATTTCATTTGTAGAGGATAAAATGGACCATTTTGATAACATCCATTTACACAGAATATTTTTTGCATATCGGAGAAAGAAACGAAAAGATTTTTGAGGACGCCTGTTTCTCATGGTAAACATAAAGCTCAATCTTCATCAAACCGAAAGCTTACACTATGAAAGAATCAGAATTGGGCTTCTTAAACATATTGAGGGCTGGGGAACAATACTGCCTAACTGACTATTTTGGCATAAACAAGTGAGTGATTTTGCCGGAGTTGATTCTACAATGCAAAATACGCAAGCTGATGTTTTTAGTTTTTCCAGTTCTGCATAGGAGCGCTGTAATGTGAGAAAAATATTGCACATCTAACCTCAAAATTAAATTGGCAAAATTTTCTCTTCATCCTGCAAAATTGTCAGATTGCATGTGAGTAAAATTGTCCTTGTCGATGGATATTGATTCACAGGAAATTTTCCTCTTTGACTGGGCCTTTTATGAAAGCCCTCTGGTGAGGATTGGTGTTGCAGTGCATTGCAATGATGACGTGCTTTTATAAACACCTGGGAATAAATTAATAAGTTAAAAATGTGGGCAAACGCAAAACTTACAGTTTTTACTGGCTATGTCATATGCATCCAGGAGCCAGTCCGATAGAGAAGCATCCTTATACACAACACTTCGGAAATGTTTACCACCGTTGACGTTATAGGTTCCGACTGCCACCCTCAGACTTGCTGCACTCACGAATTCAGTATACCTTTTGCACATTTCACGCAGTACATTGGTTGGTGCTGGAAAATTTTAAGGAAATATTTCATTGACAACACAGTAAACGGATTAGAGCTGATGGAGGGAAAAAGTATTGACTTTTACATGTAAGTAATTTAGACCCCGTTAAGCAATACAGCCATGTTGTAGTGGCGTGCAGTAACAACCACACAGGTAGTGCAAGCCATATTTACAGTCAATTGGATTTACAACAAATAATATTAATTCCAAGCGATTCCGTCAACTAATCTTGTTAATACTCATGCAAGTGTTGATTATTTTGGTTTGTTGGGAAACCATTGAGTACAGAGAGTCATAATATAAATGGGAGAACTGGCGCCATGTTCTGCTCGACGAGATCTGAGCCTGGTGTGCGTCGAGCTTAGGTCACTTTTTCGATACATGTTCGATCCAAAATGGCGGTAAGAAATACATGGTAATTCCTATTTTTTTTGTTTACATTGGATGGCCGGGTACTCGTGTATTGCAAACAATCGATCGATCATGTATCGAAAAAGTGACCTGGCGTCACACAGGAGTCTTGGAATTTGGGACCTGGAAAATGTTTAAAGTGGCGCCAGCTCTACCACTTACATTATGACTCTATGTACTCCATGTGGAAAACTCATAAGTCCATCTGATGATGAGCTTAGGGTGGGGGAGGGGGATGAAGATGATGAGACAGTTATATCAGAATTTAGAGGTAGAGACAAAGCCTTCATTTTTGAACCAGCAAAATATATCAAAGTTTGAAACTTACCATGTAACATGTTAGAAGTTAGAAGCGTGCGTGCTCTATCAGCAAGTTCACTATTTAATGTATTTCCTAATAATAAAACATCTATGGCTTCCTGTTTACTATTGTCCAAGAGATTATTTTGAATAGTTCTTGCCGCAGATCTAGCACCATCCATAAGCTGGAAGAGAAAAGCCACATAAGTTTCTTAAAAATTGTTGCTGAATTACAGTCATGTTAGGTAATTTGGGAAAAAGGAGGTTTAATGGCATTAACCATGGTAAAATTAACAATTTATGGAGCTTACTTTTCACGGCGCAAAATACCTTCTTCCCCAGATTTTTTCAAATCANGGGGGGGGGGGGGGGGGGGGGGTAGGAGCTTGCAATCTGTTTCATATTCAATTCTTTGTTTACATACTTTGCTTCCTAACCTTCAGCAGCGTAACAGTGGAGTTACGTTGGAAATTGCATCCTTAGTGAAAGAATAATATTTTAGTATTGTGAGCGTGCATGTGCGTTAACTGTTCCATTATAAAAGAAAGAATGGAAACTTGTATGAATACAGTGGTTAAGAAAAAAGAAGAGACCAGGCTCACCTTTGAGCCACCTTGTATTGCACCTGTCCCTGCATAAATTTTGCTGACCTCATTACCATTATTCACCCACATTTGTTTGTACACTTCTTCAAATCGTGATACAATTTGCTGCTTGTCCATCAGATCAAGGGCAGCCAACTGTTTCAATAAGACCTGAAATAAATTGAATAAAAAAAATTCACTCATACAAAAATTAGAGGAAGAAAAACCCTGCTGTATTCAGTTGATGACAAATTTTTCTTTTTGGATAAAACTGAATTTCGCCTAGATCGATTATGAACAAAGTTTGGGTTTAAATATAAATCTCTCATATAAAAAATAAAAAAATTAGTCATAATTAGCTGAGGTACAAATATCATTCAGCAAATTTTTTGAGTTTGAAATGTATCTCACGATCTTACCATGAAAACTGTCCTCATTTCTACTTTTGCTAGCAGCAGTGTAGACCTGCCTCAAAAGTAAGGCCTTGTCCAAACAAGCACAGTTCGAGGAACTTTTTGGCGTATTTGGTCCTGAAACTTATTATGACTTAGCTAAAATTTAATCCACAAAACCTTGATTCTTTGAACTAATTTGCCCAAAAGTTCCACAAGCTGAACCGGTGTGCAGGGATTTAGAGCTGAGGTTTGAGGGAGCATCATAAACGGAGCCGCATCGGCGCGCGAGGCGGAGGCCCGGCGCTGACTTTCATGCCGCGTCGATCAGTGCGCCGGGGGAGCGCATATGCCGTTGAGGCGGCTTCACCTGGTGAAGCCGACTCCCGGTTCCTTTTTTGATGCTGCATCAGTTTTGATGCTGAGTCCAGCATCAAAATTGAGGCGGCTTCAATTAGCAGACACGTCGGACGCCAGCGCCCCGAGCCCGGCTGCCGGTCGGCTAATTGCACCGGGCTGTGTTTTCAACCCTTCCTTGGCGTCCACTTCTTAGAACTTCTCGGCGAGGCGTGGGCCGCCGCCAAGACAAAGGGGTGTTCCGCGAATTCATCGCCGAGTCCGAGGGTCGCGGTCTTCTGGGACAGCCCCGTCGGTAATTAAGCTGGGTGGCGGGTCCGAAAATTGAGGCCGTATCGGGCCGCAAGCCGACGGTCCGGCCTCAGAGGCTGAGGCCCATGTTGGTCCCTGAGCCAGCATCAAACCTCAGCATCAGCGCTTGAGGCTGGCTTGGTCGGCTCTCCAGCATCGGGCTTCAATGCCTGAAGCCGGCGCCAGCAGGTTGAGCGCATAAGGCTCGGCGCCGCATGCCCGAACGGCCGCTACCTGGGCATACGGCATTGATGCTGAAGCTACGAGTCGATGCTGTACAGCATAACCTCATGAGGCGCCTCAAATGCCTGCCCGTGTGAACAAGGCCTAAAGTATACATTTTCAGATGCTAATGCAGCTTTAAGTTTTTAACAAGAACTACAGCAAGAATTACTAAACGGAAGTATGATTGTTCTGAGTACTACATGGGAACATAAGACTTACGTATAATCCAAAAAACGTTTGAACACAATTGGTACGGTCCAAGCAGTCCAAGCAATTAGTCCGAATTACTCCCTTTTGTTCACTGAAAAATAAAAATGAAAATGACGATTCATAAATTGAAAAAATTGCAGGAACAATTTAGACTGAGGGATGAAGAGGGACAAACTCAACAATGTTTGATGACTTGGAATTAGTGTTAATTGACACTGATAACACTACATTGTTCATCAAACTTTACAAGCATCTGATTGCAATGGAACAACAATCTACTTTTTAAACACACCGATGAGCAATTAATTTAAACATTAGTTCCGAACAGTCTTATTTTACCATATCATTGGGTTGTTTCCTTCCTCGAAGGAAAAATAGGAAATTCCTTAACATGCAAAGAAAGAAGAGGAAAGCAGAAATATCTTACCTCAAAACGCTAAATCCTTTAGAATAGAAAAATGAATGCATCTCGATGAATTTTTCTACTTTTGCCTTCAATTTACTCAGATTTGTTTGATTTCCACTTCTGCATTCTTGGTGGTAGTCGAATACAACATGGGGGATTTCATCCAGAAAAGGAGATGAATTATGGCTTTCCTGATAAAGTATAAAAATTCGGTTTAGTAATTCATGTCAATTGAGTTAAGTTGAATTATTTCACTGTTAACCGGAGAGGATGGAAGGTTAGAGGCCCGACTCAATGCTAAGTAATTAAAACAGAAGTGCTCGCAGCGCGCTCGCTGGCAACTACTACTTTCTATTGTTTTCCAGTGACTGGCAGCGGGAATGTTGCTGCCGGACCACCTTCACGTAGGCAATTTCTCATACGTTGTCCGTCCGCAACTCTTGCTTGGCCAATCAGCGCAGTAGTATGGGAATCCCGCTCGCTGTGCATTCTCGCGCCAACATATGCAACTTCTTACTAATGGCTTGACTTCTGTTTCAATTTTTCCCTATCCAGTCGGGCCTCTAACCTTCCATACTCTCTGCTGTTAACACAAATCCCATTAATTTTTGCACAGAAATTTATTACAATGGGGCTGTTGCACCTTTTTTAAAATTCATTTTTGGAAAATACATAAAAAATGAGAACGTCTGCATTTTTTGTTTTTTATTTAACCAAATTGTAGTCTTGCTACAGCCCATTTTACTAAGCGCGCCCAGAGCAGCTAATAGTAGTAAAATTATATTAACAAATAAATTTACCTGGAAAAATTGACTAAGAGTTGCCTCTCCTTCTTTACTTCCAATTAAACTAGTGCCTAGGAGATTTACGATGACTTGAGAACCGTATCGTTCTTTCGTCATCTTCATATGACGTTCAAAACCCGAGTAAGAAGATTCGAGTCCTCGAGACATTTTCACTTTATGAGATCCAACCTACAAATAAAAGAAAGAAAAAATATTGGTCAATTGCTGGCTCAGCTGGGTGGATAATGATCGCAAAAATCTTTAGACCTTACAAATCAAACAGTATGGATCTATCAGAAATGGAATCTTGGTAATATTATGCTAAAGCATGCTACAATGTTGGTTAAACTGCATTGAAGATTTCTCTACAAAAGGTAACAACTCACACAAAGGCTGCTCTAATATCAGTGTTCTACTATGACCGAACGCCATGCTCAAAATGTGCCTGGAAATGAAGCTCTGGTGTCTAAAAACTTTGAACACTGGCCAAAGATCATGCCTGAAAGTCAGGCGCAATATACTGCAAATTATTGAAGCAGGGATGGTGCACCACTTTCAACAAGAACACAGTAGGGTGCAGTTTGAAATAGGAGCATAAATCAAGCATAATAATCGGTCAGGTGACTAATATAAAAAATTTCATGCCCCATGATGGATGGTACTTATGCATTATAGCCCCTGAAAAAATATGGATGGCTCCTAAAAATTTGGCTTTTCAGCCACGATGTCTTCTAAAATTTTATCCTGAAGATGGACCACTGCCTGACACACACTCTATCCTCTCATTGGATGTCCCTCTGGTACTCTCTGATGATAACTTTCCTGCCTCGTCCCTGGATGGACCAGGGTCACCCTTGAATTCAAGGAAGCTACATTTGTTAAAGTCTTGATATTATCTTAAAGACTGATAAGAATAGAAATTAATATTAAGAATGAGTTTCACCTGAATTCCTGGTTGTTCCCAAAACAAAGGAACGGAGCCTCTTGTTTGAATAAACGATGTAACTTCATCATCTAGAAAAATAATTTGTTCAGTCTCTACAAAGTTCGCCACATGACCCTCATCATTGCATCCTCGGACATTAAATCTGTGTAAAAGAAATAGGTGACATTTTATTTTAAAGGGTGGTAAAGAGCAGACATTTAAGAAATTTAAAGAGTAAAATAACTTATTATTTTCGACTAGTATTTGGAATTCATAAACCTATACAAGACAATGTTAATTTTTGGCCATTGTCAATTTTTGCCAATTTTTTCAGACGGGATACTTTGAAAAATTCATTTCTTTTTCCCAAAATAATCATTAGTATTAGATGCAACAAAATTTAATTTGAAACTCTTAAAATTTAATCATTTGGAGTTTAAGGTTCTCTTTTATTATCAGAATTTAAAGACAGGATATTTTTTACGAAGATTTGTGACAAATCTCAGCGGGTAATAATGAATTTATTTATTCAAATGCCAGTAATTAATTAAATAGGTCGAGTTGGCTATGGGATAAAATTAGCTGGTAAAAGTACCTTGTTCCAGCCCTCTCACAGCTGAGCCTAGAAATTATGACAGCTTTTGCTTGACGATGTCCAACATAGACAGTACGAATTTCAATGCTGCCACACATGGTCTTTAGCAACCAAGCATCACATGGGACACTAAAACGCAGCAAATGAATATGCAATGTTCTGTTCCTGTGAAAATAAGAGGAAGATCAAGAGCAAATTATAAAAGATCCTCTACGCTTATTTTCTAGGGATGAGTTTTTGCAAACTTAAAGATGAAAGCAACTTCCTTTTGAATTGTATTATTCTCTTAAATGAATGCTTTCACTTCTAAAATGTCATTAACATGTGATTGAAGATCAGTTCAATTCAATTTCTTGTATTTGTTTTTGTTTTGTATCACAAAATATTGAGAGTGATCCAATATCTACATTCTTCTTACTATACACCACAATCTAGTGTGAACCAATAAACTACTGTTATCATAAATAATTCTACATGGATGAATGAAGAATGATAAATGAAAAACTTTGATTTTGACGTATACTAAGTATAGAAGAAGAATTGGATCCAACAAAGACTTTCCAATTTTTCTGCAGAGAAAAAGATAGATCAACCGTGCAAGTCGGCAATCTCATAACTCGTTTGCGGTGTCTGGAAATCTCCGCCTCTGTGTTATTTTTTTAAAGGAGAACAAATTGACATCATTCCTTGGAGTTTTCATAGAATTTTCTTTGCACAGAGAAGAAAAATCACGGCACTTTTAAAGAATTGCCGAGGAGTAGTTTTCCGTTTAAAAAATAAAGTATAACAGGAAGTCTGCAACGTCGCAAACCGAGTTATGTGATTGCCGACTTACACCGTCGAGATGCTATAAGAGCACTTAAACATGGGAATGAGGAATTTCGACCTCTTTTCTCTTTGAATTTGGTGCTAGAAATGCTCGGATTTTAAATTGTATACTAAAGACTACCTAAAGCACACTTACCAAAAGAATCTATTGTCTGTTATATTTGTTTTGCATCTGCGTTGAGCACACAGTGTGATATCTAGCGGCTCACTGGTTGAGGACCAGCTGAAATAAAATGTGCCCGAGTTCAACAGCTTCCTAACTTCTGATATTCGCTCTTCATCTTGAGCTTGGTTCCTCAGTGAAATGAAGGAGGTTTGCGTTATTCGAAATATTTCCGAGTCAAAGATTTTGCCAACCGACACACAGCCTGTTACCATTAGCAAATACAGGACGCTGGTTTCACCTTGCATAGAGACAGAAGAGAGTATTTTTTAAGATTAGTTTTAATTGGAAGCTATTAAATTAGGCCAAAGGCTCCTACTATACAAACAATTGCAAACAGAATGAGCCCCTTTCTGGACAAATGGGTTACATTCATTAATGTAGACTTTCAGTGGGCTTGTTTAAAAAATTTTCGGAATCTTCGGTCAGATGGTATGTTAAAACTTTCATGTCATTGTCATTATTATTCATCAGTAATGCCCTTGATGCTTTTAGACTAATTATGTGCAATAAGTATCGGAGATTTTTTTTTCGTACCTATGACTGAAAAGCAGAAAAAAAAGGTTATGACTTTGGAAAATTAGAGGTAGCAAATTATTGTTAGGTCTGAGTAGAAAAGTTGCAAAACTGGCAATGGAGAGAAGAGCTCACTCTCCTGATAGATGTGGGCAAATACTTTTGGGCCAAATTCACAAAATATATTAATAGAATAATGATCCCAAGGGGGAGGGGGTAAGTGAGGAGGGTGAAAGGAAAGAATCAATGGAAAAAACTTTGGATGAAAGATAATTGTACCATATGCCCTTGTTTATTTTGGAAATATACATGCCAATAAAAAGTCCAGAACACCTCAAATTCATAAAAATCATCAGATGATAAGTTAAAGAGAATATCAATGTCATATAATTACCTGCATTCAACTGGAGAACACCTAGACAACCATAAGCATCCAGAAGTTTTGTGTATTGCTTCTTCACGAAATCACTTTCATCTTGAGCTGCAAAAAGATTATATCATGAAAGTGAATAGCTTTAGCAGAGTATCCATTCAAGTGACATCTCTTACATGAACTTTTATCTTTGGCTCATGGTTAGGGAATTTTTTTTTTTTTATGGCAATAGCTTCAGGCCCCAGCATCTGACAATATTCTTAATTCTGAGAAGGCGTTAGGTGTCTTGGAATGTCAAACTTTAATAACTCCTTCTCTCCATAAAATTTGATATTTTAGCTTTAGAAACATCTCAGGAACATGAATCTCAGTTTGAGTACGGGCTGTCTTTTGATTTCTGACTCTAGTTCAATAATAAAAATGATCATAATTTACTTAGGGACATAATAGGTGCTGATGCGTGTTTCTAGTCTGCAGCCCGATTGTTGAAATAATGTCAGCCTGACAGGGCAAGACATTACCTTCACTTAACCATGAAATATACCACATTCCGATGTCTTATCAAGCTGCCTTAAACTTTCAATAATGAGCATGCAGGTTTGTTAGGGAGCACCTCAGTTACCAAGATGTTAATAGAATAATTCAGATAATTTTTTTCTGGATTTTTATGGGTACATCTTTTTATATCTAGCATAGATAGAATTAGTCAAAATTTACAGAAAATTAAAGTTTCTTCTAAAACTTGAATTGGAAAGCAGAAACAATAAAAATCACCCATGTGCGTTAACATTCTTTGAAGTCTGTACGTTACTTGGTACACCCTAAAACAATTAAAGCCAAAAACAAATCTTGGATTGTTCTGTGCCTAGCAAATGTTCTCCTAATGTATGAAATTTACCTTGAAGTATTAATCAATTCCCCTAGCTGTTGGGGAGTAAATTGGATCAAGTTGTTTCACTTGATCTCTTTGTAAAACAGGTGTACGCTAAATATTCAATTTAACAACTATTGGTTCCCACTAGATAAGTCGAGATGATCCATTCATGGAAATGACATTTGGTTGGGATGAATATCAGTGCAAGCTTAAGCAAATAAACGCATGAAATACTCACACAAAACAGCGACAGCTTGTGATTCAAAGAGAAGAGATTCATTCCGAAACCTGTGCTCCAGTAGAACACTGTACGGACTGGGAGGCTTGACCTTCTCCAGAACTCGATACGCTTTGCCCATAGCCATTTTTAGAGGAAAGAAAACAAATCTGCTTTGGATGATTAGAGATAATAAGCTACACTAATTGCAGAGGGCATAGTAGAAGTTCCCAGAGAAAGGGGTTACTTGCTCGGGGTGAAACACACTCAAAGTTGGTATAGTGAGGCTCCTAGAGATTCGATAGCCCTTAAATTAATATTAGCGCGATTGAGGACATTGTGAAAAACAATTCTCATTATAAACTGGACCAGAAAAAGTCTTAAAAGTACTTTAAAACTCGCCAACCACAACTCGGTGTCACGGCAGCGAACAAAAACTGATAAAATGACAACAAAAACGCCCATAGGAATATGATAAGCAGATGGAAGAGTAGTCAAGTGATGAAATTTCGCCTGGGAGGTTATGTAAACTGTGAAACACAATGTAGTGCATTCGAGTTATTGAGTACTTTTCATCAAACTTTTTACTCTCGTAAATTTTACGAAATTAATCTCCTTCACCCTCTTTTCCCTCAGTTAAGTTTGATGATAAGAAGATTTTCGTTTTCCTTCATAGGGAAGCAAATATTTTTTATATTCTGGGTCATGATCATGCGATGTCAGCGTGTCTTCTTACATGTCTTGCATGTGTGTGTGGTGTGACCAGTGTGATATGTGACACCTTCCACAAAATCCGAGTCGCAGTTCTATGGATACTTTACCCTATGCCATGCTCCTTATCAGCGCCCGCAACGTTTTCGTATTTACTTTCAATTTGTTTTGATATGCGCAGTTTACAGCAACAATTTTAAATAAGTTTGATTAATAACTTAAAGAATCTGTGATATTTGCGATAGGCAGTTTATCTGCTGCCAAATTTTGACCGTGTAAACATTTTTTTGCCTTGATTGTTTTCGTCAATGCCATCCTTTAAACCAGCTATGCTCGGCCAGTGACGTGCTTGTCACTGATTATGTAAGTAACATGATGCTTGAAATGCTTGAATCGAATTTTTATCATGCACTATTCAAACATTTGCGCATTCATCTCTCAATGCACTTTCGAGCCTCCGAAATCGTATTTCTTGATAATATATTTTGCGTTTATGATCACATGAGTGATTTGTCATGCTTATTTTGACAATCCTAACTTTTTGCATCGCAACACCAAAGGGAAGCATACAAACCTGGCTTAGCGCATTCCAGTCTAGACAACCGTTTAACTCATTGTTGCACGATCAATCAATACTACTACCAAATGTTTCGTATGGTTCACTCATTTTAGACACATCAACATTTTTATTTTCTGTTGAAGGCGCTACTAATTTCTTGACGGACGAAACCAATGGTTACCATTCCATCTGTTTGTTCCTGTCAAGCTCGATGGAATCCTGAAATGAATTTGTAAAATTCTCTACCCTGCAGCAGTATACTTATATCATCGGACCATGCAAAGACAATGTGTAGCTGACAAAAATTGGTGACCGCTTTAGAGTCTGAGAAATAAAATTACGGAAATGCTAAGAGTATGAATTTTTTCATGATGGGGCAGGACTTAAGGTTGCCATTGTCTGACAGGGAAAATTTCAAAATACATAGTGTCTCCTTACCTAGCAATTGTACTAATCTACGAATACAAACAAATTTTGTGCAAAAGAGCTCGGTAGGTTGTAACAGGTAAATATGTACCTTCAAGATTTTTTTCTCATGTTTCCTTCAAATGTTCTACTTTCAGATGTATCATGAGTGGCGACTATATTCCTCTTGACAGCAATGTGGTTGGTCAGTTCATCACCTGTTCAAATGAGAAAGATGGTTTGCTGTATATTAATGGTTGGAAGAAAAGTAAAGTTAAAGCTGCGTTCTTCAGCTTATTCTCAATCCTCTCGCTTGGAACGTTGTATTTGTTGTGTCGATGGTTCCCGAAGTTAAATGCACTCCTCCAGTATACTCAGTGCTCTCTTGCCACGGCTGATTATGTTTTGATGAAAGTAAGTGTCTGCTCCTGCCATTTTTTTTTCTAAAAAGATAAGTGAGTCATCTTATTGCATGATTTCTTTTTAAAAGATGATATGAAAAAGTATCTAATTATCTCATGCACATCTTATTGGGCACATGGGATTTTGCAAAGGATCAATTTTGGATCAGTTCTTTACAGCAATACCTACCTCAAAATGATAAGTTACACTAAAATACCCACCCTTTTGAAATATGTGGAATGGTTGTTTGAACTCAGGTTCAAAGGTAAGTTGTCAAAAAAACTTGACTTTTCGTAACAAAAGTTTTTTTACAGCTAGTGCAGGGTTTCGATTTGCCTCATTCTTTCTATTGTTATTTATTCAGGGGAGGGGAGGGGGGGGGGCTAGCTGTTCAAGTTTGAAATTGCCAGCAAAATGTGCTGTCAAGTTTCAGTAGTGCAGATCCATCAGTTCACAGGAATTTTTCAATAGTGGTGGTCAAAAAAAATCAGTGAGTCTAAGTTCTATCAAACCAAGTTTATGGAGTGGTTCAGACTACGCATCAAACTAATGCAGTTTATTAGATTAGATTTGATTTGACTATGACCCGGTGCATCTGCTTCAAATTAAATCCACAATCAAATCATAGTCGAATCTAATGAGTCTGCTCATGCCTATAACCATGGGTTGGATGACAATTGACAGTTTACACATTTTCATTCCCCTCTAAAGTGGTCAGTTTAATTTTTCAGGACACGGACGGATATTATGGATTGATTCCAGTAAAGCACTGTGCTATCCGAGAAGGAGACGCTCTCATTCAGCACCGCTTCTTTGTCTATAAGTTAATCAGGTTTGTTTGGAACAACTCAAGCAATGAATTTGAGCAGCTTCATGGATTGGACAATGGTGTTAATACACTTGGTGACATGTTATATATGAGCAGCAAACGACATGATACTTATCATCATAAGCAAATGTAAGCTTTTTACTTTCTCGCTCCCATAGTTTTAATATTACCTCCTCAGTTTGGCTTTCTGAACTAAGTATATCCTATAATTAAATTATGAGCATGTATACATTTATGGATTTAGTGAAAGCCGACCGCACAGCATGCAAAATTTTTCTCTCATTTTTCAGGAATACGTATGTGCCCTTAACATAAGGATGGTTAATACTTATTTGATCGCAACATGGCGTACCTCTACCCATATTTTATTTTTTTTTTTAAAGAGAACTATCAGTATTCCTTGGAATTTTCTGTGAACATTCTTTACCCCTTCATAAGCACTCAAAAAATTTGGAGGAAATATTCTGGTTGGTTTTCTTTTCGAAGAATGGAACAGAACCAGAGATCTTGAAAAACTGCCATAGAGATAGGCATTTTGGGACAAGAAGCATGGATACTCCATCCTTAACAATTGAATTTGAACAAAATAACCGGTCGTGGCCATTATATTTATAAAATGAAATTATCAAAGGTTTTGATAATTTTTAGTAGTAATCCATCGGTTTTTATTATTGCATCTAAGTTTATGTACAAATTCTCTGTTCTAGGTTACAATTATATGGTGAAAATTTAGTGGAAGTAAAAGTAGACTCATACATAAAGCTGTTTTTTGACGAAATTCTGCACCCATTTTATGTTTTCCAAATTATCAGTGTTGTTGTGTGGAGCATGGATGAGTACAGTTCGTATGCTGCGTGTGTCTTTATTATGTCAACTGTTTCTATTGTGGTCTCCATTTACGAGACACGTCAGGTACGTTTTCTTTTCTAATAATAATTATTTCATAGTGAGTATTAGTTTGAAATAATTTCAGTGGTGTCCAAGAAAGATTGAATCAAGGCAGTTTTACCATCTAGAACGTTCTCCATGCTTATCCATCTTACTGCATGTTCTTGACCAACTCGAAAACAAAATATCATGTATCAACTTATCCTCTCTGGGAACTGGATTCCCTGAAAAATTGTGATCTTTTGCAGCCATATAGTACCTTAAGTATCCTGTCAGGAGTAGATAGGATCTTGGTTCCCTCAAAAAAAGAAGAAGGGGAAAAAAATAAATAAATAAAATAAAATAAAAAAGTGAAAAAAATCATTCTGTTTAAACCCATGTCTGTATTTAGATCTGTTAAAAGTTTGCTAAACATAAACCACAAACTAATCCTTCTACATGAAGAACTCAGCACATAAATTGAAGAATTTCTAAATTTGACTTCAAGTTGAGAAAATTTAGTTCTAAATTCAAGCCGCACATGCATTGAACTTTTTTTTACAGCAGGCTCAAGTCATCCTTTACTCAACGGTGCAAACCATTAATCAGCAATTTAATAACAAAGTCAAATGATCATCTAGTGTACGTGATCCTGTTCTTTTGTAAGTGGCTGTTTCTCTGCAACGCGGAATTAGGCCGATCAACCGACGACGACAACAACAACATTCTTGTTTTAACCTGCAAAAACCTTTAAAAAAGTATTTTGACTATAAACTGTTTTCTTTCTCTCTTTCAGCAAAAGGTAATGCTGAGAGACCTTACTGCAGCATCTAATGTTCGACAAGTGAAAGTGTTGTGTGACCAAGGTCAGTACTTTTTATTATTTTTTGAGATATTTCATCTTGTATGAATGGTTTGCAAAGTTCTTCAAACTTGCTCCTTAAAAAATACTTATCTGGTCTCAGTTGAATTTGTACAAAGAGTTTATTTCCTCAAATGATACAGACCTACAAAAAACAAGGGCAAAGAGAATGAAAATTTTCCACTCTTAACTCTCACCCGCTTGTGAATTTAATGTATTGAAGGTTGTTATTGCTGTTGTGGTTTTAATATTTAAGTTAATTCCAAAAATTGCTGTTGTGGTTTTAATATTTAAGTTATTTCCAAAAATCAATATATTTTTTCTCAAATATTTTGCAATCCTTTTCCCCTTTTTTGGCCATTAATTAGCCAAGAACTCTGAGATTTCTGGTGAGTTCCTTGCCACCGATCTATCAAAATGGAATTCCAGAGATTTTAAGTTGATGAGTGTTTTTACAATTTTGACTTGATGTTAAGATAAGGCACTAACAGGTTTTTTCACTCCGCAGAGTACCAAGAGGTGGATTCGCGAGATTTGATTCCTGGAGATATAATAGAGATCCCAGCTCATGGATGTGTTATGACTTGTGATGCGGTTTTATTAACTGGAACATGCATCGTTAACGAATGCATGTTAACAGGCGAGTCTCTTCCCACGACTAAATCTCCACCTGTCTCAACCAATGAAATATATGATGTCAACGTGCATGGCCGGCATACACTATACTGCGGGACTCAGGTCATTCAAACTCGGTTCTACCACCACGATAAGGTGAGGCCTCAAACATGTATTACAGGTAAAGTACAATGTATGATAAGGAGGATAACTTCTGTTGTAGTNTGATTCCTGGAGATATAATAGAGATCCCAGCTCATGGATGTGTTATGACTTGTGATGCGGTGTTATTAACTGGAACATGCATCGTTAACGAATGCATGTTAACGGGCGAGTCTCTTCCCACAACTAAATCTCCACCTGTCTCAACCAATGAAATATATGATGTCAACGTGCATGGCCGGCATACACTATACTGCGGGACTCAGGTCATTCAAACTCGGTTCTACCACCACGATAAGGTGAGGCCTCAGACATGTATTACTGGCAGAGTATAATGTATGATAAGGAGGATAACTTCTGTTGTAGTTTAGTTCTTATTAACACTAAAATAAAAATCAACATTGAAATCAAGGATTTATCTAGGTATAGATGGCACTTAAGGTTCAAAAGCAGCAAGAGGATACCTAAATTGCATTGATGGACGTAGAGACTACATGGAAAAGTAAAGTATACTACTAAAGTAAAGTACTATTTTATCGTAAATTTATCCTGGTTACCAAGATTTTTCAATGTCTGTGAAAATTGTCTCAGAAATATGTACAGTGGTTGCTCACCAATCTAAAACCCGTTAATTTTTTGTCTGTTTTCAGGTATTGGCACTAGTTGTAAGGACTGGCAGTCTCTCCGCAAAAGGTCAGCTCGTCAGGTCCATTCTCTACCCAAAAGAGGTCTACTTCAAATTCTACCGAGACTCATTCAAGTTTCTATCTTTCCTTGGATTTGTGGCTGGCCTTGGAATGATCTACTGTATTTATTTATACCATAACCGCGGTGTAAGTGCTCTTTTCAATACTTGAATGCAAAGTCTATGCAAAAAATTTGTGGATATACTGCTACTTGATGCGGAGGAGCATTTNTGTCAGCTATTCAAAACATTAGCTAAATCCGGGACTTTTCCTCATCCGTAGCCGCTATATCAAAAAAACCGCAAAAAAAGGCCTTTTTAGGCCATTTTTTCAAAATAGCGGAAAATGCTCACCAGATACGCCTGCGGAAACTTCAGATTCGGATTCAGCGACCCAAAAAACATAAAGTAAGCCAAAAAAATCGCTGTGTACCCAAAATTCCAGGTAGCCTCATTTTTAGCTACCAGGCGCCTGGACTAAAAATAAAAATTCAACATTGAAATCGTGGATTTATCTAGGTATAGATGGCATTTAAGGTTCAAAAGCAGTAAGTGGATACCTAAATTGCATTGATGGAAGTATTACCAAGATTTTTCGATGTCTGTGAAAATTGTCTCAGAAATATGTGCAGTGATTGCTCACCAATCTAAAACCCGCTAATTTTTTGTATGTTTTCAGGTATTGGCACTAGTTGTAAGGACTGGCAGTCTCTCTGCAAAAGGTCAGCTCGTCAGGTCAATTCTCTATCCAAAAGAGGTTTACTTCAAATTCTACCGAGACTCATTCAAGTTTCTATCGTTCCTTGGGTTTGTGGCCGGCCTTGGAATGATCTACTGTATTTATTTATACCATAACCGCGGTGTAAGTGCTCTTTTCAATACTTGAATGTAAAGTCTTTGCAACAAATTTGTGGAAACACTGCTACTTGATGAGGAGGAGCATTTTTTTTACTTTATCCAACGTAAAAATACAAGAACAGCTCTTCAGCACTCTTAGGTTTCTTTAAGTGTCAACTTAACTATTAGTTATTAGACCTTGATTGCAAAGTGAATGAAGTCCTGACTTATGTAAGTTTTCCATATAAAGTAAGTCTAATCAGCCTTTAAATCGCCTTTTGTTGTCTCATCAAGATGAGCTACTCGCTCGAGCTAGTTCAAGTCAGAAATTCTGAGTCAAAACGTATGACTTAATAGGAGGTTTTATATCTAATTTTTATTATTCTCTTTGATTTACAGGCTAGTCTGAGAGAAATTATTTTAAGAAGTCTAGATATCATCACAATTGTTGTACCGCCGGCCTTGCCAGCTGCTCTTACGGCAGGAATTGTTTCTTCGCAAGGACGGTTAAAAGCTTTAGGCATCTTCTGCACCTCAACTTCTAGAATCAACATGAGTGGCAAAGTCAAAGTTGTCTGTTTTGATAAGGTAAATATTAATGAGTCATTCATTCGCATATTTTCAGTATCAATAATTAACAGTATAAAGAAGTATGTACTAAAATTCAGAGCCCAACTGCAGACATATTTTGACGACACAATTTGATGAATTAAGCAGGGTTGATAGGAGATGTTTATTTTTATTTTTATTCTACATATCTCGCACATGAAAGCCAATCAGCTATAATGCAGGTCCTGAACGGATCAGTGATCAGTTAAGTTTTCGGAAAAGTTCAGAGGGCATTTAAAATTCATCTAAGTCATAAAAAGCTTATAGTAAGTTGTAGATGTTGACAGGAAGTCATCAAACCTAAGAATCAATTATTGTGGCATTACATTTTTCTTGTGCGTTCTCAATTTTGTCAAGCCATTCCTCCTAAAAAAGCCTAAAAAATATTTAAACTGGCAATGAATATTTCTAGACTGGAACGCTGACAGATGAAGGATTCACAGTGCATGGTGTCCTCCCAGCGAATCTAGACTCCAGTGAAATAAGTGAAAATGACCTCGTGAAAGATGCCACAACTTTGCCAACCAAATCACCCGTCCTTGCAACCATGGGCTCATGCCATTCACTGACGTATATTGACAAAAAACTCTGTGGTGATCCTGTTGATCTTTGCTTATTCAATGCAACCAAATGGGTAAGTCACTAAAAACACATTTCTCAGCGCTTGTTTATTGGCCTTTAGATCAACTATAAAATGATCAGAAAACCTTTAAAAATCAAAACAGTTTGTTTTAAACTTTAATCTACTGGCCATTAATGAAATTAAATCATTATATAAACCGCTCTAAAAGAGGATTGTTTTAATCTTAAAAATTCGTTTTCTACCATTCTCTCTAAGGTATGATGTAAATAAATTATTGTAAAATATATTTATATTTAATCCTAGATTTTGTATTCATAACGTCAGGAAAATTTCTTGGAATAGTATTGCTGGTTGCTGTTGAGATTCTGCCAGTGCTGATGCTTAACAAGTTAACCACCACAACTAGCCTACAGATTATTTGATGAGATTATCAAGATCGAAACAATTTTTAAATGTTTAGATCTTATATTTGAAAACTTTCGGATTACACTTCAAGACTGCACACTTCATTGTTACTGCTACAACTTTCTACTGTTGTTTTGCTTGTCAAAGCATCTTTGCTAAAACACCATTTCCCCCTCTCCACTTATCCTCATGAAGAAATCTGTGCCGCTAAATGGTAATGTATGTGTAATCTTAAATCTTTTCTGAAACTACCGTCCAAATTTCTTGGTTATGAGCAAGTTGACATGTTCTACCTCGACTTTTCTCGAAAGTTTTCGTCTTTTGTTTCAGGAATTGGAAGAGTCAGGAAAAGATACTTACAAGTTTGATCTTTTGATGATCCCAGTTGTGAAACCAGCAACTACAAAAACGGTAATACAAATTTTTCTATCGTCAATTTTATTTGGTATATCGTCAATTTTATTTGGTTATACTTGTTATTTAGTACTCAAATTATATCACTATGGACTATAATTTTGTACATATTTGTAAATTTAATAGCATCATTTAATTTAAATATTAAATAACTTAAAATGTATTATCCTAAAACAGTAAAGCGATGTTATTCATTAATTGACAATTTCAGTCAAAATAGGCTAAAGATGGACGATATTCAATTTCTTGCTATCTTTAAATTACTAAACAGAATGTAAAAGAGCATATCTTGTCTTACTGAGTGTAACGAAGACTAATTAAAAATCCTATGTTCAAAATTTCAAGTTCAATAAATTAGATTTTTTTGTGTTTATGGATTCTATAAGAAGGTTTATTTACACGGACAATGGACAAATGAGGTAATCACCGCTCATAAAATAGCTCAAACCAATATCCATGGAATTCATAGTAATCATTTTCTTTTGAAATTTGTATCTTCCTTCTCTTATGCCTAAATTCAGTATCAGTGGCGAGGTGTGAATGATCAATTATCGATATTGCCCCATTTGAAGCTATGGTATAGAATAGATTATTAAGTGCGTTGCAAAAACCCTGTTTATCGATCCTTTTCCATACGTCCAAAGGGCAGATCAGTCGATATATCGCAAAGCACGCCAGACTACTGGTCAGTAATTGATATCTAGCCAAACGATAGTGTCAATGATTTTTCAATGACTCATTCGCAAGATGCCCTTTTATTTCATTTAATTTCATCCCTGGAAAATAAACTTAATCAAATATTAATGTGTTCTAAATGCAAATTAAAATAAATGTAAATGCTAGCTTTTTTACATAATGATTAATGTTTAACTTTTTTTCAGGATGAAGAAATTATTGAGGAGATGATTCAAAATCCAGAAATGGTAAGAAATTTAGTTCATGTCTTCTTTTAAGCATTTTTAATATGAGAAGGAATGGCTTGTAGGCTAATGATTTTTTAGATCAGTGTAAGTTTTGTATATTCCACAATCCCATGCTCCTAAGACATATCAACATTTATGGAAGCCAATGGCACTCATAACAATTTTTTGTTTTACTACTTTTCCCTTTTTTTTTTATTTATTTTCTTATCGTTTAAGAGTTTTCCTAGTTCACAGTTTGAAAAGTATGATTTAACAGAAAGATCTGCTAACCTAATTGCATAAACACACACACACATGCAAAAATACAGGCTGGGCCTCGTAATTTTGTCCGCGGTGGTAGTAGGGAATTCCATTGCCGGAAAAAACACCGGAGTGCTTTCGGACTGTGAGCCTGGGAAAGAATGGCCGCACACAGGAAGTAAGGCTCAACTTGGATTAGTCAATTTGCTTTTTTGTCGTCTGACTCTCTCGCCTAGTGCGAGAGACCTAATTGATCAGATCATTGATCATTGATCAGATGCAGCATTCTGCGGCTCGTCAAAGGGACACCTGGTGCACACCTACACACCCTCACCCTCACACACACACCTTCTCACACACCAAAAAAAAAAAAAATTGAGTAAATAAGGTCAATTAGACAAACTAAATATCCTATTTTTTCTTAAAGTTAGTTTGGCTTGCTTTTGATTTCATTTGCTTTCCATAGTTCACACTTTATCCTTTGTTTAAAAACTTGCAACTATAACTGTAGAGATAAGCAGAAAGTAAATTGTATGCCCATCTCTGCGGCAATATCCAGTAATAATCAACGATTCTCCAAAGAAACTTCAATAGAGGTGTTTTCTTTTTTATTATCAGGTGATGGAAACTCCATATGAAATCGGTCTACTGTACCAATTCCCGTTCAGTTCAAGAACCCGCACCATGTCTGTGATAGGAAAAGTTCTCGGCAAACGAAACATGACTTTATATACCAAAGGAGCCCCAGAAAAGATTAAAGCTCTTTGTACAAAAGACTCAAGTAAGTGCATTGTATTGAAACCAATGACCTTTTTTTCTTCTGATTTTCTCCTCAAACTTCTCAGTAAATGACTTTACTCTCAAGAAAGAAAGGACTTTAATGAAAGACAATTGATACATGTTGGATGGCAGACTTGCAAAGCTTGAGAAGAGGAAAATAAGATAATAATCTCAGATAGAATGAAGAATGATTGAAATCTTCTTCTCAGAAAGAACAATGATCTCTTGATTTATTTTTTTCCCTATTGTTAATGCAGTTTCGCAAGAAAATACACTATTGTAAGGGTGTAATATAATCAGGGACAAACTGCAAGTGTTTCAAGTGTTGATGGAAGTACGATCAAATAACTGTCATTTTGATTATAAAAATTTCTCACCGTGTTTTATTTTCTTCAAGAACAAAACTAACCAAATTTTTCTTTGCAATTTTTTTTCTTCAAAATGAGTGAAGACAATTCACTTCAAAATAATTAATCATGAGCAGAGACTTAGAATGTCGCAATCTGAGATCTGGGTTTTTTTACTCTAGCCATCGATACTTATGCATCAATATTAATTACAAATCATTTGTCATCGCCTTTTTTTCCAGTTGGTTTGTGCTGATTGCAACTTTTGCAAACCTTGTTATTATTTCCGGTCTCTTGTTTCAGTTCCGTCTAATTTAGACGCTGTTTTGCATCGCTACACATCAGCTGGCTTCCGAGTTATTGCGTTGGCATACAAAGAACTACCAAGGAAATTAACTTGGGCACATGCAATGAGAATGAACAAACATGAGGTAAGTCTACGCTTGCAGGTATCAGAAGATGAAAATCAAAGGGGAAAAAAAAAAAAAAAAAAAAAAAAAAATATCTAGTAGCCCTAAAGAAAGGCGTTTGTAAAATTTCACAAAACAGTGCTTGATACACAGAACGACAGTCTAAACTAGAATTCTCTTGTCATTAGAGTAAAATAGTTCTTTCGAAAACTTAATTGAAAAATACAAGTGAGGACTGTATGAAAAATGGTATTTTAGTCATGGAAGTGTTATGTCAATTTGGATAATCTAAATTAAAGCCATATTCTCTAAATCTTCTCTTATGATGTCCTAAGTTTTTTAACCGTATCATGTATTTATTTTTTAACAGATGGAGGTGGATCTTGATTTTCTAGGATTAGTTATCCTGCACAATACGCTAAAACCGCAGACAATCCCTATCATTAAGCAGCTTCAGAAAGCAAATATCAAGTGTATTATGGCTACTGGTAAGCAAAAAACTAGGTTAGGTTTTGAAATCCTTTAAAATACCATCATTTAATGAAACCAAGTTTTTCACTTCTTTGATAAAGTATTATCTCTTGCAAACACTTTTAATCTTGCAATTTTTTGGCAATATTTGTTCTGGCATGTTTCAATAAAGTTCTAGCATGCATATGCCACTTATTTGTAATAAGCATTAGTTAGCGGCTTGCTTGCGGATGACATACCGTAAAATTTGGATCCAATTGGCGAGGAAATAGGCTCAGAAAAACCCATTTTTCCCACTAGGTCAGATTAACATATCTATGGGGCATCGGAAAGTTGAAAGTTGCTTCTTGATATTTTTTATTGATTTTTATTATCTATTTTGATTGAAGAGTTTTAAAACTTGGTAAATTTACTTTCTGGACGACTTTTGTAACTCAAAACTCCTACAATGAGATCATGCAATTTTCGAATTTGGCAAGATAATAAAAGTATGAATCAAAATCTCTACCTTTGGGTTGCCCAGTCAGGGATTTCTGGATAGCTGGAAAATGTCAGGAAAAATGACGAAAGTGCCAGGAAAATATTGATAAATCTCCTGTTTATTTGTTTTCTAGGATATTTGATGTTTTGAGCAACTGAATGTTGTTTGCATGGGTTTGGAAGTTGCAATTTTCTACCATTTTGCGTATTTTTAAATGCGAAGGACTTTTACCAAAATTTGTCAAGGACATTAGGAAAATGTCAGGGAATTTCATTTTTTACTTCTGCAGCAACCCTGATTATTTAATTTCAATTTAAAGCACTTTTTATGTTTATATATATCTACATTTCCAGGTGACAATATTTTGACAGCAATCAGTGTGAGCCGAGATTCAGACCTTATTCATCCAGACCAAGAAATAGCTGTTGTGATTGCTCATGGACCCTCAGAGGATGTGCCTCCTACGATCACTTTTGAGGCTGCTTCAACCGGTGAAAAATTTAAAATGGTACAATTTTTCTGTCACTTTTTTCTTTCCTAACCACTGCTCAATGTAGTGTATTGTCTTCTCTCTTCCAAAATCCATAAGGAATTTAAAAAACTCGTAAGAGACAGGTTTGAGGAATCATCGATTGCAGTTGATTTCATTATGATTTTTATTAAATTATCTGCTCATTGTTGGCCAAAATTAGGAACAACGTATCTCCATCGCAATGATTCAACATTTACGCTGCTATTGCATTTTTTGAACAGTAAACAAGCCATCTTTACAGCTTGAAATTTATACAGAATATTCTGCCGAAAGAGAAGAAAAACCAATTAAGTTCTCAAGAAATTACGTTAACTAGTTTTCCAGAGAAAAAATAAAGTTCGACAGGAAGTCTGTAACGCTGCAAGCAGAGATACACACTTCTACCCTTTCACTGTCAATATGTAGGTATGGGTGTAATTAAAAGGTCTCAATTGCTTTTGTACCTATTTCCTCAGATTATTGTCAATAATAGTAATTTTTTGTTCAAGGTGGGCTCACATGTAAAATTTGCCATTGATGGTAATAATTGGGCGATGGTTAAAACATATTTTACGCACCTGCTACCACTAATCGTCACAAAAGGAGTCGTTTTTGCAAGGATGTCTCCAGATCAGAAGACACAGTTAATAGAGTTGTTGCAAGATTTGGGCTACATCGTTGCCATGGTTGGAGATGGTGCCAATGATTGCGGTGTAAGTTTTTTGTTACTTTTCTATGCAGCAATTTTATAACTTAAGTCCTTAGGGTAAGTCTTTCTTTGAAAGTTTATCAAAAATAAAGCATTTAACAAAGTATGTGCCACACAAGTTGTGCAACGATCAGAAAGACTGAAAGCTTTTTTTTTTTTTTGCTTTTTTTTAGTTTTAGCCCAGTGTGAGGTTTTTATCATATTATCTCCGTTTTTAATGGAGTTTGAGATTTTTTGAAAGAGAACTTGAAGAAGAATATTTTTTTAAATTGAACTTTTCATGGCAAGAAATTTTTGCAAGGTTGGAGTGAAGTTTTTCTTTTGTAAAATTTCATGAAAAAATCAAGAAGTTTGTCGAAAAGCTCCAAAAATTATTTCGAAGGGAAGAACAAGCTAATTAAAATCCGTTCACTCTGTTCACAAAAATAGTTCACTCCATAGTAAAGTAGTAGTTCAGAAAGTAAATTAATAAAAAAGGGTGTCACTGACCCTTTACTATGTCAAGTTTGTAATTTTGAGTTTTCCCTGTTCAATATTTTCTGCTATTTTTAATGTGCCTTCTTAAAATTTTCAGGCTTTGAAAGCTGCTCATGTAGGTGTATCTTTGTCAAGTGCGGAAGCTTCTATTGCTGCACCTTTCACTTCAAAGGTTGCTGATATCTCTTGTGTGTCTCAAATAATCAGAGAAGGCCGATGTGCCTTGGTCACCAGTTTTGGTTTATTCAAGTATATGGCTAGTTACAGTATTATTCAATTTGTCTCCGTCTTAATCCTTTATCATGTAAGTTTTCTTCTAAAAATATGCAATTAAACCTTTGAAAGTCAACTTAAACTCTCCGTCACTATACAATAGAACAGGAAGAACTCATGAGCCCAAAACCCTTCCTATTTCTCTGTAAGCAAAGAGAACCCATTTCTTATATTGCTAGGAATAAGTCCTCGGGCATTTATTCTAGAAGTTTCTTAATACTCCAAGTTTTACCAATGACTAGGATAATAGGCCTGTTGCAAACTTTTGCTACAGCAAAAGTAAGAGTTATGTCTATCAGTAAATGTCTCAAAAATCACGATGAGCACATTGGCAAAGTTTTAAATGCAATACCAACTCCAAAATCTGTGTAAGAAATTTGTGTTTTCTTGAGCTTCCCGCTTCAAAAAGGATACTATGGCACAGGTGAACATTGCGTTAGAGGTGCCATTCTATCCAACCCCTCTGCACTAGGATACTACACATTACTCAACATGGCTGACACCACAGTCTGCCAAAACACATGTGCCTGGATGAGATTCTAAACATTTGTTAACAACCCAGCAAGTTTACATTAACGATTTCTTCGCATTGATAAAGATCCGCTCTTGTTAACCATGTGCTCTTGATAACCATGTGCTCTTGATTGAAATTTGCGGTGGAAGCGTCGGCTATGTTGGGTCTTGCCATTAAATGGAACAACTCCTCTAATGAAATGTTCACCTATGCCGTTGTATCGTTTTTGAAGCGGGAAACTCGAAAAAACTCAAATTTTTTACCCCCAGTGTATTTCAAACTTTGCCAATGCGCTCATCATGATTTTTGAGACATTTACTGATAGAGAGAACTCTCATTTTTGCTCTTGCAAAAGTTTGCAACAAGCCCATTGTACGATACTATATATGAAATTTGAAAAGAGTGGTGAGCAATAGAGAGATGAAGTAGACATCTGTACCAAAATGAACTTCAGTTGATTTGGAATCAAAAAGTTGTTCTTGTAAGTATAACAAGAAAGACTACGCCCATCTTTGAGCAGATAAAAGATATAGCTAACAATAAGCTAATATTTTAGTGAGAGTTTATCCTTCATTACTCCCAATGAAACAATCTAGTCCAAAGTCTGTGTTGCTTTGCATCTCCTCAGGCCATATTCTGACTAGATCAATGGACGTAGAACCGTGAAAATTTTAATTTTTTAATTTGTCTTAAATTTTATAACATGCAATGGTCAGAAAAAGTATCAGTGAACAACTTAGAATCGAAGCTATTGCATCAAGCAAGAGGTGAAATTGAAGTATCAGTGCATCCCATGCCGCAAATGGCATGTCCATTGTCTGTCCTCTAAAAAGATATTTTTTAACTTTTTTTTAATGTGCTTAAAAGAGTTTTGATTTTATTCAAGGCATTATGTTGAATATGTTTTTCTGGATTTTTTTAGTATGGCCTAATGATGGGTGATCTACAGTTCCTGTACGTGGACCTAGTTGTGACAAGTTTATTCGCCCTAGCAATGGGCTACACCAAGCCAGCAGAATCGCTGTCCCCGCAGCGACCGATTATCAATCTGTTCTCCGCCGCAAATATCATTCCATTGATACTGCAGTTCATTCTTGTTTTTGTAGTGCAAATATCGTCTGTTTTATGGCTCCAGCGCCAACCTTGGTGAGTAAAATTAAAAAATTACTCTTGTGTATAGGAACCTTTAATTTGGAGAGTATCTGGTTAATGTCTCCTGCATGTGTAGTTTAGAGATGAAATTTGCTACGTGAAAAAAACGTCTAAAATTTCAAGTGAAAGTGTTTATGCATTTATAAAAAAGCTGTCAAAATAACATCTGTCAATTTGTGTAGTATTGAAAAATTTTAAACATCAAGCTGAATGAAGATCTAGATATGATCTTGTCTACTTAACATTTTTTTAGTAAACTTGAATGATTCTTGCATTAGTTGCAAATGACTGTTTCAGTAATTCCATCCATTACATAGGTACTTATTTAAATTGGAATTTTTCAGGTATGCGCCTGTATCCCCTGCGGAAAAAGATGATGACGTTATTCTCTGTTGGGAAGACACTGTAATATTTTGTGTCAGTTGTTACCAGTATTTTATCCTCGCCACAATTTACTCCAAAGGACCTCCGCATCGGGTCTCTTTCTTCAAAAACAGTAAGCTTTGACTTCATGCTTCCAGCTTAAAAGTTTCCCTCTATGTTTGTGTGGTATAAATGGTGGGGATGTAAATTCTCGGCAGTGCTTCTATGTTACTCTATTGTAGTTTAGAGTCTCAATTTTTCAAAATGCCCCAAATTTTTGAATCATTATTCACTGTACTACTGATCATCTTTGCTGTGGTGTTCAAAGTCTCAATTAACTCATTAATAGCATTTGTCAAAACCTGACTTTTGTTTTACCTCCGCATTCCCCCTCTGTTTGACAGAAATGCACACAAATTGTGTGAGCTTTATTCTAAGTTTTTGTATTTATTGGTAATCAGATTCAGGCGTTTTCTGTCAGGTATGTATGTGTTACGCCCTGATGGTGGAATGGTCAGAAATTCGACCAATCCGCGGAACGGTCAATGAGCTTGACAAGATAGTGAAATGAGCAGAAAATTGACCATTCCACAGAATGGCATCGGGTACAAAGCACGTAGAGAATAGACGGAAATAGAAACGATGCGCGCTCCTTCGCTTTGATAATAGTGTGTGTGGCCACAAATTGTAAGTTACAAAATACAAGAAGATGTAGTATTATAATTGAAGTTAATAGAATTTAATTTAGTTGTGGTTTAAGAAAACATGAATATCTGTAATTATTCGAGGCGCTTGTGACTTTGTAACCATTATGCAATCGTCTGTCTTCCTGGCTACTTTTTCAACACTTAACAGCTCTACTAATATATACTCTTAATGCATGTGGTAGAAATTTCTGCTCCTTTTAATGCCACACTTTAGAACTTTTAAAAAACTTATCGCTTAACGTTCATATTCATCCGACCACAACATCAAACACTTTTCTATTGCATCTGCAATAACACTCATTTTTGGGGGGAAAAAGAAAAAGAAGACCAAAACACGGAAATAAATTATAAAATAAAACGAAAAATGGTTATTGAAACGTACAACAATACACAAAACCCAGACATGCAATGAAAAAATAGAGAACACAAGGGAAAACGAAACAAAGGCTAAAACGAAAAAAAGCTAAAACATGCACGAAGATGCGACTGGACGAAATGTCACCGAAATACTGACTTGGCCACCTGGCGAGAAAGGACAGTTGCATTGTCGATGCAGGTATATTGAACTTTGCACTTGCTTCCTGACAAGATCATCATCTAGTTTACACCTAAAAATCGGACTGCAAACAATAGACGTTCCTCAACTCCACTTAACTCCCGCTCACACTTACAATTTATTCGTCGTCAGCCACACTATCATCAAAGCGAAGGAGCGCGCAATGCTTCTATTTCCGTCTGTTTTCAACGTACTTTGTACCCTATGCCATTCTGAGGAATAGTCAATTTTTAGCTGCCCCATTTCACGGAATGGTCAATTTTCTGCTCATTTAACTATCTGGTCAAGCTTGTTGACCGTTCTGCGGAATAGTCAAATTCTGACCATTCCGCAGAATGGGTCATTCTGCCATCAGGGTTTAACGTATGTATGCTAATAAATGGAAGTTTTTTGGGAGGGTGAAAAGGAAAATCATGAACATCAGACATTCTCTTAAAATATTCAGATTAGAAATCAATGATCCCCAAAGATAAGAAATGATGTTTTCAAGAACTTCCAATTTTTATTCAAATTTGATTAATTGATAGAGAGTAGAGCTTTTAGAGCCTTAAGTATCTTTATCCAGGTTTTATTTTTGCAAATTTTTTTTCAGCATTTTTGGTGATTGTTGTGGTTTCTATGACATCATTCACTGCTTTCTTCACTGTTGCTCCATCTAAATTCATTGCCAATCAGTTTGAGTTGATGCCTTGGTCTCCGTCTGATCCGGAAGCCAAGAAACTTTTCCGGCTCTCGCTACTTCTTTTCCCAATTTGCAATTTCCTGTTGTCTTACTTAATAGAGGTAAGAAATTTATTAAAGTTGCACTAAAGTATTATGGTCCAAATATTCCTAGACTCTTGTGCAGAAAATGAACGCTGTTACAAAACTTTCATTTTCTAGATACTTTACAGAGAACTCCATAGTTGATTTTAAGGAACGTGTTTTCTGGGATCGATTAGTTTCTATGTTTGTTTCATGCATGTACCTGTCATAACATTTTCATGCATCAGTTTCTTAAAAATATTTTGTTCCTTTGGAAATGCTTTTTTAGAAAAATACTGAAACGATGTATCGTGTAACTCAAAAATATTTTGTTTAATTTGTAAAAGGAAATAGATTCCATTTAAAATTGTTAGGTTTTCTCTTACGTATATACCAGGAACTGGAAATCTAGACTTTTTAAAAAATATCAATTCAATTAAGATCAAAAATCTACTGCCAGTATTAATTTTAAATTCTTCTTCGTCTTTGCAAGTTGATGGATTGAATATCACTCAGGTCTGATTTTTTGTTTCAGAATGTAATCGCTCATACACCAATCGTGAAAAAAGTGTTCAAATTGATAACATGCAGTCAAGGTTACATCAAAAATCCCTACAAGCAATTTGAGAACTCCCATGGTGAACTAGATCAGTATTTGTGATCTCTGGTGCCTTCAAGTACATTTTTCCTGGGTAATTTGTTAATTTTAAGGTTGAGGTAGGTAAGTTAAGTTTTTCTTTCAACCTCCTAACATAATTGTTCAATTGTAATTGATTCGAAAAATGAATGTCAGAGATGGCCGCACAGTAAGTCATTAAAGGTTTGGGACTAAAGGTTTTTGACGGATAATTTGTGATATACTCGTATGTATATGTATTGTGATCAGATATTTGATTTATTTTTTATAAATTGTTGTACCTTTCTAGACTGACGATTATCTGCCATATTTCATTGACTGAATAGGTCTCATATTGAATCTTATTATGCGTCTATTTTTTTGAAACTATACATATATACAGCAAGAAAATTTTCATTTTTAGTAAACCATGAGTCTGATTCGGTACCTGATTTTTCTGGCTCATAATTATTCCATTGTGAGCAATCTAAGCTATGCTTCAGGAAAGTATGAAGAGGGGAGATCCAGTATATAGTAATCATCTGGTCTCTACCTTTAATGTGAAATTCTCTTATCTTTTTGGGTGATGAGTCCGATCTGATCACTTCTGCTGAGAGAGAAACTCAAAGAAATTGAATATTGACAGTGAAATTGCAAAAATGTTTACGTCGGTTTCAGTGTTCGAAAATTTCTGCTCCTATTTCATTTTTTCAAAAGAAACCAAGCTAACATCATGAATTGCAATTTTCACAGAATTTTTTTCACTAAGAGGAGAAAAGTCACCGAAGATTTCAGGAAATGATGTTCAGTAGTTTTCCATGTAGAAAATAAAGTATAACAGGAAATGTGCAACGTCAAAAACAGAGGTACGCATTTCTGCAGTTCCATTACTGATATCTAGACTGCTATGAAAATTTTCCAGACATTATTTTGAATGTAGGCACCAGTTTAGTTTTTCTTTTAGTAGGAAGGATTCTCTAATTTACATAACATCGAAATTCTTGTGCAAGTTTTTGAAATTAGTAAAGTGGAATTTAAAACCGATGACTGAAATATTTATGGCACCCTAAACAGTTTTAAGTCTCATTAATATCCAATTATTTCTCAGTGACTCGTGTTTAGGTATATTTTAATGCTTTCTAATTAAAATTTATTACATAATAGGCTGTCGATATTTTTTTAAAATTTTATTAATATGTAGCCAATTATTTTCCTTCACTCAGTATTAATGATGGATACCTACATTGAAAATTCGAAGTTATTTTTAGTCTTAAGAGTATGTATTCAAACTTTAAAAAACCATTCTTGAATTGATACATCACAGGATTCTAAAAAGTTGATTTTTTACATTAGTTTTTGGCAAAACGTAAAATTAATTTTACTGTAGCTGATTGTGAGACTCTTAAATGTGCATTAAAAAGTTGTTGATAAATGCGGCTGTGTTCAGTTAATGTGTAGTGCCGCGTAAGCATTTTAAAAGCTTCTAACATTAGAATGTATGCATTTTCCATGAGCCATGGTGGTGTGCTTATCAACATAATTTTATTTAAGTTACTCAAGTTCTGAGTACCTCTGAGGTTCTCATGTAAATTTTTTTCTTCTTCTTCTTCTTTTTCGCTCATGTGAAGCTTTTTATCTGAGCCGAAACCATAGGAAACCCTTTCATTCCTATGCTAGATTCTGAAGGCGCATGCCCCGCAATGGGAATTGGTTGCTATGCAGACAAATCGGAGTGCCCTTTGACAGAAAGTGCCTAAACTTTTAGTTCAGATTTTCCTTGACAGATAGACCTACAAGTAGGAATACCTCTGAGTAGAGATTGTGAGTAATGATAGATTTTTTACCGAGAGGATATCGTATCGCTGAACATTGATTCTGCGTTCAAGGGTAATGAAAGGGGGCTTTCATAATTTCTCTCTTTTTAAAAATAATTACTCAGAGGTTTTCTATATTTAAAAAAATTGTTACTAAAGAGGGATTCATTATTGAAAAAACAAGCCATGAAGGATCTTTTGAAATTCAATTAATTCTTGTGGCCGGTCAAAGAATCCATGACGTTATTACATACCGGCTGAGTGAATTATGGTGGCAAAAGATTTCTCAATGCGCGCTCTTGCATGTTCATGACTGTTTTCAGACACAGACATATTACTAGACCAGAGTGGAAGCTTCCACTTTCTGTGACTGATGTTATTTTTTTTTAAAACTATTAACTAGGTACTCAACGGATTAAGTCACATTGTTATCACTTTAGTTTTAGTTTACGTGCCATAGAATGTCTTAAAACGGGTTAGGCAATGACATTGATATTATTGAAACAAAAGGTTTACCAATTTTGATACTGCTATTTCCAACACCCGTCATTCAGTTTTAAGTATAGGATCCCACAAACACATCAAAATTATATCTGAAATCAGTGAGACTTTTGATTTTTTAAAACATTATCTTCGTCAATTATTTATTTATTTTTTTTTTAAATCATAAAGGAAGGCTGTCAACTGCAGGTTTACTCTCTACAATTTATTGCCTCAAATATTATTGGCAGACCGTACTTTGCGCCTGTTATTCATTTTTTATTGACAAGTTTTCTGCCTCCTCCAGTTATTGCTTTTGTTAAGTTTGTTTTTTTATTACCTCTATACATACCATTTAATTTCAGTAGTTAAACACGAATTATATCAATAGGACATAAGGCTGAGCTCGGAATTCTCTAAAAATTGTGGAACAAAGCAAAAAGCTTTCATTCATCTGGAATGAATGAAATCGTAACCAATCATCCAAATTAATTATTATTGCTATTTTTCGATGGAGCATGTAATTTCTTTTCATCCATCAGTTTGTGTGATTTGAAATCTAAGAATGTAAGAAATCACTACTTAAGGATTGTATGGTACAATTTTGTCCTGTTTTTAATTGTCAGTTGTTTGTAGACTTGATAATCATCGGTCAAAATGCTTTGTTTTTTTTCAACTTTCTTTTATATTATTCCGTCCAATTACAAGTAACACTCTGTCCATACTCACATTCACTCTATAAGAGATACAATGGCTTCCATTCCTAGTCGGCTAGTTGAATTAGCATTTTTATTCTAAAATTGATTGATCTTTCGAAAGAAGCTCTTCTGTGAGCGAACTCTTGGGGGCGATAAAATGTAAAATTTGTCAAGTTCAGCATCACTACCTCTAATTTTAGACCCTTAGAACACAAAATCAAGATTTCTGCAGGAGTGATATTGCGCAGAGAGCACAACCTGGGCAATTGAATATTTTGACATTTAGTATTATTTGTAACTGTTTTTTTCCCTTTCTTTCTTTCAATGAGTTTATTTCGCAGGTATTGAATAAAATGTTTAGACTACCTATCTATAGCCAATGGAGGTTTTATTGAAAGTTTTGAAGGTTCCAAATAAGTATTTGTCAATGTTATCTTTGGAATAGTCCTTGAGAATGCATGAAAACCTTGAAATAGTTTGTCTATTTTTGCTCTCTGACTTCAGTTGACACCTCTTATTATTGAAATCAAAAATAGAAAATGTAAGCTTTATACGGGTGAACCACAGCTGTTTCGCTCAAACTGTAGATGGTTAAAGGAGTGTTATTTTATTTTACTCGCTCATTTATCTTATGTTGGAAGTTCAATTTCCTACTTTAGAGTGTTCGCATTTATTGATATTAATTTTAATCAAGTCTGATATTGTATTTTTAAAAATTCAGAATATTGATTGGAATATACTCGTTTCGTTTCGTATAAAAACAACAGCAGTTGCATCTTTTTTAATTTCCTGAATTCTGTTTTGTTTCAAGACAGTCACACACTTTTCTTTTTGAAATAACCATGAAAACGCATAGTGCAAATTAGTATAAGTAATTCAACCCTATTAATGGGCTCGCACGTGAATCTTCAGTACTAAGCTTTTGCGTATTCAAATTGATGTAAGCTGAAGGTACTTACATCGTTTGTGAATTTTTTGAAACCAAATAAGTGTAAGTAGATGATAATTTAGGACAAAAACATTTGCTTACGCAAAAAAAAAGAGCATCTCCGAGATAATTCCATTAGCACTGAAGATTGACACGCAATCTAAAAGTGGTGTCCTTTTGTTGACATAGCTGCAAGGATTTTCTCAGCCAATCCCTAATAAAGTCAAAGTACTTTAAAGTTTGTTTTGCAAAGATATAATGCTAGCCAGGATGTCTAACAGTTCACCGTTTCACAGTCGTTTGTTTTTACTCTTTCTAAGCTTAAAATTTAAACTGTCTCCATTTGAAGTACTTCAATTTTTAATAAATTCTTTTTATGGGTTAACATGCCAGCATTCCATGGTAATTCATAGTTTTTCTGTTCCGTTATCCCCAAAGTCTCATCTTGCATTCCAGTTTAGCTCTTGAATGCAATGTGAAAGCTACTTTCAGATAGGATCAGCTGACAGAAAGGAATTGCAGGTTACAGGAGTGAAATAGAAAGTCTTATAGTCCTTGCAAGTTCCTATGAATGAAGAAAAGTCCGAATGATTTTAAGTGCTTAGGTGTGAACATTCTTTAAATTTATATAATTTTTCAACCCAGAATGCGATTCAAATGTACTCGGAAAAAAGTCAGGCATACTGGTAAAGTACCTAACCTCCGATTTGTTGCTGTGTAGTTAATTTTATCTCCCCGTGGGCCTGAGTAGCAAGGTTATCTATCTATTTTTAATGTATATCAATCTCTTCAAAGTGTTCATTAATAATTTTAACAGTCCCTAATAGTTCTTAAAAGATCCCTTAAATATTTTCCTCTTATACTTCTCAACAGTCACCTGAGGTGAGTTAATAATGGTAACACTACCGCAAGTCCTCGTTCATTACTCTTTCACATCAACCAACAAAAAAACATCTAAAATCAACCGAAGCTTATTCTATTGTTTGAAATCATGCAATATTTATAATCAAAATTTCTATGCTGCTGATTATGCTGCAAAGGCGATTGTGCAGTATACAGTGCACTTATTTTGCCTGTCATCTTTTTAGGAGAAAAAATTCCATGATAGTCCAGGAGGTCGCTGACATTTCGGTCACAATGGACAAATGTTTGAAAATCGACGGAACTTTTCTCTCTGATCCCAAAATCCATCATCGGCCTAACGAGAGCTATGCTCCCGCGCTAGGAAGAACGCCGCATGAGCAGTCGAGAGTTGTCAATTTTCCTTCGATAAAATGTTTATTTTTGAGGAAAATTATCAATATTCTCCCTGAAATTTTCAGACTTTCTAGATCAAATTTTGAACACATACATCTGAGAAATTGGAAGAAAAATATGCACAAATTTTCTTGAAAATTAGTGATTTTTCGAAGGGAATTTGGCAACGCCTGAAGGCTCATACGGCGTTCTTTCTTCCTTAGCACGGCAGTGACGGCCCGGGCGTTTTTCTACGATAGGGCTCTAAAGATGGCGATGATGCCAGAAAAATTTCATCTCAAAATGAGGCAGACAAGGCATTTCCAATTGAAAACCGGATCTCACGATCCGAAAAACGTCAGTCAGCTGATCGCCGGAAACACTCTCTCAGTGTGCCTGTGCAGGGAAGCTTCAACGTCCAGTGAAGTTTTACCCGAAGTACCTATTCAGCGTTTTCAGTACCATTAACCATTCGCTAGAAACGCTATGATTGTGCACGAATATTACAACGTCAAGTGGATATTTACCTAATTGGGTATCCCCGCTTGCATCAACATATCGCCGGTAATACTTTCTCATCGTCCACGAAATTTACGGTGTCAAGTGAATATTCACCGCAAATAATCATTTGATGCTGCATTCTCCTTCCGCGTAATGAAAGAGTTTCCGGCGATCAACCAATTTAACCAGAAATGTAGAATACATCCGGTATTATCCGGGTCCATTTTTTGCGGTACTCCAAGATTGCGCGAAAGGTCTAAGAAAATATATGAGGATTGCGGAAGTTAATTTAAGGTAGAAAGTTGGCAAAACAGAAAACAGTTGGAAAATGAACGCATTTTTATGTTAACGCTAGTTAAGGTTAGTTTGTTGACAGGTCATCGTTGTCTTACCTTCCGATGATAAATGAAGTGAAAATATTGAATATTGGTCGTGGGTACAAAGAACTTTCCTAACTTTTCTCGGAGGAAATATTTATTCGGCAGAAACGAGGCAACGTTGGAATGCTCATACGGCGTCGAAACACAACGTGGGCCTATAAAGCTCTAATATTCGATGCCGCGATTATTCTAACGCGAGTTCGAATAATCGTGATAAACTCAGTGCGGCCGGCGCGGCGTTGAACGTATACTAACGCCTGCAAGACTGTAGGAATACTTCGCGCATTGCGCCAAACAGTGCGGTCGGCGCACGGCCCGTATTAGCGCCTACAAGACTGCGCGAATACTTCTCGCATTGCGCCAAACGCAGTGCAGTCGATCAGTTATCGTGAAACGCATATTAGCGCCTACAAGATTGCAGGAATGCTGTAAGACTGCGTGTCATCATTCTTGACATTTTGCTCTAGTTTTTTCTATAATTAAAGGGTAAATATGTATCCTCATTGTAACGATTTAGAAACTCAGATGATATTTCATTTTTTGGGGTTTACATTGAAAGAAAATAGAACGAACGAAAATGTAGCGTCCAAATTTTACATACTTTTATTTGAGATCATTTAGGTAATTCGCGGAAACTTTTCAAAGACACTGATAAACCTTTTTCAAAAGGTCTTCTCGCTGCCGTGACCAGGGACCGGTAACATTGTTATTTTTTTTTTAGATTTTTTAATTCTTTTGACGGTTGATAATGACCGGGAGACCGGTCAAAACGTCCCTTATTTTGTAAATTATTGTGTTTTTTCAGTCTCGTCCCCGCCTTATCTTGTCCATACCTATCTTTTCGGGCTGCCACATAGTGTACGTTCATCTATATATTTTTAAAAACATTTATTAAAAATAAAGCGAGTTGTGCATAACGTTGCAATCAGATTTAAATATACGCTTGCTTTCAGGATATGCAACTTTACCTACTTGGAGGTGGAAATAGTTGTATCACGCGATTGGCCCCATCCAACTTTTCTATTCTGCGTTAAATTCTCTTAGTTAGCGGAAAAGAGACTAAGCTGCGTTTTTCATTTTTGCGGATATGCAAGAGAGTTTTGTTTCTTCATAATTGTGACCGGATCTGTGAAAAGGGACCCCATTTTCCGGAAGAAAATTTCTGAAACTTTGAAGTCGGCGCGAAAAACGATCGCGGGAAGCGCCTGCAAAACTTTGGAGATACCTCAAGCATTGCGTCCTTTCTCTGATTTATAGTCTCACTCTCGATTCTTCACTCGCGAATCGCGCTAAGTTCCGAGTTGCGCACGCTATCTGGAAATCTGCCGTGCTTAGGAAAAACGCCGTATGAACATTCAGGCGTTGCCAAATTTTATTCCATAAAACACGAATTCCCTGGTAAACTTATGAATATTTTTCCTCGAATGTTTAGAGAATATTCTTTTAATTTTGATCGAAAGTCCCTGAAAATGTGAAAGAAAAATATTCATAATTTTCCTCATAAATAAACATTATATCAAAGGAAATTTTGCAACTCTCGAATGTTCATACGGCGTTTTTCCTTAGCACGGCAGAAATGTGCAGGTAGCGCGCATACACAACTTCGGAAGGTGCACGCAAAAATGGAGTTCATGTTGATTAAAATATAATCAATTTGTTATCATCGATTATTCAAGATTGTTGCCTACGCAGCTCACGAACGACCAATCGGTCACTCATTCGTAAAGATTCTACACCCTTGATTAAGGTGTTATATTTTGAAATGTGACCAGGACCTTTCTAATGTTTGTAGTTAGTTTAAAGGTCCAATCCTTAGCTCTCACTGCACGAGAAATATATTTTATTTTCAAGTGATAAAAATAAAGGAACAATGATCGGGCACAGTGCTGCGTCTTTAGCAACTAGCGTAAAGGAGTGGCATCGATAAGGGTTGTTCTTGGGTCCACCCTGATTTTCCTCAAATTTACGATTTCGGTTAGATGGGCGATCAATTGGATCTCTCGTGGGAAAAGAAGATGCATCTTCAAAGATACGTAGGGGGTTTGACGTCTTCTTTCAGAAAATTCTGAAAACTCCAACTTTTAATTATATCGAAACAAGTAACACTTCTAACTTTTTAATTTATTTATTTTCTTGTATTTTTTTTCTCTATTCGTTCTCCATGAGATTAAATTAATTAATTCATTTTGTATTAATTAACTGAATTAAATTAATTCAAATTCCATGGAATTTAATATCTTCATTTCCCCCAAAAATTCATGACTCATTCATTCGTGAACATTTTGCCGATGATTCTCAGGAAGGCGTACCTAACCCTATCCTCCCGTTAAACAAGAAAATTAATAATCCTGACGCATCAAAACTCAAGTCAAAAGGAGCTATCTCCATCGTTACCTAGGCCCTTAGACCCATAAGAATAGACGCATGCCCGGGCCCATGCCATACCAGAATTAGTTCATTTTCAATTAAATATGTCCAATCGTGAGCCATGTAAAAAGTACCCACAACTGCACTTTTGACTCTAAGCGCGACTTTTATTTTGCTTTTCGTGCAGCAGCCTGTGCAGCAAAACGTGCTTCCGACAATTGCACTCAAGCCAAGCTGAAATTTAATTCGAAGGACCGAAAAACGTCAACTCCATCTGAGCGAAGCCATATCAGTCGTGTTAGGACGTATTCACAAGGAAAAGAGGTGTCGCCAGAGAAAATCATGTCCTGCGAGGAATATTCAACACCAGAGGGAACTATATCCCGGGAGGGAACTGTATCTTCATCTTGTGAGGGGACCAATCCTGGCAAGGAACCAGCGTGTCGCGAGGAAACCGTTTCACGAGAAGGATGTGAAGAAACTCGCGAAGAAAGCGTGTTACGAAAGGCGTCTATAGAGACTCAACCATGTAATGAGCCTACGAAATGTGAACATGAGATCCAGTCGAGACAGAAATTCACCCATCTACCAGTCGAGTCTCAAGAATCCTTCATCGCACGCCACTCGAAGGAGGACGTCACCGAGTGCAGCGAGTGTGCCATCCTGGAAAACATGGTCGCGAACAAGTGCGAAAAGTGTCTGCACACGCAAGAACTCGCCAGTTTCACACCCACCCCTAAATCATCCCGAGCACCGAGCAAGAGGTGTAGTCCTATCAAAAAGCGAGCACCATTACCAGCCAGCTTGCCCCGCACAAAAACCGAGGCTGAACTCATCAAATGTCCACCCGTCCGGAGGAACCCTCTGGCCCCTAGGACCTTGCCCTTCTCAACAAACCCACCTGCTCGTAAGAACCTTTCAGCCTCAAGAAGTTCAAGTAGCGTGAAGAAACAAGCAGATGATGAGAGAAACCTTTGCGAAGAGGCCCCCACGTCAGGCTTGGCAAAGCACCGTCCCAGTACAGAGCTTTTCAAGAAAGCTAAGCCAAGGAAGTATCTCGAGGGGGCTAACGTGTATGTGATTCAGCCAACTTTCGAGCAATGTGTACGCCCTTTGGTATGTCAGTCGACGAAAGAAGTACAGACTGATAACGTGGAAAGATCTTGGATTGGGAAGAATGCTCTCTCTTGCCAGGATGAGCCCAAGTTGGTTAATACAAGTTCCGCCTCGCATTATTCTGAATCCTCCTCGGGGGAAGAAGACCTCTCTACACAAAACTCCAAGTCGGAGCGGAAAGGCCAGCAAAGACAACGGGGTGTGATGATCCAGTGTAAGATGCCACAAAAGTGCTCAAGGCCTCGCCCCAAAGGTCGGAGCAAGTCTGCCAGCCCTTCGAAAATCAAGGTTGACGATGATTCGAAAAGTGGCGTGTCTGAAGTTTTCATCGGGCCGTCGACCTCGGACACGTCTCGGAAGCGAGGGGATTCTCAAACCTCAACTCAAGAGAACCCGGTCAATTCAAACACCCAGATAGTCATCGAGGAGAAGATCTACGTCAAAGGTACTCCCGAAGCCATCAGGAAGAAGATCATAACTGGAGATCGCTCGATTTTTAGTGGCAAGTCTCTCGCGTCGAGCATTCGCGCTCTGCTGAGTGGGAATCAGGAAGAGTCGCTCGTCGAACGAAACAATAAATCGATCGACGAACCCGCACTGAATAAATCTCCACCCGCTGTCAGAAATTGTTCATCACCCTCCGAAGCTCCGATCAAAAAGTCTACGTCTCATGAAACTACCTCCAATAAAAATAAGTATGCCACTCCGGTGGGGATTTCTTGCGCGCAGCTATCACAGTCTGAACCATTGAACGAAGAGTCTAGTTGTGTCCTACAAAATAAGGACCAGTGCTCATCGAGGTCCAGTCGGAAGTATTTCGACGGCAGGTTCAGTCCACCTAGTCGACGTGATTCTCTGACGACAGGTCAGGATAGCGAATTCGACCGATGTCATTTACCCGAGGATAAATGCGTTTATTTCGACGAGATGTCCATCGCCTCTTACAAGCAAGGCGTTCTCCTCGATCGGTATAGTGAAAAAGACAGCGTGTATGAGACCGGAAGTGACTACCACAAGAACAGCAAAAGATGTAGGGGTCGATTCCTCGAGGATAAAGTTTCGAAGCGGAGTACAGATTGCTCGAAGTCGCCGGACATTAGTCGTAAATACCGACAATACACTTGTGAGAAGGATATTTGCGATAGTAGCTGTGACAATGACAGCGCAGACGAGAAAAAATTTGACTGTCACACTCCTCTATATCACAGGAACCGTAGAAGATGTGAGGATAGATCTCCTGGGCGGAACGTTTCAAAACAGAGCAATGATTGTTCCAAGTTGCCCAAAAATCGGTGCGCATGTCGGCGCTGCTCAGTGGTGTGGGAAAACGAAGTTTGTAAGCAACCAAACGTTAAGTCTTGTGGTTCGCCTCGCCGCAAAAGTGACCGTCGAAGACGATACGATTCCTACGAACATAGGCATGAGACAGACGTCTGCTCTCCGGTCTTTCTTAATGACGTCACTGGGCGATCTTGTACAGAGAACAGTGACTCACAGTCTTGTAGTGACGTTAGCTTTATTACCTACCAGTCGTCATATGCTACGAAATCCTGTAAGCCGTACGAAAAAGCATGCCGGTCAAGAGAAACTGACGTCGAGGCTTGCCATTTGACGTCTGCTACAACGTCATGTCCATCCCGTTCATCGGTTTTTTACAGAGACACGTCCAGTATCACTTGTGTATTCTTCATGCTAATCATTTTTATCGTCCTCTTTTTCATCGGGATGCTTGTCTGGCGACTAATGAGAGATGACAAAACAAGAAAACTGGAAGTGGAAGAGTGAATGTTGACAGAAAAGCCTTTGGAGAAGGAAACCCGTGCATTCAGCTGATATGTTCTTTTACCATTCAACCATTCAGCACCCTGACTTTTGTCACCCAGAATTTTCTCGGCCGTCCAGAGTATTAAAGCCGAATCTTGTGATCATATCATAGCTGTGTGTTGAAGAAGAGAACTGCCGTGCAAAAGATTCCCACACAATGTTTGTCGTGGTCAAGGGATGTGTAAAAATCTGGGATGTTTAATGTATGAATTAGTTTCTGACATTGAAAAAAAAAACCAACATATGATTATTAATTATGTACAAATGTCTGCTTAATATTTTTCGCACATTTATCACTAGACATATTAAACTAAACCTCGTAAAAACATTGTAGTGGCCCATAGGATGTGAGCTTGTGAAATTAGTCACACTTGTATGTAGTTTTCTAGAGATTTTCTGAACATTTGTTTATAGGAGTGTATATCATACAGAGATTTACGCGGAGCTCCTTCCTTTTAAAATAGATGATCTTAAAAAACTGCCCCAAAACTAGTGAAATTTTAAGAATACTGTAAAAAGTAGTGTAAGATTGCACCTGGCTTATCCAATTTACCACACATTTTTCTTAAAACTATATTTCTGCGGAATCAATAAAATAAAAGAAAACATGCATTTATCTAATTTTTTGATCTACCAGCGAAAACCCCGAGACTGAAGTCACAATTTATGGGGAAGCTCGTGACTTCAGTCACGGGATTTGCCATAAATTATAATTTAATATTGATCACTTCATTTTCTGCGTAACTTAAACTTCATACAACCTAAAAGCACATTACTGAGGAATATAAATAAGTCGACTCGATTCCAACAAAAGTTGTCATGTCTAAAAAAAATTCCCCGAGAGACATTGTTCGACACTGTCCGTGAGACACTATATTTAAAGGGGATGATACGACTATTTGCTCATGGAGGAACTCGTGTCGCCTACACTAAAAATTGAAGGCGAACTTACGATGGCGTCAATTCAATATTTTCCTGTTAGGTTTTAAAAAGCTATATTTTTCCGATTGATCGTGCCATTTCAGGATGGTACCACTATTCGATCACTTGGGAGCTTGTGTTGCCTACACGAAATATTGAAGGCAGACTGATATGGCGCTTAATAACCTCTTAAGGTTTGGTAAAAAAACTAATTTCTCAGCGTATTTGGAGTGAGCGCGCCATTCCTCGACGGGACCACCATTCGATCACGTCGAAGCTCGTTTTGCCCGCACTAAAAATTGAAGGCGAACTAATATGACGTCGATCAACCTCATCCGGTTTTATAAAAACCTATTTTTTCAGTGATTTCGGGGTAAGCATGGCATTTCACGACGCTGTCACTATTCGACTAAGTGGGAGCTCATGTTCCCTACCCTGACATTGAAGGCGAACTGACTTGGCGTTGATTTTAATCTTTTCCCGTTTTGTAAAAACTTCTTTTCTGTCTGTGTCTTGAGTAGGCGTGCCATTTCGCAATGATACTGCTATTCAATTTCTGTGCGCTCCTCTCTTGTCGTCTTTTAAGAGAGACGGGGCGTCGTGTCATTTTTGTCGAATTTATATTCTTGTTTTTTTTCCTCAAGAGAATCATTAAATGTTTGATCCCTATTTGTATACTTTTACCTATGTGTGAGCTGTCGCTGTGGTCCCATTTGACTTGACAAAAGTTGTTTTGCAGTTATATTCATGAAAATTTGTCTGCCTTTTCCACTTAGTGCCCAATACTGCCGTGCTGAGGAAAAACGTAATATGGACCTTCAGCCGTTGCCAAATATACTGCGGAAAATCTCGAATTTTTGGGAAAATTGGTAGACACCCCTCACTATTTTTCAGAGAATTTTGTTCGTGATTTGATCTGAAGTTTCAGAGAATTTCAATGAAAAATATACAGAACTTTCGTAAAAAATATATATCTTACGAGAGGAAATTGGCAACATTTGAATGCTCATTCGACGTTTTTCCATAGCACGGCAAAATAGCTGACATTCACAGCATACAGTAAAACTTAAATATCATGAGTTGTCAAGCATGAAACAAATGGACGTATTTCTATCAAACGGAACTAAGCGCCATCGGGGGAGGATGGTAGAGGGGGGCTTGGATTGGCGGGTGTTGCGGAACGCGATTCTCGTTCCGTCCTATACTCGCATAATGCTTTTCCATGGCGCTTAGTTCCGTTTGACAGAACGCGCTATCCGGGATTCTAAAATCCTCAATAGGAATTCAATTTGGCGCTTAGTTCCGTTCAACAGAAATGCGTCCCAATCATAATCTATCGCTTACAAATTCATGTTTCGTCAATACTAAGATCTTCAATTTTTTTACTGTTCGGTGCAGCGAAATGTGTGTTCGACAAATGCAACCAGCTTGATTATTTTTGATCTGTCAAACTCTTCTACGTCAAAACAATTGACCGTCATGCGCAGAGGATCAAACTCGCACGACAGAACTGGACCAAACGAGGAATTGATTTCACGAGAAAATAATGCACTTTGTGAGGAAAACAAAGTCACCGAAGATGTCGCGTCTTTCCAAAGATGTCCCTCGAAAGACAAAACCAACGCAAGTGAGGTAATAAAAACCTGCGGGGAAGATGAATTACGTGAAGGAACCTTGTCTTGTGAAGCCGATATAAGTAATACCTCCGAAATTCAGACATCTGGAAGTAAGGAATGTATGAGCACAGTCCAATCAAAGAAGCAGTTCATTCATTTGCCCCTCGATAAACAAACATCGCCTGAAACCCACCATTTGCAAGCGAGCACTGAAGAGAACACCGACTGCGCTATCCTTGGAAATCTCATAGCTAGTAAGAATGAAAAGTGTGTCTCCGCCTATACGCTTGACACTAAACACTGTTTGATCAGTCCATCGCTTGGGTTCAGCCCTAAAGGCAGTGTTACCGAAGAGGAATCAGCTCACTATTCTTCTTTGTCTCGCAGTCCAACGGTTGCTGAAACCACAGTGAGCTCTCCTCCTAGTATGCTCTTAAATGATCAAGAAAATCGTCTAAGAAGCGCAGGAAGTAAGAATGGCGGCAGCAGCACTGCATCAAGGGGGGTTGAACCAGAACATAGATTAATTATGCGAACTTCTAGCGTCGAAATCTTGAGAAGAGTGAAACCGGAGATTTCTACAAAATCCAGGGTATTCGTGATTCAGCCCTCTTTCAAGCAAGTTGTGAATCCTGTGTCTGATCAATCAAAAACCGAAGACATTCTGGTTCTCATTAGTGAAAAATCCGCACCCAACGAAGACCTTAGCGAAAACTCGTGCGAGGAGAATCAGCAAGACGACCCTGGTAAAAATGTCTCTCCAGAGGTAAAATGCACCTCCACGTCAAGATCGAAAAGGAATGTGCTGCAACAAAACCTGTGCGCGGAGACTCAATGTAATCTATCCTCAGGCCATGAGAGATCTTCGAGTTCTCGGGAGGATGTCGATGGGTGTGATGAATGGAGCCAAGAGGGCTCAATCGAGCTGAATGAAAGTTCGAATTACCCAGAGTCTCTTCGGATGGATGGAACTTTGCAAACGCCGAATCATCGAAAGACGTCAAAGAAAGACCTCAATAAAAGATGCGTCAAAATTCAGTGTAATATACCACAAAGCTATCCAAGCTCAGAGCCAACTCGTCAATTTGAGGCTCGCAGCAAGTCTTATAGCCCACCGAAGAGCACAACGGAACATGGTGTATCTAGCAGTCGTTTTTTTACTGCTTTTCCCGCATCATCCGACATGGGCAAATCACAAATGACGGAGAATCTGTCTAATTTATCGGAGAGGGAATCGGTTGCCTCGAGCACTCAAATAATTATTGAAGAGAAGATCCTCGTGAGAAGCACGAATAAAATGAACGATAAAATGACTGTAAAATATGACAAATGCACTCTATCTACCAATATATTATCAAATATTCGGGATCTCTTGATCGGAACTTTCAGCGATGTATCGTCAATGCACGAAGACAGTTGCGAAAGACCCCTGGTTGATTCAATTTTGCCCCCAACCATGCCGTGTCCCGACCAAGAAGTTGGTGATGATTCCGTACCTCAAAAAAGTAAGGTACAAAATCAGCTTTTCAAGTTGGAGGAACAGCCGTCAATGGTAGCGTCTGAATGCGCATGCTCTTTACAGTCCGATAGGGACCGCTGTCATGGCCTTGGCTCATCGGTCAAGCAATCCGCGCCACCGACCACTATTTTTGACCGGAGAAAAAATCCCTCATCGCCCAATAAGTCCCGATCGATGTTCGATGTCATTAATGTAAGCCACGATAGCACTTTCAAAATCCGCATGTTGGATTGCAAATCAAACGACTCTCATGTTTCTGAAGATGCAGCAGTTTGTTTGGATGATAGATGGATCGGGTCTTACAAAGATGATAATGATGCTCAAACTCGCGAAAACACAATATCGCAAAAATCAAGAAGTGCCATCAACTCGCGCTCTCTCCCAGAACTCAATCGTAGCAAAGAAAGAGGATATATAGCCGAGAGAACTCAGTCTCGAACGTCAGAATGCAGAGAAAAGGGAAGCACACGGCCTCAAGACTCGAATGAAATTGATGTTAATTTTGCTCCAGTGTTCCTTCAAGGAGATGACGGTAGGAGAACACGATGTCCTAGTATTAGTTCTGAAGATGTGAGCGGACAAGCATTTTGTCTGTATACTCTCTCTGCGGTAGACATGGGTGTTGGTCGTCGTTCGCGAAGTGTGGACGCTATTCCTCAAAAAAAGAACAGTCTAATCCAACACCGTGGAAAAAGCTTCCACCCCTGGATGAAAGAAGGATCATGTTCCAGAAGTGAGGTTGGCTCCGAGTTCTGTTTTGAAAATGATCCCGGTGCACTAACCGGCGAAAGCTCCCATTTCGATCCCCATCCGTGCCACGAACACCGCACGGATTTTCGAAGCGAAAGTTGCTCCTGTTCGCCATGGGGAAAGACCGCTTCAAATGTATGCATTCACAATAGCTCCCACACACAATCTAGTCCCAAGAAGAGCTCCTGTCTAGGCTGTGGACAAGAATCAAATTCCTGTAGCGACAATCGTTTTCTCTTGCGATTCATAAATGAGTCATTCGCCCCCAGTGAGATTGACTCGCACCCCTGCATCGACAATCACCTTGAGGATGAGTCTTATCCATGCCGAGAGGGTTGCTCTTGTGTTTCGAACCAGGATGACTGCCAACCCTGCACCTTGCCGTGCAGTGAAGATGGCTCTCCGCTGCGCTCTCGGTCAGGCGAAGAGGACCTTTCACATTCGTGCTTGGAGCTCTGTTCGGACAAGCTAGAGTCGTTACCTAAGTCTAATGGACCGAGCCAATTCAACCCAGCTGAGAGGACAGAATGTTATCCGGCATCAGACCAGATCGACGTGGAGATCGGACGTCGGGCCTTGATGTCGACAGAGGTTGTTTGCTATGGCCACCCGAACCCATATACATACTGCAATTCAATAGCGAAGTCTACCTTCGTTTTTACCATGGCAATCGCCTCCATCGTCACCTTTTTCGTTGGAATGCTGTTTTGGCGCTTACATAGTGAGCGCTATAACTAGATATAGATTATTTTCAAGGTTGAAAACCATCAAAAATAGGTTACTTTTTCTGCTTGCAGAAAAGTTTTACTTAGACTGTTGTAATTACTGTACTTTTAATTATTTCTACTCGTGACTACTTGTTCATGACCAATATGTTTGTTTGCAGTGTGTTTACTTAATGCGCAGGAAAATCCGGCAAAACCTATGCGGGCGAATTTTTAAAGTGTGAAATACACTGAGGTCAAAAATATTTTACTTTTATTTTTAAAGGAGACAAGTCAAATATGGGAATTTTCATAGCTAATTTTTTTATTTTTAATGCATTAACGCTTCAAAAGTATAATTATCCATATGGTTCGAAATCTCTCAATTTACATCCCGAGGAAAACCAAAACGAGAGTCCCGCAACCTCCTTTTTTCTCAACTTGATGTTACCTTAGGTGATCCTATCAGTTTCATTCCGCACAAGCTCTTTGCTTCAAAGCACATGGTAGTTTGAAGCTGCGTGCAAACCAATGCAAGAAAATTATTTTCCTCATTAACGAAAAATGTTGTGTTCATTAAAACTGAATGTAAATAATTTAACATAAGCTTGTATCCAGTTACTTACTTATTGATTCCTTAGTTTTACGCACATACGCACAACCCAAGGGCATTTTCTGTTTTAAATAAAATATCTTTCTTACATTTTTTACTCTTATTTAGTTACTCTCTTGCGATAAGACGCAGTATTGAGTCTTCAATAATGATTCTGTCACACGGGAGGTTTTTCCGTTTGCGTTGAGGAGGTGGAACCTTCGCACATGATTCTGCTCGAAAACATCTCCTAAGGGTGTTTTCAAATCTGATACAACTATTCAAGCGCGGGAGATGTTCATGATGCATACTTAATGGAATGACGGCGCTTGGGACATTGGTGCACGAGCAGTTTCCGCGACGCACTCAAACGTTAGTCGTTGGTGTTGATGCTATGTTTTGTTCCCACAAATAAGAGCAAAATACATCATTGAATGAAGAATTAATATTGGCAAGGGACCGCTCGACAGTCGGCGGTGTCTCAATTTATTAATTCTTATTTTTCCAGTGATCTGTAAAAACACGCCGCACAATGGATCGAGTCAATAGGAGAGGTCGGACAAAGTTTGGAAATTTTAAACGCTTATAACTTCGTTTATACACAGCTTTGAAGTACTGATAGTGGTTCCATTGGTTTTCTCGTGAAATTTTCTTCAAATAATATCCCTTTAAGTTTGAAATGTGACGGAATAAACATCAAAATTTGCAGTTTTAGTAAAAAATTTCATTTCCGACCTCTCTAATTAACTCGATCCACTGTGCGCCGTTGCGCTCATTGATGCCCGGAAAAGATACCCAAAGCGCCTACAATTTTGTGTGTATGCAGCACGCACATCCCGGGAGCACGAATAGTTGTATCAAAACGTTGGTATCAATCGTTGAAGAGATGGTAGGCATTTGAGTCTGACCCCGCCCTATTCTTGTTTAAAATGTAATGATTATTCCGTCGATATCGTCATCTCATCATAATTTTTTTTTCATATCAGACAATTTATGAATAATATCGACGGTGTAAGTCGGCAATCACATAACTCGGTTTGGGACGTCCCAAACTTCCTGTCATACTTTATTTTTTAAACGGAAAACTACTCAACGGAAATTCTTACAAACTGCCATGATTTCTCTTCGCTGTGCTAAGAAAATTCTGCATAAACTTCAAAGAATGATGTCAATTTGTTCTCCTTTAAAAAAAACACAGAGGCGGAGATTCTTAGACACCGCAAACGAGATATCGACGGTGAAAGTCGGCAATCACATAACTCAGTTTGCGACGTCGCAGACTTCCTGTCATACTTTATTTTTTAAACGGAAAACTACTCAACGGTAATTCTTTAAAACTTCCGTGATTTTTCTTCTATATGCGAGGAAAATTCTGCAAAAACTTCAAGGAATCATGTCCATTTGTTCTCCTTTACAAAAATAACATAGTTGCGGAGATTTTCAGACACCGCAAACGAGTTATGTGATTGCCGACTTGCACCGTCGATATGTGATTGCGGACTCACGCCGTCGACATAGAATTAAGTTAGTTTTTTCGAGAGGAAACGTAGGCAATTTTCTCAGTGTTTGGGAAACACGCAATTTTTTTAGGGCCCGCTCATTCTCGCTTAAAATTGACATTTATTGGCCAAATGATGTAAAGATATCGCAATATTTTTGTCGCACTGTGCTATGTGGCCGTTTGACAAATTCAATTCCTCAAAATTCTCCGTCCCACTACAATACTAGTTGGAAAATGCAAATGAGATGAAGGAATTAAAGTCTTGGTGACACTTAAGTTACGGGTGCGCAAACACGACTTGCGAAATGAATGTGTGCGATTTCAATGCACTGACATCGTGGTCGTCACGGTGTCAAATTCTTTGATCGGTAGATGTCGGAATTTCAGACCGCGTCAGTGGCTTGTATCTTAGGAGTCCTTTACTCACACACATTGCCATATTGCCCCACCATCTTATTGAAGATTGACTCAACGTCCCCTCGACTTTTATTTTAGTGGTTAATAGTCCGAGAACCAAGAATAAACGAAGAAAGAAACTAAGCAAACTACGTCTATGCTTCGATTGAACCGAGTAATTGAAAATCTAATCACAGATATCATCCATTTGAAGTGCGCCTTCAATTTGTTGGGATAGGCAACAAACCTCACGGAAAGCACGACTATCGAGTCAGAAATTAAATGCACTTACTTTGCTACAGGTATCGGTCACCGTATGTTTGCCTCCAATATTGCCGGATAGGCAAAAAATTTGCAGGAAAGCACTCCTACAACAACTTATTAGCCCCAGTGTGCATAAGAGCTCTATAAAAAGCTTGATGCAATTTTAGCTCAAAGATGAGTTGAAAATTAAAGCAAGTACTAGGCAAGCTGTCTTAGAGAAGTTTACCATTTTTATCTGCTTACGTCACAAGACTCGCAAAGCAAATGTAAAGAGAATAGAAAGAGAATCTGAGTCAGGCTTTAATTACCTTAATGCAATGTTTAAGAATCAGAATCGTATTCGGTATTGTTTTTAGTCTTAATCATGATTATAGGAGGTACATATCGAGGTGTAAGTCGGCAATCACATAACTCGGTTTGCGACGTCGCAGACTTCCTGTCATACTTTATTTTTTAAACGACCAACTACGTAACGGCAATTCTTCAAAACAGCCTTGATTTTTCTTCTCTGTGCCATGACAATTCTGCAAAAACTTCAAGGAATGATGTCAATTTGTTCCTCTATAAAAAAAATAACATAGACGAGGAGATTTTTAGACACCGCTAACAGGATATGTGATTGCGGACTTACGCCGTCGATTTGGATGTATTTATGCTAAAAGGAAATGGAAGAAATAGAAATAGGAAAGATGGAGTGTGCTCGTAAAAGCTGCATAAGAAACTATGTAAAATTGGTTGTAATACCTTTTGGCAAAAAGGAAAAGTGGAAATTGATATTAAATCAAAAGGAACTAACCGCTAAAATCGGCACTCCTCTCACGCAAGGGCGTATCTCGATTCCCGCATAAAAGCCCCACGCTGACGTCACTGGCGATTCACAATTCCCCTTCATTTTTACGACCGTCAACTAACAGGCACACTCCTTCTTTCCCACCCGTCTCTGGTTCCTTTTAGTATTAATACGTCCATGTGGGGTGTAATGAAAGAAAAAGAAAGAAGAAAAAAAGAAAAAAAAGAAGAAAAAAACGTTACCAAGTAGTTATTTCGAATAATCAGAAATAGCTCGTTTTATTTTACCACAACTAAGCTTCATCGTTTCACCTGGCAGCCATGCTCACCTGAGGGCATTCCGGATCACATAGTAGCCGCTCATTGTTGTTTTTGTATGATTTTCTACCATTCCTAGTTAGAACAAGTTTTAAAAATGCACGTGTTCTCTCCATCATACTCTGAAATTTTTTCGCATAAAATTAAACGGTGTCGATTTTAAGAGGGTGCAAATGCTCTCGGCAAGGTCATAAATTAAGAAAGATGGTATAATTCTCAGCGTGCAATTACTACAGCGTTGTGAAACTCTTGTTTATATTTTATTTCCTTACTACCTCACAAGATTTTCAGTCGGATCTCAGTATTATGTCGGAATTTTAAGTTTGTTTTGCCTTCGTTTCTACAATTATCTCCACTCTCGTTTGTCAGGTAAGTAAGTGAAATTAGTTTTTGTTTCAATCTAATTATGCCTTTTGAAACCATTAAAACTGCGGAAAAACTTTCAGGGATCGGCTGATTATCATTGTGCATAATGGATGGCCAATTTCTGTTTTAACATTATTATCAATGCTATTTCTGAGAAGATTGAGGTGGAATTTAAGCGATGAATACAGATCGGAATTAAAATAATCGTAATTAAACAAAAAATAATTTTTTGATGTGACGAATGTGTTGATGCTCGACTAAAGTAAAAAATGCTTCTATTCGATTGCGGTTTTTTAGATCACCGCTCATTTTAATTGTTCTTTTCTAACAAAATCAAATAGATTTTTTAAAATTTTCTTGCGAATATTTTGATCTCCTTTAAAAAATTTACAGGCACTTTCTAAGATATATTTTGGTATTTTGGTTCCTTGTTTTCCCCCTCAAGACAACAAACAATAAAACATACTTATAGATATTACGAAACATTCTATTGGAAGAGTTGGAATTGTGCGACTGTAGAGCTATCAATATTTAAGTATTCCCTGGTAAAAATTGGCGATAGGAGCTGCGTTTCAAAATACCATAGGAGTTCTTATAGCCGACTGAAGAAGGCGATAGAAAGTCATATAGGTAAGTGGCTGTAGAAAGTGGAAAAAATCATACGGCCGGGCTACACGAAGCGATAAAAAATTAAATAGCCGGGCTATAGTTCCTGTCGCCGGGCTTTACACGTCTGGCTGTTGCTTTTTCGCCATCGGCTATAAAAGGCTATAAGAAATTGTGTAGAAATTCGTGTGCTTTGTAAATCCGCAAGTTTGTACGGAATCACCATAGTATTTACAAAACGCACATTATATTTTCCTTTACTACATATTTGTTTTCATCAATTAAAATGAGAATAATCCATACAGAGTGTGCAAACATTTCAAAGTCATGAGTTGAACAACGCTGACTCCACGAGATTAAATATTAGAGCCTAACACAAAGCGGAGCGGCGGCGCACTGGCGCCTACAAACCTAACAGGGATACTTCACGCACTGCGCAATGCGTGAAGTATCCCTGTTAGGTTTGTAGGCGCCAATGCGCGTTTCGCGCTGGCTGCCCGCCCGCCGTGCCGCGCCGCAGCGAACCATGGCGCTTGAAGCAACTATTTCGCACCAGAGGTATTGCACAGTATCATACGAAATTGAAGGCGCGCCAACATATTAGGAATGGCAGGCATCCTTCAAAAGTACGGAGCTTTCCTCGCAAAATAAATCAAGACACAACGGCCCAAAAAGAGAGCGGTAGTCCAAAAACTCACCAAGTTCTAGCATTCGTGTATATGTTTCCGGTCAAAATCCGAGCAATTTTTGGGCTTTTTAGGGGCCTAAAACTTTCTAAATGCAACCGGTTTGACCTGCCAGACCGCCCATTTCTTTTTACACACCAAAATCCGCTTCGAATGAGGTGGGTGGCAAATTTATATTATTCCGGTTGAACGAATCGTCATGAGCTCTCGGTCTATAACAGACAGCATACACTTTATCGTCCGGCTGTTGCTTAAAGGCATCGGCTATAAAAGGCAATTAGAAATCGTGTTGCCGGCTGTAGAAGCTATTGGAAATCTTACAGTCGGCTGTAGGTCTATGGTATTTTGGAACACAGATTCTACTGCCAATTTTTACCAGGGTTAGTAGATCAAAATGATATTTTGATCGAGTACACGATTCTATTTACACGTTTAAAAACCTAAAATCCCAAGAAATTCTTTTCTTTGTTCTTACTTGCTTTCATGAACGTAGAAAGTCAGATGGAAAAAACATAAAAATTCGAATCAACTCATTAAAATTGTGAATGTACTACATTTAAATAAACAGCCGATACAAAGTCACTGAAGGAGCCCTTCCTCTCTTCAGATCGATCATAGTGGTGATCCAATTTTGCTGGGCATCTCCTTCGTCCAGTACAGTTACTTACTTTACTTGAGCTACATTCTGCTATTAGGAGCTATAATGTCTGGCCCTGTTTAGAAACAACATATGTTCCATAAGTTTTTCCATGCAGATACGTGTTTTAACAGATGAGTCAGAAATTGTAGTTCCTAATTGAGGGGCTTGGAGGACAAGGCGCATGAGTGCAATTTTTGAAAAAATCAAGGCGTTTACGATTTCAAGTAAAACTAGTCTGAATGCATATTCTGCGAAAAATTTGCTCACAAATTCCAATTTTTAAGCATCAAATAGGCCCTTTCCGCCATAAAGGGTCCATGTAATTTCGGAACTTAAAACACGTTTTCTCGAAATAGCAGGCACTGCACTTATGCGCCTTGCCTTCCAAGCCCCTAAATTGCAATATGTTGTCCAATTTTGATAGAAGTTGATTTTAGAGACTGTCAGGAGCAAGTGCGGTGTGTGGCATACTGACAAATGATGATTGGTTAGCAGATGGATTCTAATGGTTCGCAGTGAAGTTTTGGTTCATAATCCAAGATGCCCAGCATCCAAAACGTCGTAGAGATCCCCTCGCTGACCAAGCTGATGGTTTTCGTGGCATGCGCCGCCTCGATCATGAGAACCGGAGTCCAGGCTGTTTGTTGTGCCGCCATTTCACATGCTTTCCAGTCGCCTTTCGACTACTGCGGAGGGACAAGGTGAGAAGAAGAGGTCCATTGGCGGATGCAGCAAGTTGGAAGTATTTCTTTACCCTCATTTAAATGGGAGGGTATGGATTTGCTTGACATTAATCGTCGACAAATGAAAACGTGCACCGATCGACACCGATTCGATCGATAAAATGGGTAGAACAGAAACCGGTAATGGATCGCGCAGTGGGTCGAGTCAATAGGAAAGGTCGGACAAAATTTGGAAACTTTAAACGCTCATAACTCCATTAATATATAATTTTGAGGTTTTAGAAGTGGTTTCATTGGTTTTCTCGTAATATTTCCATCATCAAGCACCCCTCGAAATTTAAAACGCGACGAGAAAATTTGCAGCAAAATTTGCAGTTTTAGTAAAAAATTTCATGTCCGACCTCTCTAACTGACTCGATCCACTGTGCGTCGTTTCGATCGAAAGATAAATACGTGAATCGATCGACGGAATTCGATGCGATTTAACGCTTTGTCGATCGATTCACGGGTTCTTCGACCAACGCAAGGTTGTCAATCGAATCGTTGTCAATCAAATCACGTCTCTCGTTACATGCAGATCACCTAATTCCATTATTTTTTTTAAATGAACAATTCGCCTTCTGCTGCGTCTGCAGCAATGTTGTTACGAATATGTTGTGCGTGATGATTTGAGCCCATTACATACTCGAATCTCTGAAGGCGTTTTATGTAGCACAGTCTGTTGGAGAACGAACGAAGTAGGGATTGAGCGATTCCTTCAATCTCACTTCTGTTTTTCTCCGACAGGGTGCTCTACTTTCGCACATCAAACGCCTTCAGAGAGTCGAGTATGTAATGGGCTGAAATCAGCACGCACAGCATATTCGAAACAACAATTGCTGCAGACGCAGCAGAAGGCGAAATGTTCCGTTAAAAAAAAAGAGTACGACAGGTAGTCTGCATGTAACGAGAGGGTATGTATACGACCAACATGAAGCAAACGAAAAATAAAAACGTGAACCGGTCAACACCGAACGATTCAATGAACAAATAACTAAAAAATCGGATTAAAATCAGTGGAAAACTTGCATTTACTATGAAAACTTCAAATTGCGATATCTCGAAATCAGGATCAGCCAAGATTTTGATTTTTCGCGATTTTAAGTCAACACGTTCCACAGACTCACCCCCTGCAAATCGTATTTGGGTACATTTTTGTCGCATTTTTTTGCTTTAAGACCACTTTGATTGGCGGATCTAAAAAGTTGCCAACATTGTGTTCTCTCCATATAAGTCCATGGTAATAAACTGCTTCTCTGAGGAGCTAAAAGCTCCGAAAAAAAGCGATAACCTATTCAGCACACATTTAAAAGAAAGACTGGAGGTTATGGATTCGATCGACATGATGCACATTTTCACAAAGATATCTTTTTTACATGAGCAATGAATTATTTTGTCTGAAATTAGCAAAAGAATCAGAATTTTTATCAAAATAAGAGTATTTAACTATATGCCCAGGCATTTGATTAAATGCCTGACTTGACTATTTGCCTGTGGCATTTCGTCGTCCATCCGACGTAAGGCCATATCTCGATTTCCCCGTGAACCCTATTGTCCATATAACTCCATGACTTCCAAGGCTCACGTGTAAATCGAGATACGCCCTTTCGTTTCAGGAGCGACGATTTATACTCTCTCGTACTGCCGCGCTAAGGAAGAACGCCGTATGAGCTTTCAGGCGTTGCCAAATTCCCCCTGGCAAATCACTAATACTCAGGAAAATTTTTATATATTTGTCTGCCAATTCTCAGATACTTTTTTTTGTACTTCGATTAAAAACTTCTAAAAATTTCAAAGAAAATTTGTCATAATTTTCCTAAAAAATAAACACTTTATCGAAGGAAATTTGGCAACTCTCGAATGTTCATACGGCGTTTTTCCTCAGGACGGCAGCGTGGCGCTACGCTATTGTTATCGTGGTTGATCTACTCGTTCTCCTGGTGCAGGTACTACACGGAGGAGGGGAAGTTCTGCTGCGGTGTGGGCTCCTGCAACATTTTCTGCTGCAACTGCATCGGGGGCTGCGTCAAAACGGAGAAGTTCTCCGGGAGCTACAGCGGCTGGCCCGGCTTCCTTTTTAAGCGTCGCTACGATTGATCACGACGGAAAAGAGCCTAAAGTGGAGTCTGCGATGAGCCTCTGAACACGTAAGAATACTGATAACCGTGGCTCACCACAGAAATGTACCCACGATTCTCATCTGTAACGCGGCGGTGTCGACCCTAGTGACACATCGGAAGAACAACATCAGAGCTGTCCAAGTCGATCCATTCTTTATGGGCTCACGCTGAATGCAGTGCCCGAGCGAATGCTTCCTTGCGTGGAGTTTCCTGAGGGAGAGCTTAAGACAGCATTGCGTAATCGCCTAGAAAGCTCTTGTTTTCGTAGCCCGGCGTGATCATTTGCCAAATCTATCGTCCACAGGACAGGGGCGGATCCAGCAATTTGGCAACACAGGATTTCCTCCACTTAAACCTATGTTAAATAATCGATTCTTGTTGGAGCACCTGGCCCCTTCAAGAATCGATACATTTCCACAGGTTTAAATGGAGAAAAAACNCATTTTTGTTCCTGATAAAATTTCCTATCGTCCTGCTTAAAAAAAATTACGCTAACATTAGCCGTTCAGTAGTTATTCAAAATTCAAAATTTGGGGGCCCCCCTGCCCCCCCAGGGGGCTCAGATTTTTGGGGTCTATGTCTGAATCGAATGTCTATAGGGTAGAGATGAATCCCTGAAATTTTCATGCTTTCTTCCAGAAGTGCACGATTCTTATGATATTTTCCACTTATCGGCCCCACTATATCGTCCACAGGACAGGGGCGGATCCAGCAATTTGGCAACACAGGATTTCCTCCACTTAAACCTATGTTAAATAATCGATTCTTGTTGGAGCATCTGGCCCCTTCAAGAATCGATACATTTCCACAGGTTTAAATGGAGAAAAAACAATGTTGCCAATTTGGCAAATCTGCCGTCTACAGGAAAAACGCCGTAACTCCAATCTACACTTCGCATTGCTCTTCGATATATTGTTCCCTTACGAGGAAGCCTGATCATGACCAGGTGCTTCATTTTCAAATTTCGGTACCTCTTTTGGGTTGGAATTCTTGGATATCAGGGGTTGCAGCTCCCGGAGAGATGTGCTGCTCAGATGCCAGGTCGGGGTACCCCCGGAAGTTTTGTTCCCTAAAAATTCTGCATACATTGTTGAAATTCGTACCGTGTTTCTCAGGTCAAGGATTTGCCTTCAATTTTCCAGCAAGCAAAATGACTGTCGTGACGCCCGATTAGTGGTATCAGAATTTCGTATTCAGATTACATAGTGGGTCGAAGGCGCTCTTCTGTATACTATGTGAGTGGCCCTGTACAATGATATTGACTAAAAATGTTCATATTTTTGGAGTCTTCAATCGAGCTGTAATTTTGAAAAATGCCCGAAGAATATTATTTTGATCATTAATTAATAAATTTTTTTTTTTGGTGTATAAGTCTTATTTCAAAAAAGAGAGCCCTAACTTGGTTTAGATTCTGCTTTAAAAGTCTTCTTGCTTTGGTCATCGTATTCTAATATAAAACTGAGAGAGTCGCCGTTTACAAGATCTCATTCCCTGCGGAAATGACTATACCCTAGCTCTAGCTACTTACCGATTTTTACATTTGTTACACAAAATGTAGTCCAGTTCATATACCTTGTCCAGAGGCCTTTTGTTTTGATTGGGACTGTGGGTGCATCATTGAAATTGACAGACTAAGCGATAGACATAACAGACAAAAGGAAAATGGGGTGACCCTATTGGTTGAAATAGGCGCAACTTATAAACGAAGGGGGATTTGGTGGACTGACTGCAGGGTCTCTCGTGGGTTGCCGTTAGTTGACTATTACCTACCTCCTTTTCCATCGCAACCACCCATTTCAACCATTAAAAAAGGTCCATTTTCCCTTTGTCTATCGCTTTTTCATTCAATTTCAATAATCACCCAGGGGGTGCTCTAGCATTTACCCAAAGTCCAGGTAATATCATCCCAAGACCCAGCCTCAGAGCCCTTCCGTGGACGCACACGGAAAAAATCCCTGGTAAAAATTGGCAGTAGAATCTGTGTTCCAAAATACCATGGACCTAAAGCCGGCTGTAAGATTTCCAATAGCCTCTGTAGCCGGCTGTACAATTTCTTATAGCCTTTTATGGCCGATGGCGACTAAGCAACAGCCAGACGATAAAGTTAATGCTAAACGTTACTAAATACGGATTCTAGGACTTAGTTAGTTTTTGGACTACCGCTCTCTTTTTGTGCCGTAGTATCTTGATTTATTTTGCGAGGAAAGCTCCGTACTTTTGAAGGATGCCTGTCATTCCTAATATGTTGGAGCTCCTTCAATTTCGTATGATACTGTGCAATACCTCTGGTGTGAAATAGTTGCTTCAGACGCCGTGGCAAGCTGCGACGCGGCGGGCGGGCAGAGAGCGCGAAACGCGCATTGGCGCCTACAAACCTAACAGGGATACTTCACGCATTGCGCAATGCGTGAAGTATCCCTGTTAGGTTTGTAGGCGCCAATGCGTCGCCGCTATGCTTTGTGTTAGGCTCTAATATTTAATATCGCGGAGTCAGCGTTTTTCAACTCATGATTTTGAAATTTTTGCACACTCTGTATGGATTATTCTCATTTTAATTGATGAAAAAAAAATGTTTTAAAGGAAAATATAATGTGTGTTTTGTAAATATTAAGGTAGTTCCGTATCAAACTTAATGATTTCCAAAGCACACGAATTTCTACACAATTTCTTATAGCCTTTTACAGCCAATGGCGATAAAGCAACAGCCAGGCGATAAAGTGTAAAGCCCGGCGATAGGAACTATCCCGACTGTATACTTTTTTATAGCTTCGTATAGCCCGGCTATATGATTTGCTCCGCTTTCTACAGCCAGCTATATACTTTCCAATAGCCTTCTTTAGTCGGATATAAGAACTCCTATGGTATTTTGGAACGCAGCTCCTATCGCCAATTTTTACCAGGGATTAAATTGCCGATTTAACAATTTCTAAAAAAAAAGTGACTGCAATATTTTAACGTAGATTTCACAACGAAAAAGAATGCTACTTCAACCACTACTGTAAGCTTATTTAATTACGGGAGTTGTTAAGGTAGCATTTTTTTGTTGTAAAATCTACATTGAAACATTGCAGCACTCACTTTTTTAGTGAGTGAATTGTTAAATCAGCAATTTAATTTTCTCCGTGCGACGAAAATGCGGAACTTTTGTTAGAGCCACTTAGGAATTTGGCCAAGTCCGAGGAAATGAAAACGGAGACACGGGGCGAGCGCACAGGTGAATATTACAAAACGAGGCCAAAAAGCGTTCGGTAACAGGGCGAAGATGCCGAATCCACCCGCGATGAGAGCGCGGCTCCGCTCCGTAACCTCCGTAACGCAACGGTACCAGCCAAGCTCCACCGTGCCGAGGAAGAACGTCGTATGAGCCATCAGGCGTTGCCAAACTTCCCTCGACGAACAACGAATTTTGAGGAGAATTTATTAATATTTCTCTTCTGATTTTAAGACGATTTCGTTCGTAGTTTGATCTAAAAAGTCTGAAAATTCCAAGGAATAATATTCATACCGGGTAAAAATTGGATATACAGGATCTGTGTCTGTTCGGAAAGACCATTGACCCATACTGCCGTGCTAAGGAAAAACGCCGTATGAACATTCGAGAGTTGCCAAATTTCCCACGATAAAACATGTATTTTTGACGACATTCATGCTCATTTTTCTTTGAAATTTTCAATCATTTTAGATTAAATTGCCTATAAAATTGGCTAAAATATTTGGAGAAAAATATTTAAAATTTTCCCGGTAAATTCAGTTTTTATCGAAGGAAACTTGGTCACGTCAGAAGGCTCATACGGCGTTCTTCCTTAGCACGGCAGCATAGCCGGCCATAAGATTTCTTACAGCTTTCTATAGCCAGCTACACAATTTTTTCAGCCTTTTATTGCCGATGACGATGAGAATACAGCCAACAGCTATAAGAGCTATAGCCAAGCGTTGAACCATATAGGTTGACGATAGGAACCATAGCCCGGCTATAACATTTTTCATCGCTTCGTAAAGCCTTTCTGTAAGAATTCCTATGGTATTTTGTAACGCAGCTCCTATACCGCCGTGTTAAGGAAAAACGCCGTATGAACTTCCGAGAATTGCCAATTTCCTTTGATGAAATGTATATTTTTGAAGATTGTTATAAATATTTTCCCTCAAAATTTTCAGAAACTACAGGTGAAATTGCGAACAAAATAATCATAAAAATTGGAAGAAAAATATCTACAAACTTTCTCAAGACTTCGTGATTCACCAAAGGAAATTTGGCAACGCCTGAAGGTTCATACGGCCTTCTTCCTTAGCAGGGCAGTACAGCCAATTTTTACCAGGGTAACTTTCTTCAAAATTAAATCTTTCCTGAGAGGCAATTTGGCAAGACTCGAATGTTCATGCGGCGTTTTTACTTAGCGACGCGGAGCTGTCCGCATTCGGTCAAAGCGGCGCGGTGGCGGCGTGGCCCCGGAACACGAGATGCAAAAACCCAGGGCCCCCCGCCCCCTCGGGAGTTTCTCCCGGCGTCCCCCGTCGGGGGCTCCGTTCCCGGGGTGGGAACGGGAAGTCACGATGAGTGGACGCTTTTCGGGAGAGCTGGAGACGGAGGGGGGCCTCGGGACCGAGACAAATCGCGCATTGATAATCCTGTTGTGTCGTGTTACGCGGCGAGCTCGCTCTTAGATAATCCCGGCTAACATCCTGCGTCCGTAACTCCTCTTGATCTTGACTGCTGTAACCGCCACACAGTGGATCAAGCCAGTAAGCGAGGTCGAACAAAATTTGGAAACTTTAAACGCATAAAACTCTGTTTAAAAATAAGTTCGAAGTTTTAAAAGTGGGTTTATTGGTTTTCTCATGAAATTCTCTTTGAGAAACACCCCTTACAGTTTAAAATGTGACGAAATAAACATAAACATGTGTAGTTTAAGTCAGAAATACCCCTCAGAGTTTAAAATGTGACGAAATAAACATAAAAAATTGTAGTTTTAGTCCAAAAAATTATGTCCAACCTCTCTGATTGTCGGTCAAAAACTTTAAACGCTCATAACTCCGTTTATACATAAGTTTGAAGTTTTAAAAGTGGGTTCATTGGTTTCCTCGTGAAATTTTCTTCAAAAAACCTCTTACAGTTGAAAATGTGACGAAATAAACATAATAATTTGTAGCTAAAGTCCAAAAAATTATGTTCGACCTCTCTGATTGACTCGACCCACCGTGCGCCGCCGCGCCGCGGTTACCGACTTACGCTCCCGCGTTACGGAGGAGAGCCGTAGGTGGAGTTTCGCATGAGCCGCGAGACCCATTAGAGCATGTGGTAACGGTGGCTCGTGCAAAATTGCGCTTACGGCTCTCATCCGTAACACGGCCGTGCGGAGGTATCTCGATTGACGCCGCTGGATTTTTGTCGGAGGATTTGCGATCGGGGATCGTAATCGTGGATCTTCCGAGGGGAACGTAACTTGGACGTGACGTTCGCTAGACGTCAAGCTAGAGTACCTAAATAGGCAGAGCACGGACATGTCGGCAAGTTTGATGTTAGGTCATGGAGCTTTTATATTTTAGGGCCTAAAAGGCCAGCCAATCCATGAATTCAGATTATACAGAGTGATTTATTATTACGATAGAGAATTTGCAAGTGTCTGAAATTTGATGAATTTCTTAGTTAAGTGGAAACTACTGAGTGAACTGAACATGAGGATACCTTTGGCTCATGATTGAAAAACTATTGGAGAATATATGACAAAATAATCTAATCTGCTAAAATACGTGTGCTTAAATGGGAAATACCGCCAGATGACGTCACTAGGCGGTGCATTTTTTCACTTTTAAATCTATTTTTATACCATTTCCCATGTCAGTACAAAATTATAAAAAATACTGCAAAACAGCTCTTTAGGCAGTTTTAGAAGAAGCAATAAAACATTTGCATGTAAATTCTCCATTATTGCGACTTGTTGTTTTTAAAGCACGTATTTGACTTGATTTTTGATTAAATTCACTCATTTTTGCGGAAGGACGCTTATGCATAAACATTCTTGGTCATTTTTATTTAATATTAAAATCTGAAGATTAGCAGTGACATTTTTTGTGTTAGAGGATCGGCTGCCATTTTGGGCCCTTTGAGCTCCGTATCTCGACACGTCCACTTTATGTTAGAGTCTCTTTATACTGAGAGTTAAGACCACGCCCCCTCCACAAACGGGAATAAAGATTACACAAATTGAACGTTTTTCGTAATCTTTGGTCTGCTCTTTCTCAAATTCCTTATTCCGTCCCTCCTCTCATTCCGTTTGTTCCTTATCGAACCCGTAATTCCTCGGTCCATTCAAGATTATAATCTTTGCAATGGAGATGTTGCATGTGTGAGGGATTTGCAATTTGACCATTGATTTTTATGTAAAAGTTCGCGAGAAACACGATGGTGCCACTGGTTTTCTCTGAAATCATCTCCCAAGCTTAAAAAAAGCTCTCAGAGTGAGGCCAAAATAAAGGGGATATCCCAGTCTTACCCTGAGAGTCCACCTCTACGCCAAAACAAACTCTCCATGCAAAGATAGGGAGCAAATACATTAGCAGGGTTGCCACTTTATTTGGGAACTCCAAAACTGAAAACACGGCAACCCTATGCTAATGTATTTGCTCCCTATCTTTGCATGGTGAGTTTGTTATGATGTAGAGGTGGACTCTCAGGGTAGGGTGGGATATCTCCTCCATTTTGGCCTCACTTTGAGAGCTTTTTTTGAGTTTGGGAGATGATTTCACAGGAAACCAGTGGCACCATCGTGTTGCTCGCGAACTTTTACATAAGAATCAATGGTCAAATCGCAAATCCCTCACACATGCAACATCTCCATTGGTTAAAATGTAATCTTTATTCCTGTTTGTGACACTAAAGGCCTGAAATACGGTGACCAATCAGAAATGGATTCACATTGTCTTAACTCTCAGTATAAAGGAACTCTACTTTATATGAGGCAAGGAGTTAGGAGGTGTGGATATTGTTGGTGGATCCAGCAAGTGGGCAACAGCGTTTACTCTCCTTTAAACTTGTGGGAATCAATCGATTCTCGGGGGAACCGGGTGCTCCGACAAGAATCGATCATTCGACACAAGTTTGAGTGGAGAGAATACTATGTTGCCGCCCTGTGGGATTCGTATCTGATGGACGTGGTGTCTGCACGGATTCACCGCCGATGGAGCATTCTTCGATTATTTCGATGATCATTTGGAAGAAAGAATGAAAAAAACTGAATTAAAGTAGCTCCACACCTACCATTTTGCAGAAGACCGATTCGCTACTCAATCGATAACCTCTGGGTTAAAGGAGACTTATTTTTAAATTTCTGAAGGATATTTTACCGGCCCCACGGCAATTGTCATGTACTAAAGCGCATTTTCTTTAAAAAAAAAAAAACAAAAAAAACAAAAAACAAAAAACAAAAAACAAAAATGAGTTGAGAGTAGATGTATCTCCATTATCAATGATCAAAGGTGTAATCCACATTTTTAAATTGCAAAGCTTCAAAATCCGCCCGCAAATATTTAACTTTTTCTTTTTTTTTTTAAAAAAAAAAAAAACAATTAATGTTCAGGTTTGAAATTAGACGTAACTGACATCTTGGGTTAATGGATAACGCAAAGGAACCTAAATGTGCGGTTAATATTTTGGACTAATCATTCTTTGGGTTACCGCGAGCAAATGTTTGGGTTGAAATCCTGCAACCTCGTTAAAAATCAAGCGCGAATCGAACCCACATAGCATTGGTGAGTATCTCATGAGCTAATCGCTAGCCAGTCGCAACCTCTGTAGCCTGATTGTTGAAATTTATGTCGGCACGATAAGAATCGAAAATCGATATATTACACGGCGTAGTTAGGGCTAGGGCTGTGTCTTATCTTGCCGACATAGCCAGTTAAAGTTTCAACAATTAGGCTGCTGAATGTGAGTGTCATCAGAGAGGCAAGAGCACATATTACTTCAGCAGAAAACATTTTCATCTTCAGGTGTCTCATTGTCAGAGTAACCTTATCTTTTTGGTTCACTCACTAAAAATTTGGTCGATCAACCAGGTCCGTTTGATTGATCTGACTGAAAGAAAGGAAACTCAAAGCGTTGGTGGATCCAGGGGGGGGGATGGGGGTCTTCCTGTTTGCCCGAAAAAAAGGATGCAGAAAAAATGAAGGAGGAGAGAATAGAGGAGGGAACGGGAATAAAGACGCTCTTATTTGGTAATTATTCATGACAAAATTGATCTTAATGACAGAAGCTTTAAAATTTTGAAAATTTTCTGGGAGGAGCTCTTGGGAACCCTTCATGACCCCATTCAAGACTCGAAGTAACCACCAGGGGCCGTCCCTAAATTACGTAGCGCTTTTCTTCGACATTTTTGACCCCCCTCTCCTCTCTCCCTAGGAACACTTTTGTGATGTAGGTCCGTATTCTTTAACACGTAAAAACAAAATGGTGCAACGATTTTCTCGATACCCTCTCCTCCCTTAGAGCGTTACGTAATTTAGGGACGGCCCCTAGAAAGGGGGTATTATAATTACAATGAGTATATAGTGCCCCGCTGTATATTACTCCTCCTTTTAACCCTATCATGGGGACACAATGTCTTAATAGTACTACAATTAAGTCTTAGCCTTAAGTTTAGTTTTAATTGTATTGTAAATATTCTAATTACTTTATAAGTAGGCGAATAATTTTAAAATAAAAAAAAATAAAAAAAAGAAAGGGCTATTTTGAACTGCGTAGCGCCCGGGACGAACCACCGCGTAAGGCCGGCGCGGCAACCGCGGCACCAAGTTGCCGGGAGTGCGTCCCATTACAAAAAAGTAATGGGGATAATGATAAAAAATCGGGGAAGGACATCGCGGGGGATGGACAGGGAGGACGGGGGCGGCACACTCGGGGAGGAGTGCCGCAGACACAGATGAATGAAGCCACTCCAGCCGGGGCCGGGCAAGAAGAAAGACGAGAGGAAAAATCGCGGTTCGCCTCGGGAAACGAAGCGGCGACAGTTTAACGAAGACTCATGCAATTTTAATGGCGAGTTAGGAACCGGGGCTCGCTGAACCGTGAAAAGGCGGCGGTCCCGGAGCGCCCCCCTCCCCCCGCCGGACCCCCACCCCGCAACCCCCTCGCGGTCGCCCGAGGAGGCGCTCAAGTTGAAGATGAAGAAGAACGAAGCGTCATCCGGCCCAAGACGAGGACCGTGGTCGGTGGACGTCGTCCAGATAGGTTTTCCATCTTGGAGGCGTCGCGTCGCGTCCTGGTCGTATCCGCGTCGTCCAGGCTCAACAGACCCACGCGCGTCCCTAGTCCTCGCGCCAGGGGCTTCACACCTCCGCTCCAAACGCGCACCCGAAGTCCCTCGACTAAAAGTCTCTCGACTAACAGTCCCTCAACTAAAAGTCCCTCGACTATAAGTCCCTCGACTAAAAGTCTCTCGACTAACAGTCCCTTACAACATCGAATAACTTCCAACTCCGAAAACTTGTGTGGTTTCCCATGGACGAACTGTGCATCGTGTGTTTCGTATGATCCAACGCAAGTTTCATTTCCATGATTGTGCTTCGTCGGTTAGAAATCTAGCTTTTGAGAAGGTTCGAGCGACTCCCGCTGTCGGAAAGTAAAGCCCTCTCTCGAATCTCTCTCGAAATTTAAACCGAGTGTTCGCGCGTGTATCCCCACACGCAAAGAGCTGCAATCAAAACGACATCGTTGGTGTATTTTTGTGGAAAAGTGCGCGAAATTCATCTTTCAGAACGTAGATTTTCAACCTAGGCGAGTTCGACGCGGACGGTGTGGAATCCGGTAAAAAAAAATCGAAGTACGATCGTGAAATTTTGAGCGGAGTGCTTGATGAGGGTTTCGGTGTGTTCGGACGGGAATTTTTACGGTGGATCCGGGTTCGGAGCATAAAAACTCGAGTCTAAGTTTTTGTCGGGCGAGGATCCGTCAAGAGAGTGTGTCATCGCGAGTGGAAGAGACGGGGTGGCTCGTGCTGCGGAGAAGTGGACGACTGCGGGTGATAAATTGGATGCACGCAGACTGCCCGGACCGGAGCGGCTATAGCGCCACGGCCACGGGGGAAGAAGCAAGGAAAAATCCACACACTTAATTATTTCACTCCGAGTGGTCTTGATGAAGTGCCCCGACAAAAAAGAGTGAGACGTCACAAGATGCCCAGCACCGACAGGCGCTCCGAGTGATCTCCAAGTGAGTACCCGCTTTTTTCCGAGAGCCGGGTCACTTTCCGCTCACAATGGAGGGCCTGCAAAAAATGACCAACTTTGTCTTTGAGACGCGAGGGTTTCCTCGAAACTCCTTGTTTGGGGGAAACTTTGTGAGCGGGCAAGTTAGAGAGGGATGGATATGGATGAAAGAAGTAGAGGTAGAGGAAGAACAAGAGAGAATAGGAAGATGAAAAGTGATAGGAATAGAAGACAAGAGATAAAGGAATGGAAGTAGAAAGTACAAAGAACAAGAAGACAAATAAGAATAAGATGTAGTGAATAAAAGCTGAAACTCTTTAAAATTGCGCTAGGCGCTTCTGTAATACCCACGTATTAAATTGTATTAAATTTTTACCGCTGCTTGGTGGTTTTTTTTTTTTTTTTTTTTTTTTGTTTTTGGAAGATCCATATCCACCATCCCTGGTCGAAAGCGATGCACTAGATTCAATTGGCGTAAAACTATAAAAAAATAAGAAGAAGAAAAAAGTAAATAAATAAATTAATGAAAATAATATGACTAATTAACAATAACTAGAAACTTTACTAACTATTATAGTAAATACATTTTGCGGTTGATCATACTGAGCAATTTTGGTTCGTTAAATTTTACGCCATTGCAGCAGCGGTGGTCACTGAAAACATACACAAAGAAAGCTCTTTTCCAGGCGGAGGGGTGCTCAATACTCTGGTCCCAAATAAAGAGCAATTTAGATGCTACATGCGGATGAGAGCGATTTTGAATGATTTCATTAGACGCTCGCAAAAAGCAGCTCGCGGAGCTAAGGACGAGCATATGCGTTCCACCGCATTTTAAGCAGAATTTTTATTGTTCTCAGGAACTTACTTTCCTTCAGTCTTTACTCGATCTTTTCGTAATGACAAACTTTCTTAGATCTACTGGACCGCGAACTTGTAGCCCGCTTTGTAAGAATAAGAAGGCCTTTAATTTCCCGTGACGTAATTTTTCATGAATCAAAAATAAAACCCCCACATTTTTGATGATACTAATACCATCGTGTAAAATAATCGAGAAATTTCAGAATTTTAAATTTTGAAATGGGCTCCGTAATTTCTTGAGCGTAATTTCTTGTTGGCTGTCAAAAATTTTTGGTGAAAGTTTTACGTACCGACCGTGGTTATAAATATTATTTTACTCATTAAGTTTAAGTTTTTTATAAATCACATGTATGTTAATATTTGATTAGTAATTTTATTGGGTTTGGTTATTTTATATTCTCTAATAGAGTGTAACTGCTTGTTAGTGTTCGGTTTACAACACAGTGGACTACACACACTTGGACCACATTTTGCAATCAGGAACTAGAATTTCTAGCTCAGTTTAGAAAAAATTCATGTACCATTAGTTTTCTTCTGCAGATACTTGATTTTGCGGATGAGCCAAAAGTTGTAGTTCCTGAATGCGAAATGCAGTCCATTTGTAGGACTCCAGCTAGCAAAAGAGCTATTTTAGCCGCATATCAAAGACAGGGCGATGATGAAAGGTGTGGGGGGAGGTAAAACTTACTCTGGGGTGGGGGCGGCGCGAAACTTAATTTACCTCAAAAAAGCCATAATATTGGCAGCCCCCCCCCCTCCCCCAAGGACAAATTTCAAATGCAGGGGAAGAGGCTTAACCGGCTGGAGTGCAATTGAACGTACTTATGCTAAAAAGAACTATGTGCATATGGGTTGCGTACAACATGGTTCCTTTTATCATAAGTACGTCCAATTTATCCCCATGATCTCCTCAATAGAGAATTTGCAAGTGTCTGAAATTTTGTGAGTTTCATCTTTAAAATGATACTACTGGGAAAACTGAGCACGAGGATATCGTCGGTTTCTGAATTGGACAATTATTGGAGAAAATATGACCAATTTAACCTAATTTGCTAAAATCCATGTGTTTAAATGGGAAATGCCGCCAAATGACGTCATAAGGCGGCACATTTTCTCACTTTTAACTCTATATTTCTCCAATTCCCCAGGCCAGAAAAAAATTACGAAAAATACTGCGAACTCAGCTCATCAGGCACTCTCAGATGAAGCAATAACATTTTTGTGTGCAAATTCTCTGTTGGTGCCTTTGGTCACATGAAAAGTTTGAATGCGTCTCGCTGGAAAATTCCTGTCTTGTATCTTAACGCATGTATGGAGAAAATATTTACAGTTCCTCACTATCAACTTCAGATTGAACGTCAATGTTTCTCCACTTTTGAGAATTTGATGTGGTTTGAATGCTGAAGGAAAATAAATCTCCAAAGGAGCATTGACGCGGACTGCATCTGTCCACATTTATATCTTACGGAGTTTTCGTGGTGAGCTTGATAAAAACTTGGATGGCAAAACTTTCAGGATAAAACTACGAACTGTTGATTGTTTTTCTCTGAGAATGTCGGAAATAGGAAAACTCACTGATCTCTAGCCTTACCGTCACTGCCAAATGTACTAGATAATTCTCAAATGCATCACATTTATCAAAAATAAATACTCTTTTACCATTTGTTCTATTCTCTCTGTGTAAAGAGATTTGTCCTCTTGAATTGTTAGCTTGCGCATTTCACACTTCTCTCTTTCAAAAATGCTTACTCACGAAACTCAATTTGAATGATCCTCGATTTTTTTTATAATTTTAAGCCAAAGGATACCATCTTGTAATTTAGCCACATTTCGCAGTTTGGAACTACACTTTCTACCCATTTGTAGAGACACTCATGGCATGTGCATAGGGAAACTAATGTTGCATTCTAAACTGAGACAGATATTGTGTCTCCACATTGCAAAAATCAGTCCAATTATAGTTGAATAATTACAACGTTGCCAAAATTCATAAACTTTTATTTTGCCGTGCTAAGAAAAAACGCCGTATGAGCCTTCAGGCGTTACCAAATTTCTCCTGGCAAATCACTCAATTTCAGGAAAATTTCTGAACATTTTTCTGCCAATTTCTCAGATAATTTTGCTTGTAATTTGATCTGAAGGGTCTGAAAATTTCAAGGACAAATATTTATAATTTTTCTTATAAATAAACTATTTATCGAAGGGAATTTAGCAACTCTCGAATGTTCATTCGACGTTTTTCCTCAAGACGGCAGTATTGGTTTTAGCTTTTACGCGTTGAAACATCGCACACGAGATATGCGTGTGTGCACTTTTACTGTCGATGTGTAAATATGTATAGAATTTATTATGACTCAACCAATGCAATCTACAAAACTAAAATGACTCTCTCTCATTGAAAACTGGTCTCACTCACACCTTTTTACATTTCTTTGCAGGAGCTGAAACGGCGGTACAATCAACAAATAAACACCAATATTTGACGTTATGGGCAATTGATGTCGAACTGGTCAAAAAATCACCCAGAAAAAGAAGAAGAAGAAAAGGAAAAGAAAAGACCTCCAAAAAACCAAGATCTAAACCGTATAAAAATGTAGCCTTTAAGATCTCAACTCCCAAACCAATCGATACTCAAACCACCCTGATTAACAAGCAACCATTGGCAATCCTCCCAAACCGTCAACATGTTAGTCATCCTGAAAAAGAGGATAATTTTCGTAAATATCTACGTTTTATTCGTCGTGTGTGACGTCAGCGAGGCGGATCGCCAGAGCGACTCCGATCACGTGATCATCACCCACCTGGGTCCGATGCGCTACGACCCGATACGGGAGGACCCCCTCGATCTCAAGTCCAAAACAGGGGGATACTTCAAAGCTGAAATCTTCAGCGTCCCGGTCAACGACACCGACGAGGCTTCCGGCAAGACCCACCAGAATGCGCTGAGCTCCTCGGCGACGGTCCCCGTCTCCTCCGGCTACAAAGTCAGCAAGGAGCAACCGTCGAGGCACAGAGGCGACCCCTCCGGGGACCGAGAGATCTATTCCCGGAGTGGAGGCAACGGCCAGAAGATGGACAGACTCGGCGCGACGTCACAAAAACGGATAACGCGTCGGGCGTACCACACGATCTCGACGAAGTCCCGGCGGCAGTCCAAGGAGCCGGAGAACGGGGGCGGGGGTGGCGAGGAGCAGATCTCGACCGGGCCGATCAGGATCACGTCGCCGGACGAGGGGGTGAAGGTGGACGGGTACCTCAAGGGGGAGGTCATCACGGGGCTGGGGCGACCGACGAAGCTCAAGGTCGAGGACCCGCCCCCTGGGTGGAAGCCGCTCATCAAGCCCGGAGGATTCAACTTCGAGACCAAGTCCAAGCTCAGGGACCAGGACGCCAAGAAACGCCTCGGACCGACGTCGGGCGGCCTTAATCAGCTCTCTGGGAACCTTGATTCTATGAGGTATGTCTGAGGGAAATAACCAACCCCCTCACAAAATACACAATAGAATATCTGGAACATTGTAGATGGTTCCAATTGACTGATTTAGTGACTTACGTCATTCACGGAGAAAAAAAACCTTGTGCGTGGGACCCGAAGTTTAGGTCATATGGATCTCTGAAGTTTTCAGATTGTGCATCCGAGCACTTAAGGTCCAGCTGCTGAGGTTCGGATCACACATCTGAAACGTCAGTTCTTACATATGAAGTACTTCAGATGTGAGAACCGAAGTTTTTCGGATGTGAGAACCGAAGTACTTCAGATGTAAGAACTGAAGTTTCGGATGTGCGATCCGAACTTCCACAGTTAGACCTAAAGTGTTCAGATGCTCAATCCTAAAACTTCAGAGATCCATAGGACCTAAACTTCTGGTCCCACGCACGAATTTTTTTTCTCCGTGTTCGATATGGATGTACCTCGTATGTGCATTAAGACAAAAGCCCTGAGACCCATAAGAATATATGCATAACAGGGCTTACGTCGTAATGTACGTGGTTCCGTTTGGCAGAAAGTATGTATAATATCGAACTCTTAACATAACCTAACTTGCGAATTCATCGGGAGTTAATTGTGTTAATTCATTACAATTCGTCGCTCCTCTGACAAAAAGGCGTATCTGGATTTCCATTTTCCACGTGAGTCCTGTTTTACGTATAAATCCGTGCTTTCTGGGCCTCGTGTGGAAATCGAGATAAGCCCTTTCGTCAGAGTATCATAAATCAATTATACTTTTCATTACTTTTTTAATGGAAAACTACTCCTCGTCAATCCTTGAAAACTTCAATGAATTTTCATCTCTGTGCGAAGCAAACTCTGTGAAAACAAGGAATGATATTGATTTTTTCTCCTTCAAAGGGATAAAATGGGAGCGGAGATTTTTAAACACTGCAAACGAGATACGTGGTCTGGTACTTTCACCGCCGACATGTAAGATATCTTATCTGTTATCAGCCAGTGGGGACCCTCGGTTCTAAGTTTTTGTTTAAGTTGTCTCTCACAAGGGGCTTTGAAACCACTCTAAAACGTCGGAAGCCTTTTCTTGTGTATTTTAGTTTTGTTCGGCAATTTTTATGTTTACTCGTTACATTATTATTTATTTATATTACATATATTATTATATATAATTACATACCCTGGTAAAAATTGGCAGTAGAATCTGTGTTCCAAAATACCATAGACCTACGGCCGGCTTTAAGATTTCCAATAGCTTCTATAGCCGGCTACACAATTTCTTATAGCCTTTTATAGCCGATGGCGATTAAGCAACTTACAGCCAGGCGATAAAGTGTATGCTAAACGTCACTAATTACGGATGCTAGGACTTTGACGTGCGTTTTTGGACCGTAGTATCTTGATTTATTTTGCGAGCAAAGCTCCGTACTTTTGATGGATGCTCGCCATTCCTATTATATTAGAGCGCCTTCAGTTTCGTATGATACTGTGCAATACCTCTGGTGTGAAATAGTTGCTTCAAGCGCCGTGGCACGCTGCGGTGCGGCAGGCGGGCAGCCAGCGCGGAACGCGCATTGGCGCCTACAAACCTAACAGGGATACCTCACTCGTTGCGCAATGCGTGAAGTATCCCTGTTAGGTTTGTAGGCGCCAGTGCGTCGCCGCTCCGTTTTGTGTTAGGCTCTATTATTTAATCTGGCGGAGTCAGCGTTATTCAACTCATGATTTTGGAATGTTTCACATCCTATATGAATTATCCTCGTTTTAATTAATGAATAAAATATGTATTAAAGGAAAATATAACGTGTGTTTTGTAAATATTAAGGTGGTTCCGTATCAAACTTAATGATTTCCAAAGCACATGAATAACTACATAATTTCTTATGGCCTTTTATAATCGATGGCGAAAAAGCAACAGCCAGGCGATAAAGTGTAAAGCCCGGCTATAGGAATTATAGCCCGGCTGCATAATTTTTTATCGCTTCGCATAGCCCGGCCGTATGATTTTCTCCGCATTCTACATCCAGCTATATGATTTTCTGTAGCCTTCTTTAGCCGGCTATAAGAATTCCTATGGTATTTTGAAACGCAGCTTTTATCGCCAATTTTTACCAGGGTATTATTTGTATATATTATTATTCGTATTCATTAATTCGGAGCAGTGCTTTTCTTACGTCTATGGAGACGATGAATCAAAATTTCAATTAAACATGCTTATAATCGAGCCAAAAACCTTAGTTACAAGAACCAACAAGTTGGATTTTGCAATCGCTAGCGATGGCAATATTCGTCATGGGAACGTTAGCTTCTGGGATATGAAAATGTTAAGGTACAGTTCGTTTGTAGTATCTTCTGAATTGAAGGGGCTATGTAATTTTGTGTTGACATCTCTTTTTTAACATTTTTAATTATTTTCTTTGCATACAAGAAAGCTGTTATGTACCAATTATTTATTTTCGTTGGATTATATATGGTTTTCGGAAGTTAACGCATTTAAGTTTCAGGTTCGCTTTTTCGGCGTAAAGTATACATAAGGTATCCCAAAAAACTTGTTCTGTAACTTCGAAAGTAAGATAGATACAGACATGATCTTGATTTTATTTTAAAGATCAACTCAATACCCATCGATTAAAACCAAGATCAGCTCAATCGGATAAAAATTGACCGAGTTATGGCAATTTGAAATCAGCGAGGAAAGTTTACGCCTACGGTTTTTAAGGAAGATTCTTCATCGCCGTAAATCGAAAAGTCGGCCGATAAAGTGATGCTTGTTGTGTTTTTTTATTTTCGAGGTGTCATTTATCAACATTTTGTACCATCAAACACAACAGTTGACAGTGCGTATTATTGCAAAGTACTAAAGGAGTTGAGAATGCACATTTCCCGGAAACGGTCGGACTTGAAAGCTTCGTGGATACTCCATCAAGACAATGCGCGGCCTCACACATCGAGCTTAACACGTGAATTTATAAGTAAAAATGGAGTTGAAACAATCCCTCATCCCCCTTATAGCCCTGACTTGGCTCCATGTGATTTTTGGATGTTTCCTACGCTTAAAAAGGAGCTTCGCGGACGAAGATTCGTATCGAAGACCGAAATCCAGAATGCAATTCAAAACTTTTTCAACTCCATCCCAGAGGAAGAATTCAGGAAAACAATGTTGGATAAGTGGCAAGAGCGCATGAAAAAGTGCATCCGGTTTGATGGACGGTACTTTGAAAAGCAAAATGAAGATATGGAAGATTCGGAGGAAAGTGGATAGGAATATTAACTTTTTGAATCCTGGTAAGCGAAAAATCTTCCTAAAAACCGTAGGGGTAAACTTTCCTCACTAATTTCAAATTGTCATAACTCGGTCAATTTTTATTCGATTGAGCTGATCTTGGTTTTAATCGATAGGTATTGAGTTGATCTTTAAAATGAAACCAAAATCATGTCTGTATCTATCTTACTTTTGAAGTTACAGAACCAGTCCCGGTACTTTTGGGACACCCTACGTATGATATTTTTACTCTACACATATGCCCGAATACGCATCGTAAGGGACCTATGTGCTTCCTAAGTTGCCAAGTATTAATTATTGTTAGATGATTGGTCTAAAACATTCAATACAACCAGTAAAAATTAGCTGTCCCCTACGAGATTCGAACCCCCGCTCGCACAAAAAGTGACGCTCTCCCAGAACCAGAACAGTGGCTTAGCTATCTAAGTTATCTCGCCGCTCGGATGTGGGTGGAGAAAAAGAGAACAGTTAAGTGATCTCGGACGCTGAGCGGGGCTTCACAAAAGACGTCCTTGAGATTTCAACAGTTCGGCCACTGGCGTCCTAAGAGACAACGGATCAACCGCATTACTCTGTGAGACATTGTTTACCTATGCTGTCATATGTCACAAGGTTCATCACACCATGCATTTGCGATTGCGGCAGTAAGCTGAGGCAATATTTCTGTATTCATGGATTAAATCCATCAATCGAGTTCTGATTTTGGCTCATATATCCGTAACGGGTCCTCCAGAGCAATTTTCCACCTTGTACGATGGTTATTATTTCTTTATATCTATGTTTAAAATTTGAGGTGGGATAATGGCGGCTTCTCAAGAGCAACGAGGTAGGCGATCTTTTGCACCAACGAACAGAAAACTGATGGCGAAAAATAGCCAATGAAAACCTCCCAAAAAAAAGAATTTGCCTAAAAACGGAACTTCGTGGTTCTGCGCAGATTTACCAGTCAGACACGACATCTCAAAGTGGAAAAAAACTCGCTGAAAGCGAATTTTAGAAATCAACACAACTTGACGTAGAGACATGATTGGCTAAAAAATACAACGGTTTTTGATACATCGGAAAATCAACCAAAAATCGGAGACTGGGCGAAACGCTCAAGGTCGCAGAGGTATAGGGAATCCCATAGCGAAAGCAACGGAACGATTGTAATATCATGGGGAACTCCGTTCCCATGACAATAAGTTCTGTTGGTGATGAGGACTGAGCCTTCAACTATGAAAAGCAACATTAGCCCGATGAAGTGAGACTACGGTTTATTTTCGTAGATTGCACGAATAACGTAGTTAGCACGAATATAAAGGGGCTTGTTCTTTTGAATCGAAAAGCGCTTATTGGTTCGTATAATCGAAATTTTTTCTCAATATGTAAGCAAATGTGTCTTCCACACGTGGAGAAGTAATTGATTTTTCTGAAATTTGTCAATAATTATAATCAGTCGTGTAGGTAGGTTACGAAATCGATTGAAGCGCAGCGGCGAAGCTTGTACTGGACGAGAAGCAGGCGGTAGCCCCTTATATTTTTCGATGATTTTTCTCCAATTTGCAGTATTTTACTATGAAAACAACCGAAAATTGCGTTCTAGTGGTATCATAGGCTGAGAGTCAACCCTTCCAACCCCTCCATCTCGTTTCTCAAATTTTGCTCCCCCACCCTCCCCAAAAGTTTCAGTTCACATGCCAACCCCTGGCTCTTCTTAAATTTTGCCTCACGTAAATTTTACATAAGCAAAAAATCCCATCAAATGATTTCCTTCTTCGTACATTTTTACAGTTTTCTTTAAGAGTTCCTCTGAAAACAATTTTAAACAGCCATTGCAAGTAAGGACACTTTTAAAGCGCATGAAATCACGTCCGGAAACATAGTGCGCAATGTGTTTTCTGAGGTGAACCTTAGAATCCACTGTCCCTTACTCTACTCTGTAATTTTACTTCACATATCGGTTATCTGTTTGCAGGAATTTCCCACTTCGACGGAACCCACTCTCGAAGGTCTACGGCTACCCGTCCATCGTAGAGCTTCCTCCGCAACGAAACCTGTACATGGAGCGAGACCCGATGCGCTCTTACGGCCCCGGCTTCTACTCAAACTACTATCCGGCGGACCGGCTCAACCAGCAGAACTACTACTTCAACGGCCAAGGCTTCAACGGGACCGGGCTCGTACCCACCGAGCGGTTCCGGAACCGCTTCGATCTTCCCAGCTCTGGGTTCCGGAACCCGGGTTCCTTCGGCTCCCTGGGGCCCTCCCCGCGCTTCGGCTACGCCACCTACTACCCGACGGACCTCGAGAACGATGACTTCTACTCGCGGATCCGGTCGCCCGGCTTCGACACCCGGTTGGAGTTCCCCGCGTCCAAGTGGACTTTCAAAACGGACCTGAGCAGACCCAACCTCCCGGTGACCTTCCCAGGGCAGTCCAGGGATGCGGGAGGATCCAATAGAGGACTAGGGGGTGGTGGAGGTGGAGGGGGAACTTTTGCGGGAGGGGAGGGGGCAGGGTTCGGCGGGGGTGCTGGGGGTAACGGGCAGGTGTCGAAGAGCTTCCAGGAGGTGAAGAACAACAACCAAGACAACAACCAGGTCAACATTCAGCGAACGATTGATACTCAGGAGAACTTCGGGACGAAGACGGACTTCTATTAAATGTACTACATTTTGCAATTGGGAACCAAAATTGGACTACATTTTGCAGTTTGGAACTATAAATTCTAGCCCGGTTTAAAAACAACGTATGTGCCATTAGTTTCCCTATGCACATAAGTGTTTTTCCAGAAGAGTCAGAATTTATAGTTCCAAATTGCAAAATGCAATTATTTCCAGCCCATCCGTTGAAAAAACACTCGTGTATACCGTCGGAAACTAATGGTCGTTTCTGAACTGAGCCAGATATTGTAGTTCCAAATTGCAAATTGAAGTCCGAATGTACAACATTGTTGATGAAGTTCATCGAGTATTAGTCATTTTGAAATACAATAGGACTCCTTTTATCTGCGTTGCCGTGTTAAGGAAAAACGTCGTTTGAAACTTCAGGTTTTGCCAAATTCCCTTTGATAAAACATGAATATACTCGTAAACTGAAGAATATTTTTCTTCCAACTTTTCAGATTATTTCGTTCGCAATTTGACTTAAAGTTGCTGAAAATTTCAAGGAATAATACTCACAAATTTCCTCAAAAATAAGCATTTAATCAATAAGGAACTTTGGCAACTCTTGAATGTTCATACGGCGTTCTTTCCTAGCACGCTAAAGCGAGAATCGGAACTGGAAGGATCGCGAATATTCGAAATCCGCGAATAACTGGAACCGCGGACAATCTCGCTCGCGCATAATCTCAACCGTGGGCAGGGAAACTGAATTTTTCAATGTAGCTTGGATCACAAAGCTACAGCACGCGTTAAAATACTGCCGTGCCAAGGAATAACGCCGTATGAGCATTCGAGAGTTGCCAAATTTCCCTCGATAAAACGTATATTTTTGACGCAATTTAAGCATATTTTTCCTTGAACTTTTCAGATATTTTAGATTAAATTGTGTACAAAATTGTCTGAAAATTTTGGAAAATAATATTCACAATTTTCCCAGCAAATACGGTTTTTATACGAGGAAACTTGACAATCTCTGAAGGCTCATACGGCGTTCTTCCTTAGCACGGCAGAGTAAGAAACATGTCAAGGTGCTCTCTGTGCAAAATGTTGCCTCCAAACTTTGCTTTGTATCCGTTAAAAAAAGTTCTGTTGTTCTTGTTTAATTCTTATCGACGGGTTTCACAGTGCACGGCGAGTATAGCGATGTCGGTCGCTCTCTCTTATCCATTTTAGAAATTGCATGTATTTGTTTTTAGAAACTTGTATTGAGGATATCTTCGCTAGAGGGGCGTGTAAGCTTTGTTATACTCCTAAGATTATGCGATTTGGCTCAAAACCGTTTGCAGCAAATGGAATTAATTTACCGTCAGAAAACTGAGAAACAATGCATGCGGTATTGCTTTTTATAATTAAGAACTTCAATTTCTGACTCAGTTTAGAAACAACGTATGCGCCATTAGTCTTCCTACGTATTTAAGTGTTTTTACGGATGAACCAGAAATTATGTAGTTCCTAAATATGCAAAATGAGGTTCAAATGCACATCAGAGCTTTTGAGTAGGTTAGATGCGGATGAAGACCTGATTTCCTTTTATGTTGCATGGCCTACACTCCTTTTTACCGAAGAATTCCTCACGAAACTGCGCACTAATTTAGACCTTTTTTAATTTTTTTAAAATTTTTTCACTATTGACATACCTATACCTGAACTAATGACCAGTTTGAAAAAAAAAATGAACCAAATTTGAAATCTTCTAAGTGATATATGTCTTCCGTGAAGTAAACAAATCATTACGAAATCGCGGAACGAGGTAAGCGAAAGTTCATCGTTTGCCGCGAAACTGTTTTTCTATTTTAAGTCAGAATTCTCTACTTTGAACTCATAGTGAGATTCCGAGTAGTGAGTCATAATTGATTCATTCCCTCTTTGTTCTAGATTCACACATTTTACGGTCTAACATTTTAATAATCAAGAGATAGAGTGATTCGTATTATTTCAATTGAACATTCGCAAAAAAATATTGTAAATTATTTCTGTAGATTTATTCGTATTTTTATTATTTAAGGACAAGCGCGAATGAGTAATTGTTTTTTCTAGAAAGTAGTTTTGTTGGAAAATGTAAAACGCACTACAAGTTTGTAACCGGAAAGATTTTTCTTCTTCTTTTTTTTAAAAAATCTTAAAATTCATCGAATTATATTAAGATTCTCCTATTAGCTCCCCTTACTTTTAGGAGTAAGTTCTCTCTTTTCCTTGTTCATCTTTCCAAAACTGAAGAAAATTGTGCGATTGTTAATAACACACGCCTTCAGCTCTCATAGTGGATTGTATGTACTAATCAATATGGTCTTGGAATCAATAATCTTTCTACAGCACACCTTTTTTAAAAAATCTCATAGACTTAAGTGAGCTAAAAAATCTAAAATAAAAAATGAGACGAGATTTTAAAGAGCGACGCCAAGAATGGCACAATTTGGGCCAGAAGGGATTTTTCTGAAACCGGGCCCAAACGATACCTTATGATACCCTAAAACTCTGGTTAAAATTTTAGCTTGAGTATACGCACGGTTTTTGAGAAATGAGAGGGCAAAGTTGCCAAATCGCCATCATTCTGGACATCATTTCTACAGCAAAAAGACGGGAAAAATGGACGAAAAAGTTACACCTTTGATGGGTTTCGGCTGTAAATATTCTTATTGGGCCCCCAAGCATTTAACTGTGTTCAGTTTAAAAAATTTTGATCGCACAGTGGTCCAAAGTGGGGAGAAATCGTCGACAAATCATGATTCTTTGTCAAATTTTTGAAAATGGATATAAAATTGTCGGTCTGCTGCAGTTTTCATGGCTAACAAAGTTCTTATCGGTACTCAATGCATGAAATTGCGTTCAGCTTCACAAATTTACATCGCACAGTGGTCAAAAATGAGGGAATTAGTGGACAAATTAAGATCCTCTGTGAAACTTTTTAAAAATGAAGTGAAACTGTTGGTCCCCAGTAGAGTTTAGATCCCGGAAAAATTCTTTAAATTATTTTTTGGACTGTTTAAATCATTTTTTTAATTTTTCTCTCCATTTTTCCTTCTTTTTTTAAATTTCTGAAAGTTTGCATATTTTATTGAGATAATGCTACAAAGTCAATTCTATAACATCGTTCTATAGACAATACGGTTTGAAATGCAGTAATAATTAAGAAAATTAAATACATGATTTTTTCCAGGATCTAAACTCTACTGGGAACCAACAGTTTCACTTCATTTTTAAAAAGTTTCACAGAGGATCTTAATTTGTTCACTAATTCCCTCAATTTTGACCACTAAGCGATGTAAATTTGTGAAGCTGAACACAATTTCATGCAATGAGTACCGATAAGAACTTTGTTAGCCATGAAAACTGCAGCAGACCGACAATTTTATATCCATTTTCAAAAATTTGACAAAGAATCATGATTTGTCGTCGATTTCTCCCCACTTTGGACCACTGTGCGATCAAAATTTTTTAAACTGAACACAGTTAAATGCTTGGGGGCCCAATAAGAACATTTACAGCCGAAACCCATCAAAGGTGTAACTTTTTCGTCCATTTTTCCCGTCTTTTTGCTGTAAAAATGATGTCCAGAATGATGGCGATTTGGCAATTTTGCCCCCTCATTTCTCAAAAACCGTGCGTATACTCAAGCTAAAATTTTAACCAGAGTTTTAGGGTATCATAGGGTACCGTTTGGGCCCGGTTTCAGAAAAATCCCTTTTGGCCCAAATTGTGCCAAAAAACGGTCGTTTTTGGCGTCGCTCTTTCACGGATTTGTTCGATCCTTAATAGTTTTGGATATAGAAAATAAGGATACTTAAATTTTGGATAACCCCTTCACTTTGCGTTCGACATCAAATCCAGACATTAGGTATATTACTAATGTACTCCACGTTGCAAATTTCACATTATTCTCTTGCGGCAAAAAATATACAAGTACATGAATGTGACATCACTGAATTAACAAATTCATTGCTCCCAAAAATTTTAACCCCAAAAAGCAAATGAATGGGGACATACTTGTTGCTACCGGGTAGGTTTACATCATCACTGATTTTCAATCATTCGTTGCGATATTTAGAATCTAAAACTAGTAGCAGCAATATCGCAAAATCTTCGCATTTAGGGTGGAAGGTAGTAAGAGAGAGAGAGAGGATATTTTTAGGTATTTTAAGGCGCAGTTTTTCTAGAAAACTTGCGTGACAAGTTGATGCAAAGAAAATGAGCTCAAGTTTCCCAAAGAAAATTTGTAGCCGTTTCTCCGTAAGTTAAAATGAAAATTAGAGCAGCCTTTACAGTTTACACCCCTGAAGGACCGGGGCCTCGCCTGATATGCTCTCTCGAAAGGGCGGTTTGCATGGAGCTCACGAAGTTTGAGAGTTTCTTAACAGCGTTGTTCAGTTTGCTCTTTGACTTTGGTCCTCCGAGTTCGGCATGAACTTTTAAACCACCGAACAATGTCTTTTATTTTACTCCTTGTCCAAAACCCTTTTTATGATACGTAAACTGTAAAAGTCAAATCTGTGTTCGCTACAAAATCTCACTAACACTGTAGATATTTTCCGGTCAATCATTATAATTTTTTTTCCTCAGGAGTTTCCGGATAAACTTTTTAATTTAAAAAAAAATAAAGAAATACTTTTTTTGAAATTTTGTGTTGAGCTTTTTCATGTCTCCCTAGAACAGTACGAAGCGTACTCAGTCATAAATTATCCTTTTAAGATTCTTGAAAGGAAGGAAAGCTCAAATCTTCAATGCAAATTCAATGAAGCGCGAAAGAAATTTTGGTTTTTTACGGTTACGGACACCATCACGATGTTGGGAATGTATCCTTAGCGCGGTTTAAAATTCTATAAGCGCCATCAAGTGCTGTCAAGTTTTGTCGTTTCTCTATCATGAAAGAGCGTAACTACATCTCAATGTTGCAAAATTTCCCCTCTCATTATATATTACCGGGAGAATCTTAGGCTCTTCCACCGGAAAATTTCACTCATTCCTCTGCTGATCTCATGCGAAAATCAGGAAAATGTTGG